CAAAAAAGGTGAAAAAAGTTAAAAAAAATAGGTAACAAAAGTATAAAAAAGGTAGTTAAAAGCAAAAACCTCCAAAAAAGGTAAAAAAGGTGAAAACAAGTTAGGTTCATATAAAAGAAAATCTTTTAAAACACATTTTGGCATTATTGGTTTTCAAATAGTTACATCGGTTAAAAAAAGGTAAAATAACTAAAATCCCATCCCTAGTAATAACCCAGCAATGTCCATTTAAGAGATATTTTAAAAATACAATATTATAAGGTATTTTCTTGCGAAAAAGATATTTAATAAATTATATAATAATAATAAATATTTAAATATTAATTTAGTAATAAGTATGTGCAACAACATTAGTTAGTACGGCACTGGACACATATTTTTTCGATTATTTTTTGACGTTTCTAAAAAACAATAAAATTTTATGTGTGTATTTTTTATTCAATCAAAACATTATTATAGTAAGATTATTACCGCGAAAACAAAACGGCATCTGTCATTAAAATAAAATCTGTCACTAACAGACTGTCAGTATACTATACTATAGGTACTATAGTAATAAATAAAATAACAATTCTACATCGGAAGAAGAAATAAACAAACAAATAAATGAGCAAATAAGGAAAAATACACCCAAATTAGTAAGTTATATTAGTAAATTCTAATTTAGTTATACCTACATGTCAAAAAATCATCTATCAGAATACCAGTTGAGAGTTCAATAAATTAGAAAATATTTTTTCAGATATTTCTCAAACTTGTTGTGTTGTGTTGTCATAAGGCAATAACCACGCAAGCCCTATGGACAACAAGTTTTCGAAATAGATAGGTACCTGTCAAATTATTTTCAATTTATTCTCACTAGTAATATTACTGTTGAAAATTTTGAAAAATGTGATGGAAATTGACAGTACAAAATATGTGAATTTGCCGTTTTTGATATTAGACCCCTGATTAATATGAGAAGTAGATATGAATGTGAATATTAGGGTGTCCGTTGTTTCCCAAGTTGTTTTTTTCACTTTGGTATAAGTAATCTAAATTATTTGTTTACAGTCTAAAAACAATTATTATAATTTTTAATAAAATATACATGAAGCAATACACAGTAGATATTTTTGAAGAAAATTGTATGCTCTACAAAAAAGATCTTTCAAATTTTTTTCGTAAAACCATCTATTTAAATAATATAATATATATTAATAGTACTTATAAAATTATAATTATTAAAACGTACTCGTACATTATACATGGTGATATTGCGCCCTTAAAATCTCATAAAAACGCTTCAAAACATCGAACGCATTTAAAATAATAAAATTAAATGAAATGATCCATGGTTGCCAATTTTACGGACGCCAAATATGCGAAATCATGAAAACGGAATAATAATGAATATACAGACGGTCGACTAGAGCGCAACTAAGCCAAGCGTAATAATGCCGAACTAAAATATACAAAAACGTACATAACACCGATCATGTGGCGTCCCGATGAAATTTTACCAGAAATGTTTTTACTAAAAAATGAACTGAATTGTGTGGGTAGTCGATATGGCGTCCATATACGGAAGCCGTATGTAAGTCGGACGCCATATCCAATGTAATACGTCAATGTATGGACGCCATAAGTATAGCGGGATGTATATATATATATATATATATATATATATATGTTCTGCTGTAGGTTTCCACGGCCGTTATATGTATTGATGGTTTTCCGGTATCTGCATGCTCCGTGTTGTCGGTTTTGGTTCTTAAAAGAACCGTATGTCTGACGTCTTATCTGCTGGGTTGCTGACAGCAACTTGCTGTTGCTGCTTTGCTGCGAGTTAGACGTGCAGATAAGACCTGAAGAAGGTACATGAGATTGTACCGAAACGTCGTTGTTATTTTTTTCACGACTATTTTTATTTTTTTGCTCCCAACTCAAAATATTGTTGAAAATGTTCAAAAAAAAAATTCCCTGAAAATTTGAGCCCTTAATATTAACTCAAAGTACTCGACCAAAGCGTATAAAGATTTCCCATTTAAAATACACGTAAACTTTGATTATTTTTTTTAAATATCTATATCTCAGCCGCATTTTAAGCTATTGGATTGTTTCAAAAAGGGATTTACTATATATATATATATATATATATATATTATATACATATATATATATTATATATATATATATATATATATATATATATATATGTTCTGCTGTAGGTTTCCACGGCCGTTATATGTATTGATGGTTTTCCGGTATCTGCATGCTCCGTGTTGTCGGTTTTGGTTCTTAAAAGAACCGTATGTCTGACGTCTTATCTGCTGGGTTGCTGACAGCAACTTGCTGTTGCTGCTTTGCTGCGAGTTAGACGTGCAGATAAGACCTGAAGAAGGTACATGAGATTGTACCGAAACGTCGTTGTTATTTTTTTCACGACTATTTTTATTTTTTTGCTCCCAACTCAAAATATTGTTGAAAATGTTCAAAAAAAAAATTCCCTGAAAATTTGAGCCCTTAATATTAACTCAAAGTACTCGACCAAAGCGTATAAAGATTTCCCATTTAAAATACACGTAAACTTTGATTATTTTTTTTTAAATATCTATATCTCAGCCGCATTTTAAGCTATTGGATTGTTTCAAAAAGGGATTTACTCGTAATAAAAATTTCTACAAAAATGCTTAATGTGCCATAGCTGTAATCTGCACCTGTAGGATGGTACGGGTCACTAAATCTTATTTTAGTGAAAAATTATCATATTTTTGAAGATATTTCAAAAGTGACTGGATTCTTTGAAAAAATGTAAAGAACAAACTTGCTAAGATTGATATTTATTGAGATATAAATCTTTTACTTTGACAATTTATGAAATTTTTAGGATTTTCGTTTCAAACTTTTTATAAATGATGATTTTCAATTGTTTATCAGTAAAATTTCATCTAATTACATTTTTTCTACAGTCGGGTGATTAGAGAAAAACAATCAAGCATAATTATTAATAACAAAACTTTAAAGAGAAAAGATATATCTAACCTAAAAATTGATATAACGAGGTGTATTACATACAACGTGTTATAAGTTTGTCCTTTACATTTTTACAAAGAATTCAGTCACTTTTAAAATATGCAGATTACAGCTGTAGCACATAAAGCATTTTTGTAGAACTTTTGATTACGAGTAAATCCTTTTTTGAAACAATCCAATAGCATAAAATGCGGTTGAGATATAGATATTTAAAAAAAATAATCAAAGTTTACGTGTATTTTAAATGGGAAATCTTTATACTTTGAGTTAATATTAAGGGACAAGATTTTGAGTTGGAGCGAAAAAATAAAAATAGTTGTGAAAAAAGCACCCTATATATATATATATATATATATATATATATATATATGTTTATATTTATATATTTTAGGCAAATTCATTAGTTAGTTATTATCAAATATAAAAAAAAATCATTCAAAAAATAAAAATTACTATGTTCAATAAGCCTTTTAAATTGATTCCACTGACACACCTACTATTTTTGGAAAGAATTGATTAAACATTTTTTTGATTGATTAAAATCCTTTTTGATTGAATAAAATCCTTTTTAATGAATTCTTTACAGAAACAGTAGGTGTTTCAGTGGAATAAATTTAAAAGGCTTATTAAACATAGTATACTAGTAATTTTGATTTTTTGAATGATTTTTTTTATATTTAATAATAACTAACCAATGAATTTGCCTAAAATTAAGGTAAAAAATGCAATTATGACATAAATTTAACTTTGAATAACTTTTGAACTCGTTGGTTTATCGAAAAATGATAGGAGACATTTTTTGTAGAGCGTTCACAAGAATAAATATCGCGCTTAAAAATCTGTTAATTAAGAAACAAAACAAAATTTCCCATTTTATTTAAATGGTAAATAGAAATGTTCGATGCGCGAACTCTAAATATTAAAATTAAGAGCTCCGGTTTTCACAGGTGTCTTTTTTTTGGTACCGTAAACATATTTCAGAAAAAAAATAGTTGATTTAAAAAAAAATATATATCTACATATTATATTTCAAAACAATAACAATTGAGGCGTTTCTCGGAAAAACATCATTAGTCCAATATCGTCGAAATTTAGATATTAGCACCAACTGTTTCCTAACCTCCATATATACGTATACAAATAAGTGTTTCTCGTAAAAATGTCATAGGTTCCATAATAATTAAATATGAAATTTAGCTTGTTCTTCTAAAAACATCACAAGTCCACTCCGTTTCGTCTAAGAAAGTCACATGCACACAACATGTGACGTTTTTGGACACTCTAGAAAAGCTTCTACTTCTTTTACATTACCACAGCAATAGAAAATTTTATGATAACTTGATAAAAGAGCAGAAGACCATAGCACCTGACAGTCCTGATAACACGGTCGAAAACGATGATAACAGCAGTGGATGCGAAGACTGAGTGTGGCAGTAATACAGTTTTTAGTTTTTTTATTTATTTTGTTACTCAGAGTTAGTATTTAGTTTGTAGTGTTTGTAGTAAGAAGAATTGTTTCTTTTTTTCTTCTAAAAACCTCACATTTTTTGTGTTTTTTTCATATTCGTTTGAAAATACAAACATGAGGAATTCTGGACAAAGTATCTTACATTTTTTTACATGGAGTAAATAGGTCAATAAAGTACTTTGGTCAAAAATGGGAATGTCGGAGAGTTTTTTTCATTTTCCCAAATATGTTAATTTTGGACTAATGATGTTTTTCCGAGAAACGCGTCAATTAATGTCTAAAGATTTTTGTTAAATCTTTAATTTAACATTCCTGCTTTCTAAACTTATCGCGAGCCGCCTCTGGGTTCAAGAGATCGAGTAAACCATTATGGTTCACACTTTTAGATTGCACCAGGAAACATAAACAAGTGAATGACACTTTTATTTATTATTATCACTATACACTGTCATTGTGTTTCTTATGAATGACATAATTTGTCTAACCAAAAATATTAGGTACCTACTCAAAACTTAAAATGTCGGTATATTCGGATATCAGATCTTCCCGAATCCCGATGAGGGTCAGGTGGAACACAGATGATGGGGCCGAACTGCGCAAGAAGATGGAACTTTTGCAAATAAAAAAGCAAATAGAAATCCTTTCTACTTTTTTGCCGGACAGCATCATCAACTTGGCGAGGGAGGAGCGCGAGAAAGGCGATCAGTTCTCCGGGGTGGTTCTGCTAATAGAGATTACCGGCTGCGCACACATGTGCGAAAAGTACAACAAAAACGATGGTGGAGGCATACACAGATTAACGAATACTTTGAACGCATATTTGGGCGCTATAATAGAGGCGGTCTATTTCTTTGGAGGCGACGTTCTGCATTTTATAAACGATGGTTACCAGTGTATTTGGAGGGCGCAATCCAGCGAATGCTTGCACGAAGTCATACACAATGTTATAGTGTGTTCTATATACATCAGAAACACTTTTGGAGGTTTTCAGACAGAAGTTAATGTTCCTTTGAATGTGATGTTGACTATATCCTCAGGACATTTGAAATTGGTGGTTGTTGGAAATGAGACATTTAAGACTTATTTGTTACTGGGAAATCCTGCTCGGGAATCTAAAAATTTGTATCGAGACGAAAGCTTGGTTGTAGTAGGAGCTTCTGCTTGGGGACACTTACAAGAAGATGCTTATGATTTTGAATATTTACCTGATAATAGCATTAAAGTAAGATATAACCATTTTAAAATATAATACCTAAACAATAGACTGGTTCAAAAAAATCGAATATTTTTTTTTCTTCAAAGCCCGCATTGAAATATCTTCCTAGTAGTGAAAAAAGAAGCCTGTGAAAATTGTAGCTCTTAATATTAATATTTAGAGGTCGCTCATCGTGAATTTCTATTTTACGTTTAAATAACACAGGAATTCTTTTTTCTTAACTTTGAAATTTTATAACTCGTTTTTGAGTGAACATATTGGAATAAGCGACACATATTTTTAAAGAAAATTAAACGCTCTACAAAAAATATTTCTTATAATTTTTTCATAAATTCACTTCTTTTATAGTCATTCAAGGTTGAAATTAGACATATAATAAATTTAACGTTTTTTTTTCAATTGGTGGCATAATAATAAACCTTATCACTCATTATTGTACAGGATGGTCCAGTTTGTAGTACATTAATTTTAATAGGTGATAAAGCATCAAAAATAAGGTAGACTTTCATAAAAAAACATCATAACTTTTAAACCACAAAATTAATTTGGCACACAATGTAATATAGTCAGTGCCTTAATAATAATGTAGATAATCAGTGCCGCAGTTACTTGGGGGGCTGCTCCCCTTTTCACCTCAGTCTTTGACGCCACTGGAAATTTTAAAATAATAAATAAATGTTTAGGTCAAGTTTTTAATTAATGGAAAAATGTTTCCTCTCAAAATTACATTTTTAGATTGTCTATTCAATTTAGAGAAAGAAAAAAAACTACTGTGCTAAAATTTTAATTTAGGGCTTCGTTTTTGAAATATTTGGGAACACACTCCAAAAAAACTGCGGCAAAAGTATTCTTGGATAAATAAATTAATTATTTAAAAAATGAAGCACTAAATCAAAATTTTACATGAGTAGTTTTTTTCTCTAAATTAAACAGATAATCTAATAATGTGTTTATTATTAAAAACAATTCCAGTGGCGCCTAAGGTGAAAAGAGGAGCAGACCCCCAAGTGCGCAACTGATGTTTTTTTAAATAATTATCCACATCATTACTAAGACATTGACTATATTGTGTACAAAATTTGATAAAAATTGATTAAGTGGTTTAGAAGTTATGATGGGGAAACGGGTTTTTTTATAAACTTTGACGGAAAGCGTATCTGCAAGGAAACATTTTTGAGCAAATATTTCAGAAACAAAGACCCAAATCAAAATTTTCCAGGAGTAAATTATTTCTCTAAATTAAAAACTTGACCTACAAATTTATTTAATATTTTAAAAGTTTTAGTGGCGTCAAAGACTGAGGTGAAAAGGGGAGAAGTCCCCCCACATTATTATTAAGGCACTGACTATATTACATTTTGTGCCAAATCTGATGAAAATGAATGTTGTAGTTTAAAAGTTATAAAGAGAAAACTTTGTAATCTTTGACACCTGTATTTTCCTTAGGAAACATTTTTGAGAAATGTTAATTAATGAAAGTCTATCTTAAAATAAATGTATCACAAACTGGACCGCCCTGTATAATCTTTTTTGAAAATTTTATATAAATTATGTTTCTTTAAAAAAAATTATCGCTCGTTCCAATATGTCCACTCAAAAAAAAAGTTATAAAATTAAAAAAATTCCTGTGTTATTTAAACGTTACATTTATTATATGTCTAATTTCAACCTTGAATAACTATTAAAGGAGTGAATTTACGAAAAAATTATAAGAGACATTTTTTGTAGAACGTTCAATTTTCTTCAAAAATAAATAGAGTTCATTCCAATATGTTCACTCAAAAACGAGTTATAAAATTTCAAAGTTAAGAAAAAAGAATTCCTGTGTTATTTAAACGTAAAATAGAAATTCACGATGAGCGACCTCTAAATATTAATATTAAGAGCTACAATTTTCAAAGGCTTCTTTTTTTACTACTAGGAAGATATTTTAATGCGGGCTTTGAGGAAAAAAAGTATTCGATTTTTTTGAACCAGTCTACTAAACAATGTTTTTATATTATAGCTTAACAACTATTATGAAAAATATCTACACCTCAAAGTAAACTTTGCCAAGAAGTTAGAAGTAGTGTCGAATATGTGCCAGAAACACCTAAAACACAGAGAAACCCTTCACAAACTAAGAAAATTTAACGACACTCTCACCGACTTCAAAATAACAGAAAGCTTTATGCGAAATCTTCCACCAAGAATGTCAGTTACCAATGCGGCTCATAACTGGATGACCAGCGAGCTTAAGCCGTTTGTTATAACACCCATATCATATCAAGTGGATGAAAAGTTAGCTGTGGATTATCTAACAGAACTGCGTGAAATAACTTTGTTGTACATCTATATTGTTCCGGCAGATCTTAAGCCCGAAACCTTGATTCAAACCATCAACGATTCGCACGATATAATCTGCAAGTATGTCTCTTACTTTCTAGGACAGGTTGTCAATGTAGTTATAATAGAAAAAGGCATTCGTGTTTTGGCTTCTTTTGGTTTCCGTGGCGTCAAACACGAATTGGAAAGTAGAAATGCCTTAAGAAGTGCAAATAAAATCGCCAATTCCATCAGAAGCACCATAAATGTTGTAAGTGTTTCAATAAGTGCAACGATCGGTTTTTTGTACTGTGGCGTCTTGGGTCATCCACATAGACGCGAATACTGCCTGATAGGAAAAAGTATACGGAAATCATGGAAGTATTTAACCTTATACCCCAACCAAATTGTATGTGACTATCTGACATTCAAAAACTCAAAGCTATCGTCATCATACTTCTTCACTCTAACGCCAAACCAAAACATATTGAACGAAGTCGCTTTTAGATACAAGGAAGAATGTGATTTAATCTACTTTGAGCCCAGTAATAAACCTCTACTTGGTAGAAATAGTTATATGGATTTTATAAACCTACTTGTCCATCAACCTCATAAAATCGGCCATGTATGTGGGGTATGTTTCAAGGGGCCACATGATATAGGTGTAAGTAAAATACTAAAGACTGCTCTAACTAAATATGGCAATGGCGATGGTTACACTGTAGGTGCTGTGGAGCTTATTGGAAAACAAAGACCATACTACACAGTTTCAGTTATCTACAGTCAAATTTACAATAAGTATGCTGAAGTTGACAGCCCTTATTTCAGCGTTATAAAAGATATGCCAAGGGAGTTGTGGAATTTCAATGAAATCGTCCAGAGAGATGGAAAGTTAAGCGCTAAAGTTTACTCTGAAAGAAAGTATAAGATATTCGATCTATTCAAAGCTATCTGTAAGGGAGATTCCACAACTATAACCATATTATTTATAGATAATGTCCAGTACATCGACAAAAAAAGTTTCGAAGTAATACATGCAGCTATGGATGAAAAAGTAGTACGCTTAGTTTGTGGGGGATGTTTTGAACAATCTAACTGGGACACTCTCTGGAAATTCTCGCTCAGTAGCCTTATAAAAGTCATGGAGGTCAACCCCCTGCAAGAACTCTACGTGGCACCTTTGCTATGCCGAATGCTAAACATTAAAGGTGTATCGAAAAACCTGGTTTCTTTAATTGTAAAAAGTTTTGATGGTAAACCAGGTTACATCGAAAAAAGCATTTTAAGACTCCTTAACACCAACTGTATACAGATGCAGTATATTATATCGGAAAAAGCTAAAAACATTAAAGAAATTATAATACTGAATGAGAAGGATTCAGATATAGAAATTAATAAAACCAGTGATATATCCGATGATTCTGCAAAGGAAACTGGAGAAGATATTATACCGGTGGCAATTTTCATCGATACCATTACAGAGATAGGAAACCTAACTCTGGATGCTATAATTTTTGAAGAGTACAGTATATTCACGGAGTATCAACAGTTAGTCATCAAAACCAGTTCAGTACTAGGGGAGTCGTTTACAAGAGCACTCCTAATGATAGCCCTAAAAGATCCCCATGATCAACTATTTGCAAACACCATAAAAACATTGTTCGAAGAAAACATATTGGACTGCGGTTCCAAATACATGAACGCTATAAACCAGGAAATCAAACCCCTAGTATGCCAATGCTTCCAGTTCGATAAAGAAAACCAGCAACTTTTTGGTTTGCCAAAGTACGCTTTCTGTAAGTTCTTGTATTTTAAAAACAAAACCTTGAGAGCATTTGCCTACAATCTAGTTCCGGCATATCAACGCAGAGAATTACACATTATAGCAACCGAAATCATAGAGAACCAAAACAATAAATGCCCCTACTGCAGCAACGATAGCTCAGGCCAATTCATAGTGATGAGGAAATTCGATGAGTTGGCCGATGCTTGTAACGAAGGCCTGATGAAAACTCCGCTTCCGAAATGTTTGGATAAAGAATCCATTGACGATGAAGTTCTGAAGGGCTGGGTACGCCAAGGTTTAGTATTCGCCACTCAAAACCACGCAGTTAAAATACCGCAGCGAAAGAGATTCGATTCCACTGAATGCTTCTGTTTGGAAATGCTCACCAAAGTTTACGCCGACTTGGTTTATCACAGCAAGTGCGCCGAACATTTAGGAAGAATCATATTTTTCCAAATACAGTACGGTCAAATATTGTTGACTATGAATGCGGCTGAAGATTGTATACCTCTTCTGACCGAGGCTAGTGAGTTGTGCATGTTTAACTCCAAGATGCAGTATTTGACAGAAGACTTCCGTAAGATAACCTTGGGAAAAATACATATGCTACTAGCAGAGGCACATTTGAATTTGGATAATATATCCATAGCCAAAAACCATATAGCAATTAGCCTAAGACAATATGATTCCCCCATGCTATCAGTGATATGTAAAGTCCCAAACAAAATTCTGACAGCGACATGCCTAAAACGCGGTAACTCTGCAGTAAGAAAGCCTAAAATGATCCCCTTTGTAAAGGCCGATTTCGGGTTGTGTATGAACTTGGTCAGTCTAATATTTTACAAAGAAGGGCACTACAAGTTAGCAAAGCACGCGTCCGTTAAAGCTTTAGCTTTCGCCAGACAACTTCACACTAACGTCAACATGCTATGCGATATGTATTCTACAGCTATAGAGTTATATTCTTTTTGTGGGGATACACATATATGTGAGCAGTTGGAAAACAATATAAATTGTGAGATTTTAAAGTATTATACAAATAACACCATAACAGAGCTTCTATCGATATGCAAGCTACTCCATTTGATATTTCAGTTTAGAGCTATGACAGCTGATATCTACGATACAATTAAAATGGGTTATAGAACCATAGAAATGAATTTGATGTGTCAATCGTTCCAAACCTTGATACGAATGTTGCCTGTACTAAGTTCTCTACTACTTATAGTGCAAAGAATTCAGGACGCGGTCCAACTAGCTGTAATGTTATGTGGCTATTCCTCGAAGTACGATCAATGGGCGTTTATAGGTTACTTCGCTTTTTGTATGGAGTTAAGTTTAGAATGTAGCTTCTTTTTAGAACCAATGGACAAAATATTAAAATTCGTCCATATATACTACATGGATCAAGGAAAAATGGTGGAATCCAATATAGATAACAAACTCATTCTTCTTATAGTTAACTATTACTTAAAGAACGGCCAAGTGATAGAATCTAGGAAGTGGATGTTACTTTACAGAGACCTGTTTGATGACGAATTTAATTACATTTCCATAACCAACCTATTGAAGCGTTTTGAGAACGAGTTATTATCAATAATTATGTGTCTTGTCTATAAATTCACTGGAAGGGAAGACCACGAAAATGTCGCAGTTATATTAAACAAACAATGTTCGATAGCCTCAAGTAAATGGAGACGCTTCAAACCTAGATACCTACATCTCAAGGCTTACTACATGCTGGTTAGACGAAGCTCATTTAGTTGGAAAATGCTGCTGAAAAAAGCTTTACACGAGGCAAGATTGCAGAAAAATATTTTAGAACAAAGTTGGATTATTATTAATCGGGGTTCGTGGAAATTCAGTTTGGGTACAGAGTCAAAAGAGTTAAAAGAGTTTTCCTGGACTTTGGCGTCTCAATATTCACCTCTACATTGGGCGCAAATTATGAAACCCTTACCTATATTATAGCATTTAAAATGACATGTTATTGTGTTTAGCATTAAGTAAAGTTCTTACCTCTTGTAGTATTCTTCTAATACCTTCTGTGGGTGCATCTTTGTAATGCTGTGGATCCTCTGAGAGTAGTTTGAGGACCCGGATCTTTCCGTTGGGGCATTTTGCAAAAACGTCCGTAAAAGTACCACCCCTGTCGATGGCAAATTTAAATTTGTGTTCTGTAGCCATTATCTGAAATTAAAGATTAGGTTGGTATTGGACAGTGTTTTCAAAAAATTGGTAATTGAAGTTCTAATGGCGTTTTAAGAAAATCACAGTTGATGTTAAATTATAAATAATTTACAGAACATATCATCACCAAAGACGGAAATCTGCGTTGATTAAATTCTCCCATGGGCCAGTTACGGTCCGCGCAAAACAAAATTTCAACTGTTATTATCTACCTGTTTTCAATGGCATTTTAATGCTACAACCAAAAATCTAATAGCTAATTTGTGATGACTTACATTTATTGTAAAACGTGTACGAATAATCACGTGTCCCAAAAGTGTCGCCCCCAAGGGTAAATTCCTCTTGAAATTCCAAGACAGATTGGTTTTTAGATTTTAAGAAGATTACTTATTCTTATTTTTCCAATTTAATATTTTAATATAATTTAATATTTATTTAGAAATAAGTTACAAGTACAATACTTTTGGAAAAATTCTCAAAACTGTTGAGTATGAATAGTGTTAGTTGAACTTTACATGGATACAATAAACTATTGTCTTTTAAAATATGTAAGAATAAACCTTTTAATTAAATATTTCGGAAACCCGACATCAATTGTTTATCTGCGCCACCAATTTGTTAGTTTAAGACTTAGTAGCTCCAAAAATAATAATAAGTTAGCAAAGGAGAGCAGATAACTTTGGACACAGTATATAAATAATCCCAAGCATTTTTCGTTACAAAAACCATTCTCAAAACTCTACACTAGTTATTTATACCAAACAGCTACTTAAATTTTAACCTATAAGTAGGTATGTGTAACTTATCAATAATAAAATTTTATAACAGGAACTTCATACTTTTTTCTAAATGTTACTTTAAAGTAGTTGTAACTAAATATTATTATTAATTAAGACTATGTGACTGTAAAAAATGTGTTATAAGTAAAAATTACTTTGTAGTAAAATTTCTTGGTGGTAGTCTTCCTGTTGCTACATAAATATTACCATATAAGTAATTATTTTTATTTTGCAAGTTAAAATCCCGAAACTGGAACAATAAATGGAAACTACAAGGTGTTAAGCTATAGTAAATTAATAGTATATTATGTATCAAGTTTAATAAACGCCATTTTATACACGAATGAGTGTATAAAAAAGTTTATAAACGAGGTGCATACTATACTTTTTCTACGACAAATATTTATTATTATCTTAAAATGATTTAAATCAAAAATTTGTATAGAGCGCCTTCTATGAAACAATAGGGGAATCTGTCTGTCAAATGTCAAATTTTTATATTCTATAAACACAGATTATAAAGGTTATAAATCGAAATGCATTTCTTGAAAATTGACAGTTTTTCACAGTGAAAGTAAAGAAAATGTTTTATGAGCACTTTACAGTGGAGTCCGTGCCCGAATTTAAGTTATTGTTTACTGCCGGCGAAATTAAAAGGTTCGTACAATGTTCATATAAACTTTTCAAGTATTGGCGTTGAAAAACTATTTAATACTTTTGTATTGAGATAATAAAATAATTTTCACATTTTACAAGAAAGGCATTTTATTTTAACGATTGTATGATATTTGACAACTAACTTAAAACTAACTTCAGCCCGTGACTAAAAACCTGTTGCTAACTTCAGCCCGTGACTAAAGCGCCATAAAGCCACAACTTGTCAATGTGTATTTAAAAGGTCACTTAGTGTCATGGAAACATGTACGATAAAGGGCGTTTTAAAGGTGGGAGTAGAAAAAAGTTAATATTTTAGTGTGTGGTACCAGTTCCCTTAAAGATTAAAAAATTAAACAGTGTAGAAAATGGATTTTTAGTTTTCGAAAAAAAAAATCAAAGTGTGCCGATATGTCACAGCATCAAAAATATTTATTCCAATAGACAAGAAAAATGATTGGTCGTTCGTCGGAATCGCCAGGAAACCCATGGAAAAATTGCCATGGAATTTCGAAATGGCAAGGGTTTTTTCGTGTCCAATTCACGTGGAATTCCTCATATATAATGTTTATTATAAATTGGAAAAAAGTGAGAATAAATCTGTTGACAGTTGACAGGTCAAAAGTTTAACAAATAAAATTGGCTTTAATTTCTTCTTTTTGTTTGTCGTAAATAAAGTATACCTAGTATGCAACTAGTTTTATAAACTTCTCTAGACACTCATTTTTATTAAACACTCGCTCGTAAGCTTTGCTCGTGCGTATTAAAACTCGTAACTGAAATGTTGTTTACAAAACTTGATACCTACATAATATACCATTAAGTACCTGGAACTGTAATTTAATTTTAAAGGATAATACAGTTTTTAAGTTTCTAAAATAAAACTTTAAAGTTCCAATAACTTTAAGCAAACTAAATTAATTAAATAATAGTTTCAATATGGCTTTAACAAAAAGTTGTTCTAGTAAAAATATAAATTATTAATTATATTATTAATTCTACTACTTTTCATCGAAAATTATGTATGTGCGATTACCAACGCAATTACCACTACAACGAATGTAATTCAAAAATATTCCTAGTTTTGGGTAATAATGTAAGTATTATTAATAAATCAAATTATAACTGCTTTAGCTTTAGCAGTTTAGCACTAAAATTGCTTGATTTTATTATAATAAAATAGTAAAATCAAGCACTCAAGCAAGAAATAAATAATAAGTAGGTATACCTATTATTTATTTCTTGTAACTAAATCATACCGACCAACCAGAAAATTAAAACATGACCTTAGTAAAAAATCGTTGTTTTTTGAGATATCGGCCATCGGGACAAATCACAAAACTGTTAAAAAAAAATTGTGGATAATTTATTATACAGTGTGACCCATTTGTTTGCGACTCACCCCTGTAAAATCTTTATTTATTGTGCGATTTTAACCGGATTTGTTTTAAAGTGTAGATCTTGATGAACTGTATTTTTTGAGCAAAAAACGCCATATTTGTACAAAATACAATGCCTACCATGTCAGTTTTTAAGAGTACATTTTTAAGAATTCATATTAGCGATTTTTTTAAACAAAATCTAAGCACGGCACTGGATTCACCACCCCTCAAAACGACCCTTTACTAAATTTTATTGAAAAATTTTAAGTATAAAGATGCACAATAATAACTACAAAAATTTATTCTGTCAAGTTATATATGAAAAAAACTTGGTAAAAATAAACTTAAGTTGGTAGTAATACTACCATGGCATATTTTTCCTTAGTCTGAACGGTCAGGCTAATAAAAAAACGTATAAAATCAGGCAAAATTGTTTTTTTAAAAAGGTAAAAAACTACTATAAGTTTTATTTTGAACTGTAATCAAAAGCAGCTGCCTAGGCCTATTTATGGTTTATGGTAGTCAAGCTTTGGTACTCACGACGAAATAAATAAATAAACGTGCAAATAAATAGACTCTTGTATAGTAGTGATATATAAATAATTAGTAGTTAAGTATTTAGTTAGTTTAATAGTGTTTTAAGTGTAATTAAGTTATAAAATAAATCGGTTAGTTCGTTAATAAACCAGTGCGTGTTTTAAATCACACTGCGAACAGTAAAAACGTCACAATGTAATCTAAGAATATGGAATTTTGTAGCTGTAACACTAGAAAAACTGATAGGTGTCAAGTTTTACAAAATTTATAAAAATGCTAATATATATATATATATATATATATATATATATATATATATATATATATATATATATATATATCTTACAAACTAACGATTTTTCATGTTTTAATATTCTGATTAGTAATGCGCTGACCTATTAGTCGTTATCGTTGACTTTTGGGACACGGTGTCCCGGACACCCGGTATATATATATATATATATTAAGTAGTTTTTCTTAAACTTTTTTGATGGCCGATCCCCTTAAAGTTGGATTTAATATAACGGAGCCCGGTATGATTTAGTTGCAAAAAATAAATAATAGGTAAAAAATAATAAAATCAAGCAAGTGTGATTTCAACAAAACATTAATTACGTCTCTCACAAGCCGTATAAAAAATCGTTGAAATATAAGTCATTAAAAAACAAATAAAGTATTAAAATTAAAAGAATAAATTAATAAAAATATTAAATTACACAAAATAAAAACTATAAAAACAAAAAATTAATGAAAATAGCTGTCACTTTTATTTTATGTAAATGTAAATAAATACTTATAGATAACATTTCTACTATATGACGATCAATGTTTATCGCATAGAAACTATTCGTATTTATATATAAAAGCGTAATAATATTACTGTATTTCAGAAACTAAAATTTAAAATTAGAAAGTATGACCTACACCACTCAAAATATGCAACTAACAGCGCACTATAGTGATATAGCTACTTTAAAAGTTTAGTTTGATGACGCAACTACTACAAACTTAAGTATATTTACTTACTTGTTTTTAGTTAATTTAGTTTTATTCCTATCCAAATCAATTAAATTTTTACCACTAACGAAGTGAACTTTCCAACTAATAGACACTATCTAAATTATTTAAATCATTTAAACATGAAATTATAATATTTTACTGATAAAAAGAGTAAATAACTAGGTAGACTTTACGCTTAATATAATCTTTTTTTCGTGGTTAGGAATGATAATCGAACGATCTTCAATGTTATGTTCTGTGGTTAATATTAAGTCTTATACAAAGCCTTATTGTTATTAACGTATTGTGTACCTACAACTTAATATTTATTAACTTATTAGTTATTGCTTACCGTTTTGAAAACCACAGCTGTGTATTGTTATCGAGTTTAAGAGTCACGTGTGGTCAATAAACAATAAATATTAATTGGGAATTATTCGGGTTTACGCAATATTTTAAAATAAGAATTTTTTCCGTGTCCCAATTTTAATTACTTATTTGGAGTTACATTTTTAATTATGGGAATAGTTTAACTTAAACTTAAACCGATTATAATTATAATTATGTTTTGAAAATTATAATTTTCCAATATTCGAATAATAATTATTCGATTATTCAATTCTAATCGCACTCTCCTACAAAAAAATTCTTCCAGTGACGTACATAGCATATTTATATCTGTAAAACCCTACGGCAACAAAATTTTTATATGGCAATATTCGTTTGTAGATACGCCACAAAAAAACTAACCTCCAATATAAAATTTTCCACTTTTACCAAATATATGCTTTATAAAGCAATTATAATATTTCGTCTCCATCTTTTGATAATCAGAAGTTATGTTGAAAAAAACAAATATATTTTTTTAATTTTTGAATTGAATTATTTTGCGGACGGGGTAAAAAAACTTGCCGTGACCTCGCTTCGATGCAGCCATGCCAGATTGGGCACTTTATCGCAAATTGGGGATTTTAAAAAATAATTTGGGCGATTTCTGTAAAATTTTATTGGTCTATAGATTTTAGCGCTGTATTGCTTCATTATACCTACCTACTCAAAATTTTACCTCTTTTGACGATTCTTCGAATTGAACTTGATATCTCACGGTGCTCCCGAGGCGATTTAAATAAAATGTTGATGACACTTCAAAATTCAAGTTTTATATTGTCCTTTAATGTATTAAGAATATATACCAACAGTTTTTAAAATCAGTTTACGTAATCAATTTTTTTTTTAATGGGTTTGAATGAAAAAGTCCTGTTTCCGGGGATAAACAAATATTTAATGCAAATTGCTAATTCAAATTAAATTCAAATTATATATTTTTATCAAATCTCACAAACCTTATTTTTATGTCGTCATGGTTATAAGTAGGAATAATAACTATGGGTTAATATGGACAAGAACTTGTCAATATTTAACATTGCTTGATTTCTTGCAAAGTTGAGTCTAGTTTTTCGTTATCATTTGAATATTATAATATTATAATGATATATAATCAGGGCCGGCAGCTTTTCATTTTGACGTGTGGTGCTCATCTACAGTTGTTGGTAGCAATGGTTAATGGTTGGGGGGCAGTGGCGGCTGGTGGATTTTGGGTATAACGATATCTCAATTATTAGATATGGGACCCACACCAAATTTATATAAGTTTATAATGACATTAAATAAGTTCTGCGCGAGCAGAATTTAATTTGAAGTTTGCGAAAAAAAGATAAATTTTTGGCTCGGCCGTACCGGCCCCCTGGCGCCCCCAATAAATATAATATAAATTTAATTGGTGCAATTTATTATTTACCATAATTTATTGACAAATTACAAATTTCATTTAAAAATTCCAAATTATACCGATTTTAAATTTTTAATGTTTCTTTTCAAAGAAATAATAAAAATTTAAAATCTATATTATTTGGATTTTTTAAATAAAATTTGAAATAGTAATAGTATAGTAGAAATACCCTAAATACACGTGGCGACGTGTCGGTATGTTATTCCTACTATACCAAGATACATACACTTATACATACTATACCGACCGACTTTGATACTTTAAACTTTGGATTCCTTAGCTTCAACCGTAAATTTGTTTGTTTGCTGAAGATACGTGTGGTGCTGAGCACCACCATTTTCCTTTACGTGGGTTGCTTGAGCCCGCGAACACCGCTATTGTTTATTTATTATTGCTCTTGCTCCCAATATTCAAGAAAATTACAATAATGTTGCAAATATTTGGTCTAAGTTAAAAATAAATGAATGTTTAAATGAATATCCCGCTACTGGTTTGTCAAGTAATTCAAGTTATTATCCGTGTATTTGGTGTGATGTTAGCAAAGATAATTTAGCTTCGTGTGGTAATTTAAGAACGACCGAAAGCTGTCTTCAAAATTATAACAACTGGTACGATAAGGGAAGGGTCAAAAAGAATGCTAAATACTTTAAAAATTGCATTCACCCTCCCTTGTATTGTTCTGGCGATGATATATTGATTCTAGATGAGCTGCACCTTTTACTAGGTTGCGTTAACAAACTTTAAACTCATTTACATGAAGGTAATCCTGATATTGCTAAAAAATGGGCTCAATAATGTAATGTTGAAAAAAAGTATACTAATGGTGGTAAATTTTCTTTCGAGGGAAACTCATGTAAATTATTGCTCAAGAATGTCGACAAACTACAAGAGATATGCCAAGTTCGTCAGTTTTATAAAGGCATGGATTAAGTTTGGAGTAGTAGTTAACAGTTGTTTTTCACTGACTTTACATCCAAATTTAAAGGAACATGTTAAAGAATTTAAAAAAAGCTACGAACATTTAAAGATAACTGTGACGCCAAAATTGCATACAATTTTCTATCATGTTGTGCAATTTTGTTCCAAGCATCAAGTGGGATTAGGATTTTTCGCAGAACTAGGTACAGAATCAGTTCACCATGATTTTAATTTGAAATTAAAAAATTATAAAGTGCCGGAACTCAGCAAGAATTATTGGCCAAAACTACATCGAGCTGTATGTAGCTATAATAGTTTACATTTATAAGCATATGACATATCGTTTTTATATTAAATTTTATAGTGTTATGTTTAAACTTTATATAGGTTTATAATTATAGCTATATTACAGTAGCGCTAAAAGTCTAAAACTACTGTTACGTTCGAAAGTTTTATTATTTTAACAAGAATTACTTTTATAAATACCTATAATTTATTTGTAATTTAAAAAAAGTGACGCAAATTTTCCTTGTTTTTTGTATTTATTGCATTAAATATTTGTTTATCCCCGGAAACATGACTTTTTTATTCAAACCCATTTAAAAAAAAAATGATCACGTAAACTGATTTTCAAAACTGTTGAGATATATTCTAAATACATTAAATAACAATATAAAACTTGAATTTTAGAGTGTCATCAAAATTTTATTTAAATCGCCTCAGGAGCACCGTGATCTATTTCCAGATTGCAGCTAGGTACATATAGGTATTATATTAATAATTAATATAATTATTATAATAATTATAATATAATAATAATATAATATATTATAATAATAATTACAATTATTGTAAAGATAATGAATATTAATTTTTGTATACACCTAATTTCATTTACTGTGTAGAAATGTCTTTATCTATGAAAATGTTAAAATGGTATTGTTTTTAATTTAATTTTGCGAATTTTCCGTCACAAGAAATTAATTGCCAGCATTTTTATTTTACTATTCTGACTTTAGCGCTAATTGCATTTTCGTTGGCGCTTTTTATTTGAGTGATCTTTTATAAAATATATTTGCCAGTTGGCGCTTCGACTGTTAAAGATCTGGCAACATTGCTTCGATGACAACTAGGAATGCAGACAATTAGTTTCTACGGGTAAAAGACCACGTTGCATTCAGCATTATATAATATTTTGTACCTAACTAACATTATTTTGTGCTTTTGTTTTTTAAATACTTATAGGTATATAGGGTGGTAAACATTTCAAACTTTTAAATTTTTGGTTTTGCACATTGTTTCATGTTCCATTTCCCTCCCTAATTTTTTAAAAGATTGCACATGTTGGTACATTGTTCTCAAATAATTTTGCAGACTTTTTGCACATTTCATTTTCGCCGAGATATATCTCGAAAACGATAGAGGAAAGTTTTAATTAGGGAAAAGTTGCGCTATTTTATAATAATTAAAATTTATTGAAAAAAAAAATTAAAAATGTGATAAATTCTAGCTATTTTAATGAAACTTGGTGGCTTTTTTTTTCACATTAAAATATTTATTAACAATTAAGTTACTTAAAACGTGCCGGTTTTTAATTATCCAATTTTGTTTGACTTTGGGAAGTTTTCCATTACCCAGGTAAATTCGAACAAAATTGGATTATTAAAAACTGCCCATACATTTAAAAACATTTCATCTTACATCTGTCATAGCCCATTGTAGACACGTCACATAATTTTTGACACCTGTCAAAAAGGTCAACAAATAGGTGTACAAATTGACATGTCAAAAATGTGAAGCTGACAGGTGTCAAAAAATGACAGATTTGAAAAATGACTTCACTGCAGTGTGGTCTAAGTAGACATGTTAACTCCCTGTAATTTGTAACTGTAACTTGAAAACGAAAATCCTTAGGGCATAACTTAAAAATAAAACACACAGGGGTGTTTTTCTTATTTTCCAGTTTTTTTCAACCTTTATGTTACACCCAGTAGATTTAAACAAATAAAACATAAATAATATAACACCCCAAAATATTTCAAATTTTTGCACAAGTTGTCCAAAGTTTTTAAGAATGTTCATGCACTTGGCATTTTCCCTGTGTAATTACAAAAAATATTTTCAAGGTTTTGGTTAAAGTAGAAAGAGCAAAAAAAATAATAAAAATTTAATAAAATTTATTAAGAATTGAAGATACTATAGTATCATATATGTATATATGGTTTTAGCCTTTTTGGTGTCATGTAAATGTTTTTGCAAAAAAATAATAAATATAAGATCTTTGGATGCCAAATCGCAATTCAAAATAAAAATAACCTTGCCAATAAAATACTAATCTTGGTGTAAAAGTCCTTCCACAAAAAAGTTTAGTTAGTTTGTTAGGGTATACATTAAATATTGTGGGAAATTTGTTAAATTTGTCTCAGCAACTTTTATTGTTCAGTCACTGAACATTTTAATAAGATGCAAGATATAAAAATATCTTAAAAAACATAAAATTGTGTAAAAAATGCAAAACTAAAAAAACATTGTAAAATACAATTCACTAAATAAAATTCATTAAAATAAAGAAGAGTTATTTGGTACCTACCTTATACAAACAGATTACTAGAAATTAAAACAAAAAAATCTAATTAACATATTTTATTAAAAACAATATATATTACGGCTTTACAAATCATAAATTTACACTCTATCATTTATTTATTTTTCCTGATGTCTTTTTTTAAAGCTAAGTTGATATTTTTGCAATACCCCATTCAAAAAGATACTTAACGGTTTGCCTTGATGAAGTTGATGAGCCCATTGGTGGAGGCGTCGTGGGTGTTTACTGGGTTATTGTCTTGCAATTCGGGTTCAATGGCTTTGGCCAATTGTTTTCCCAACTCGACACCCCATTGGTCAAAGGAGTTGATATCCCAGATTATTCCTTGCACAAAGATTTTCATTTCGTATAATGCTGTAACAAATTTGTTATAAAAGATTTTGGAATAACAAAGCTATTGTTTTTTTTTTATTTTACCTATATTATAAATATTGTAAAATATTTTAAAATTAGTTAGATACATACTTATAAAAAACGATACAAACCAGGAAAAAATATGAAATATGAAAATATGAAAAATTTAAAACAACAAACCAAAACATATGTATATAAAATTATATAAAATATGGGGTATGGGATAATGGTTTGCAAAATTTATAAAAATAGGTACCTAAATTTTCATTTTGTATAATATTGTAACAAACTTGTTATAAAAGATATTGGAATGACAATATTAGTATAACGACTATTTTTGAGAGCCTGTATAACAATACCTAATTAATATAAAAAACATCAATGTGGTCTTTGTTGTTTTCACACCCAAGGAGGTTTAAAATTATTTGTATAAAAAATCGCGAATATCGAGGAGAGTTTATAAGAGCCCTATTGAAAATATTTAAATAAAAAAATATTTGTTAAAAAAGTAAAACCACCAGATAAACATATTTAAATATTAAAGGTGTTCTCCATTATATTACATAATTAGATTCCGGGTATAAGGGAGGTATTTTGTGATTTGTACAATTTATTGAGAGGATGATTCAAGATTTGGTAAATTCATGTGTCTATGGCTTCGTAAATCGCATGGGCGATAAAACTTTCTGTTGGTCAAAATGGTACATTGATAAAAAGACCAAGGCTTTTGGCCACCAAGAAAGAATTAAAGCATAAGAAAAGTTTTATAAAAAAACACGGGCGTACGAGGAAAGCAGTTAAATTCGTCCTTCAACGTGTTTAACTAAAGAAAATATCAATAAAATAAAACGTCCTTATTGTTTGCCAAAAATATGTCATGAATGAGTTCCAGTAATTTTGGTTAATGTTTTGAGCATGTGGCACTCCAATCAGGTCGCTAAAGACATGTTGTAACGGGCAAATTCGGAACCTAAATTATCAATTTATCTATAAAAACAAAATCGCTGAAAGAGCTGTCAAGTCAGTAAATTAACAGTGCACATTTTTTAAATGACAAACTTTTGGTACTTTTTTGGAAGAATGTATTTCCAATGTAGAAATTAAGGGATAGAATAAAAGTAGGGACTTACTGATTAATTAGGGAAAAAAAACTTGTTAAATATTTTTTTACATTTTATGTTTTTTTAACTTTCTTTTATTAATGAAATCAAGCAGTTTTGGCCTTGTGGCCCTTTTTTACAAACAAACAAATTTAATTTAGCAGTAATCTCTAATATTAATATTTTAAGAGATATACGAAAATATAATTTAGCCTTAAAAATTTTAAATTTTAACAAAATTAAATATAAAGATAATGGTTTTATAATAAAATAGTATTTATATTAATAATGTTTTTTTTCAGTTATTTTTTATTTGTTATGCACAAAAAATAATTACATTTGTAAATTATTTAAAAAATTCCTTGCTAAAATTCAAATTCAAATCTTTTAAAATATTAATTTTAGACTTTTTAACTGAAGACGTAATTTCTCACAAAAATGTATTTACTTTTTTCTCTGAAGTCAACTGTTTACAAGGTAACAGCAAAAATTTTATAGGAAATCAAACCGAATGATACCGAAATAATGCGATATAAATAAATTTACTTCTATACCGTTAAAAATAACTATGTTAAAAGTTCGTTTTCGATTTTATTAAATAACTTTGAAAAAACTAAAGTTTTAGCACAAATTCTAATTTTTTGGGGGTTATCAGGCCGGAAAAATTAAATATAAAATGAGGTTGTAGAGGGCGCTGTATGAGACACTTTTAAATGATCACATCATTTTGCGCCTTAAGAGTATTCACGTTTTTAATAAAAATATGACTTTTTTATATATATTACGTAAAACGGTATACTTTTTAAATATCGCAACAAATAAATCACACTCAACAATTTAAACGTAGCGACATTTACAAGGTGTACCTGTTTTGCGTAATAAAGATGAAAAAAGTAAAACTTTTATTAAAACGTAGCAGGGTTCTCAGATATATATCTCTTGATATATATCGGATATTAGTATATTCTGTAACAAGTTTGGAATACAGCATATTCCGCTCGAGTGAAGAGTTTGTTACACGAGCCGAAGGCGAGTTTGACGGTTTCACGAGAGCGGAATATGCAATTCCAAACGTGTTTCAGACTATACTTTTTCTACGTTTCCAAAAAATACCATAGAAAAATAATTTAATTGGAAGAAAGTGAGGTTGGATCGGTCTAAAATTTGTTAGATATTAAAAACAGAGATGTCGCCACGAGTGTTTATTCTGTCATCGGATGATAGAATATTTCATTCTGTAGCACTTTACGGAATATATGTCATTCCAAAGACAAAAGTGATATTAGAACGGTCAAATTCCGTAATAGGAGTAGAAAATAGTATATTCTGTAACAAGTTTGGAATTCCAAACGTGTTTCAGACTATACTTTTTCTACGTTTCCAAAAAATACCATAGAAAAGTCATTTGATTGTAAGAAAGTGAGGTTGGATCGGTCTAAAATTTGTTAGATATTAAAAACAGAGATGTCGCCACGAGTGTATATTCTGTGATAGGATGATAGAATATTTCATTCTGTAACACTTTACGGAATATATGTCATCCCATAGATAAAAGTGATAATAGAACGGCCAAATTCCGTAATAGGAGTAGAAAATAGTATATTCTGTAACAAGTTTGGAATACAGCATATTCCGCTCGAGTGAAGAGTTTGTCACACGAGGCGAAGGCGAGTTTGACGGTTTCACGAGAGCGGAATATGCAATTCCAAACGTGTTTCAGACTATACTTTTTGTACGTTTCCAAAAAATACCATAGAAAAATAATTTAATTGGAAGAAAGTGAGGTTGGATCGGTCTAAAATTTGTTAGATATTAAAAACAGAGATGTCGCCACGAGTGTTTATTCTGTCATCAGATGATAGAATATTTCATTCTGTAACACTTTACGGAATATATGTCATTCCATAGATAAGAGTGATATTAGAACGGTCAAATTCTGTAATAGGAGTAGAAAAAATATATTATATCATTGATATATATCGGATATAAAAAAATGCTGTGAAAGAGCGTATTTTTGTAAGTATACCCTGAAAATGTTGTACAAATCAATCAAAAGTAACGAAAATACAAAGCCTCAAAGTCGTCAAAAATGACCACTTTTCAGAAAAATAATCAAAAAGGGGTCATTTTTACCGATTTTGAAGCGCTGTATCTTCGTTACTGTTCATTTGATTTGTACAAAATTTTCAGGGTACACTAACAAAAATACGGTATTTAAAAAATTCCCTAAAAGATATTTTTTGAACGTTTTATTATTATTTATTTTTCTCGAAAAACCCTTGCACGTAAACTGAAATATAAGTTGAAGTATTTTTATACAAAATTTTATAAAGATTGGTAAAGGAGTTTGCCTCTGGGATATTTATTTATTTTGAGAAATTATGCAATCAATCTATGTACATTAAATTTTAAGGCAAAATATTCCATAATCGGAACCTTTGCTGCGCCCCTAGATAGAAGGAAATCATAAAATGAATAAACGCAAAATAAAATAAAAAGTTGTATAAAACTCACCAATAAGAGCTCCCAAGGTGAACGGCGTGACCTTCTTCACGACAATACTGTTGGTGGGCCTGTTACCCTGGAACACCTTGTGCGGCAAAATCTTCTCCAGCTGGTCTCCGCTCATGCCCGCTTTGCTCAGCTCTTCCTTGGCCTGCTCGGCGGTCTTGCCGGCCATCAGCGCCTCGGTTTGCGCGAGGAAGTTCGATAGCAGGATGTTGTGGTGCACGCCGTCGCCGATGGGGTTGTGCGTCTGCGCGGGCGCGATAAAGTCGCAGGGGACGACGCGCGTGCCCTGGTGGATCAGCTGGTAGAAGGCGTGCTGCCCGTTGGTGCCCGGCTCGCCCCATACTATTGGTCCAGTGGCGAAGTCAACCTAAAGGCGATTTAACATTCTAAAATGTGTTTATGACATTCCAAATTGTGTTTTTGACACTCTTATAAGGGTTATACAAGGTTTTGCTGAAATGCCTGTACAAAAAATTTACTTCTGTACAAAAGTTGATAATAAACCAAGACACAATCGAGCGGATTTAAGTTTTTGGTCCTCGAGGATCTTTCAAATCATTATCAACATGTGTGCGACCGCTTTTAAATAGTTTTCAAATTTTTTGCAATAAGGTAAGGTGGGGTAATTGCGATATGTTTTTGTACTAGTTGGCATTGTCTCTTGAATTAAAAGTAAGGAGTGATAAAACTAAACCTAACCCAAAGCTCATTATATAGCCCAACTACTCAAGAATTATATTCTAAAGTATAAAACATTAGGAACTAAGGGCTAAAAAATTACATCTTTTTTTTTAAACGTTCCTAACATATTGCATTTGCCCCGAAAAATGGGGCAAATGTGTTAGCAGCTAATTACATTACACTATTAATGTATTTGTAGTGGGTATGGGGCTAATGTAAAAGAGGAAAAAAATAGGATTATTTTGGTGTAAAATCGTGTGAATCCGTTAATAATCATAAGGTGTGCAAACTTTTTTTATTTTTTATTTAAGAATTAACAGACTACGCGGTTAATACAAAAAGGAAAAAACGATTTATTATTATGTACTTAAGTAACCAAGTGGTACTGCGCAGTAGTTGTCGGGATTTCTCTACTTAGATATGCAACCCAAGACAACAGCGTGCGTTTTTATTCGTTTGCTTTTATTTACTACTTCAAGTAAGAATTTTATCGCAAGATGTTACATTTACCCCAATCTTACAATTAACCCACCTTACCTTAACACTAGTTTACAAAATTTGATAAAGTTGTTCCTCATTTAACCAAAAACACTTTTTTTAAGGTAAAATTTTGTACTGATTCCAAAAATAATAGTAGTTTTTCTGGTTTAGCTCTAGATTTCGGGTTATCCATGAAATCTCGCAAAAATGCACTGTTCAGAATATTCAATCAAAAATATGCAGCTAAAATTTTATTTGATATCAAATCAATCCCAAATCTTTATAGCAGTAAGGACTGCAGTCCTAAATCGCATTAGTGGTTTTGTCACTATGACGAAAAATACGTCAGAAAAAATCATTATTTTCCGATTTTTTTTCAATTTTTTCAACTTTGGTCCACTGTACAGGGTGTCCCAAATTGGTTGTCCGTATAGGGTCATATCTCTTAACCTAAAAGAGCTAAAAAAAATCTGTCTACACTAATGAATTCTATGATAAAAAGTGCCTACATAATATTTTAAACCTGTATTCGTAACTCAAATATTAACGAAACTACAAGCATTTGTCAAAATTGACAAAAATTTAAAAAATGGGTATATCTCCCAAACAAATGCGAATCGAGAAAATTCAAAAACATCAACCGATGTATCTGCGTGGTCGAATTTTTTCTAGCATTTATATTTACTGAGATAGCCTATACGGACAACCAATTTGGGACACCCTGTATATCAAAAAATATTTTAAAATATTAAAAGTTAGTCCCCCTATATTCAAGAGAATTTAATTATGAAAATGTTATCATTTATAATATTACATTTTTTTTAGATTTAATAAGGGAAAAGAATTATCAAAACCGTTTTTTTTTATTTTTTTGTTATTTATTTATTAAAATTCTCTAGAATATAGGGGGGCCAACTTTTTATATTTCAAAGTGTTTTTTTATTTACATCGGACCAAAGTTGATTTTTTTTAAATTCAGAAGAAAACGATTTTTTAACTGTTTTTGGTCCTAACGACCAAACCACTAATGTAAGTTTTACACCTTAAAATTTTTATTACACTTTCCTTCTTATAGCTATAAACATTTGGGATTATGCTAATATTAAATAACAATTTTAGCTGAAAATTTGTGATTGTTCTGTAACATTGCATTTTTTCGAGATTTCATGCGAATCTCGAAATCTAGAGCTAAACCAGGAAAACCACTATGATTTTCTGAATCAGCACAAAATTTTACCTTAGAAAAAGTAGTTTTGGTTCAATGAGGAAATTCTTGTAAACTAGTGTAATCAATTTGTAAAAAATAATTAAATTATAGTATATTTTAAAATAGCAAATATTTTCAACCTCAAAATGTTTTCATAGTTTCTTAAATATATGCTTTGTCATAAACTTCCAAATAAACCTCTGCACTGTGCAAGAGAAACACTTGTAATTCAGCCGGCATTTCAAATACTTTAGCGTAGAGATGCGACTTGAAAAAAACGGTCCGTTTTTTTTTGTTTTTTTCAAATGTTTTTTTTTTCATATTTTAGTTTTTTTTCCCATTTGCCTAATTTTTTGTTTCCAGTCCAGTTCGTGGACTAAAATTAGCCACTAAATGACATTTAGTAATGTAAATACAGTCTCGCGCTTTGCACGCGCCACCACCACCGAATTGACCAATAAGGGCCGCGCTTGTTTAATTTGGTCCTAAAAAAAGTAAGCACTTTTTTTCATGATTTTTCAAATTCATGTAGAGTATGGAAACTAGAAATTTCAAGCTTCAAATTGCTTTTTTACGGCTCCAATACGACCATTTTTAACGAAGATACAGCTATCCGAAAATTTTGGAATTTTTTTTATCCTTTAATTTTTTCTATTAGTGTAGAAGTTTTACATTGCTATTGGTTTCTTATGTGGAAACTACCAAATAATAAGAAATCAGATTTTTTAGTCTCGGTCAAAATTTTCAATAATGAAAAATGTAATATTCTATATTTCACTTTATTATTAATACACATTTTACTCAAAATTTCATTTTGAAAAATTATTGAATTTTTTAAGATTGATGTTATTTATTGACAGAATATGCTTTATTGCAGCGGATTTGAAAAAAAATAAAAAAACCGTTTTTTTAGTTTTTTTTTCAGATCTGAAAAAAACCGTTTTTACATCTCTACTTTAGCGACGTTTTGTCGGCCTTACTTTGCAACATAATTGACGAGTGTATTAGCTGCATTATGACGAATACGACATTTTGCGGAGCTAAAAGATTACGATAAATTTACCAAGGAAAAGAAAAAGGAGCGAAACGCAGAAGAGGCCCATCAATCAGCCCGGATTCATCCGGACGTCTTGTGCATGCCGCAAGTAAAGTGTTGCTGACTGTCTTTAAGCCAAACTCACTCTAACATTATCTAGGTTTATATTTTTAGAGGTTTTTAAGAAATTACAAATCAAAATAATGGTCATTTATTAATTTTGCGCATTAATATATAATATAAATTACCCTATAAAATTAAAACCTACCCTGCAACAAAATGGATATTTTTAAGTTACGCTTTAATAACACTGGTCAAAAAAATCAATTTTTGCCACATGGGAGCCTAACAACTGCTATCGTTATCGTTTTGCTCATTTATCAACATGCAAATTTGCATATTGATAAAAACGTTTTTTCGCAATATCTTGGTAACATTCAAATTGGAATATATTTTTTTAATTAAATACATTAACCAACAATCATTGGTCGGCTAGTACAAGTTTAACTAAAAAAACATTATACCAAATTATACCAATGCATAAAGTAAGTCCCTTAAAAAGCATATTTTTAACAGAATAAAATCGAATTCTTGTCCAAATTTAACAATTGTTCAAAGTGCTGCCAAACGAACAATTTTTGTCCGGTTTTAAAGTTTATATTTGGGTGATTCTCCCGAAATGATCATTTTGTATGTAACCAATTTTTGTATACATATATACTATAATTCATTGGTATTTTCTTTTAGAATAAATAACTTTCAAGTATTTCGAAAACATCCTTCAAAATAGAATTAAAAATAAAACTGAAATAAGTTTTTTCTTACCATTTTTGATTAAGAAAAATCATTCCTCTGGATTGTAACCCTCAATATTCTCATGCTTATAGAAAATAAAATAGCTATAAACAATTTTAAAACATTTAAATAATGATTTATTTTACAAATTATTACATATTTATAACTCTCCCCCAAACAATTAAACAATAATATTGTATGGGTGCCCCATAATATAAATCGAAATTTCGTAACCGAGTTTGATAATCATTCCTCTGGACGATCTAAATGATTTATTATTAGTACATTAGGTGGCGCTAGGTGATTATGCCTTGTGGTACAGAGCCGTTCAGATAGCATACAATTTAAGCTGACTAATTGTTGGTGTGTAATTTTATTGTTTTTTACTATTTTCACAAAACTTCTGTGCTTCAAAGTAGTGTCACAAGCGAGTGAGGCATTCCTCTGGTAAGTGTTAGCTTTATATATGTTTAATTAAAGTCTTCATTTAATTATATCCTGTAAAACTAGCGGACCCCTACTCATAGACTATATTTGAGGTTAGAAAAAACAAAGCATCCTACATTTAGCATAACAAAACCGTCAAAATCGTCATTCCTCTGGTATCATTCCTCTGGACCCATAGTTCCAGAGGAATGCCGAATATGCCAGAGGAATGGTATTGGATTAATTTAATGTTTTTGATAATATTATCAAAAACATTAAGAATAAGTGCAAATTAATCCAAAGTAATTATTCTGTTTTCTATTTATCTTATCTAGTTAGTAAGAAAACACGTCTTGCAGAAATAATAACACGTTTACAACTAGTAGTTATGACTTGATAAGAAACCGTAATAAAATAATACAGTATATACTGTATTATTTTATTACGGTTTCTTATCAAGTCATAACTACTAGTTGTAAACGTGTAATTATTTCTGCAAGACGTGTTTTTTTACTAACTAGATAAGATAAATAGAAAACAGAATAATTACTTGTATATATATATACCGGGTGTCCCGATAAAAATAATATTCAATTTTTAAACCCTACTCGAAACCAATTTGTCAACGTTGTATATTGTGGGTGCGCTATTTTCCGGATACCTTGTATAATTTGTTTACAATGAAAATAAATTGTTTAGATTATCAACCATGCCCCAGTCGAGGGAAGAAAAACTCCGGAAAAAAAGGGAAGCTGAAAAAAAAAGATACGAAAGGCTTAAGCAGGATCCTGAAGGGAGAGAAAAGTTGAGGCAAAAAGAGCGTGATCAGTATTCCAAAAAAAAGGAGAATAATATAGTTCAACCCATCAGTGAGCTAAGCAAAAGAGACCAACGTATGAAAAGAAAACAATGGCGCAAAAACTCTACAACTTATAGATTAAGAAAAAAGCAAACTGAAAATGAAAATCATTTTCTGGAAGAAAATACTCCACCACCTAGTCCCGTTCGTTTGGAAAACGTAAATGATGTTCCAAGAGATACACCACAAAGTATTTTAGGAAGACGTTTAGCAGCAAAAAATCGGAAAATAAGGAGCAGAAGGTCCAAGGAGAAAAATGAACTTATAGAAAAACTTAAAAAAAAAATCACAAAATACAAAGTAAAATATCACAGACTAAGGAATCTGACAAAAGAGAAGCGCACTAAGCGTGAAGTTCAACTTTCTCCGAAAACCAGAGTAAACGAAACGATGCGTGAGAATCAAAATCCAGATATTATCAAGAAACTTTTATTTGCTGAGGTCGTAAAGGATCAATTAAAGACAAATTACAAAGAATTGAAAAGCGGTAATGAAAAGCAAATTTTTAGACAAGTACTATCGGGAAAAATAATTAAGAAGTACCAAATCACAAACGACTTACGAGAAATTGTGAGAGGTAGCAAATTGATTAAAACCTCAAAGAATATTGAGAAACGACATGCAGTGGAAAGATGCAAGAAAATTAATGCAATTTGGAAATTTTTAACATCAGACATTAATAGTAGAATGTGTCCGGGAAAAAAAGATTATTGTTCTAAAAATGGCAATATAAAGCAAAAACGATATCTTAACGACACCATGGTAAATTTGCATAACAAGTTTTTAAAACATCACCCTACTATGCCTATAGCTTATATATAAGCTATGCTTTTTGGTGTAAGAATCGTCCTTTTTATATTATTTCAAGGAAGGTTTCAGCGAGAGACACTTGCGGTTGCTCAATATGTTTAAATATGTCTCTGTTGATTCAGTCTCTCAATCGACTAAAGGTGATAAATGAACATGATCCAAATTCTGTGATGTCATCATTTTGTTGTGAAAATACTACAGAAAAATGCCTCCTTAGAGAATGCTTTTGCTGCAAATACAAAAAGGTTTTGTATAAAGATCAAGATTCCTCTATCAAGGGTCATTACTTTAAGTGGTGTTCGCAGAAAGAAACATATTTTGATAAAAAAACAAAAAAAGAAAAGAGCGTAAGTAAAATTACAAAACGAAAGTTTGAATGCCCTTTAGCAGAGATAATAGAAGAGTTTGAGAGCAATATCATAAAGTATCTGAAACACAGGGGCAGGGCTCGTCACCAATACAAAAGGATCACAAAAATGAAAGAGGAACTAAAGAGTAATGAGGCATTAATCCATATGGATTTTAGCGAAAATTATAATTTAAAGTATGCGGAAGAAGTTCAATCTTTCCATTTTGGAGGGTCCAGACAGCAGATATCACTCCATACTGTCGTTTTGTATACAAAATCTGGTGAAGAACTGAAAAAAGAATGTTTCTGCACTTTATCCGAATCTCTTCAACATAACGTACCTGGAATATGGGCACACTTAGATCCTATTTTAAAATACATTGAAGAAAATTACCTTGTTGACACTTTGTATTTTGTTAGTGATAGCCCGGCGACGCAATACCGTAATAAAACGATGTTTTATTTTCTTGCTGTTGAACTCCCAAGTTTGTATACAAAAATTAAGAATTTTTCCTGGAACTACTTAGAGGCCGGTCACGGAAAAGGTGCTCCAGATGGCATTGGTGGGGTCACTAAAAGAACAGCGGATCGACTGGTAGCTCAAGGCAATGATATCGCATCTTTTGATACCTTAGTAAATGCACTTTCTAAAAATGTTAAGGGCATTAAGTACCTGACTATTGACTCTAGCGATATCGCCAAACTATCAGAACGGCTAGAGAACAAAGAATGTCCAAATTTCAAAGGAACTATGAAAGTCCATCAGGTAAAAAAAGCTGTACAGCTTAATTTTTATTCACTAAGTTCTTTGGGAGAAAATGACTCTGCGTTATATCTTGGTTCACTGATCTACAAGTCGACAAGTATATCACCTCTAGGTGAAGCTTCAAATACATCCTCATTCGATGAAGACATGCCACTTACATCACAAAAATCTGTGACCCAAAAAGAAATTCCTCATATAAAGCTTAATTTTATTGACGTTTATTCAGATGATGAAGAAGCTGGTCCAAGTGTCAAAAACAAGGGGGAGCTGAGTTGCCAAAATATTAGAACTGGAACATATTTATTGGTTCAATTGAAAACAAAAAAAATTTGCTACAGATATGTTGCTGTTGCGCAGAATGATATAGAAGAAGACGGTGAGGTACGAGTTATGTATCTAAGAGTTTGCAAACTAAATAAGAAACAGGTCTTTAAAATAGATGAAAACGACATTTCCTATGTGAGATATGAAGATATTACATCCATATTGCCCTCACCAATTATAATTTCTCATAAATGCATACAGTATTATCAGTTTGAAAAAGATATTGATGTTTTTGAGCAAGGAACGGGCAAATTGTCAAAAAATGTTTAAGTTTTTAATATTACTTGTAATACAAAGAATATGTTTTTTTATAAATTAATAATACCAATACATAAATTATCTTTAACAAAAAGCTTGCGTCATTCCTCTGTCCCCATGATCATTCCTCTGGCAGTACTATTTGTTTTAAATGCGATAAATCTCTTAAAATTAAAAAATGTGTTTGATCACTGGGTACTTATATTATAATAACTTAAACTAAAGCCAGTCAGAGTATTATCCAGAAAAAATAAACAATTTTTGTTCTGAAAATTTTCTACTTGGCAAAATGATCATTTTGGGAGAATCACCCATTTAAGATGAAAATAAATTAAAAAATCAAGTAACCAATCGACTTTAAAAACTGATATACCAAAATGTATGGATTTGTAAAGAGTTATTTAAATGATAGTCGATAAATTTTCAATACAAAAATTTGAACATTACATTTAAATGTTAGTTTTAAATTTTAGTGGTAATTTTTGCATTAAAAATTTATCGACTTATCATTACTCTTTACAAATTTAAACCAACATTTTTTATTTTTAACAATTTTAAAGTGATATATTTTTAAGACAAAATTTATAACTTTACATTTTACAATAAATTTTTAATCCAAAAATTACTACTTTAAAATTTAAAACTTACATTTAATGTAATGTGATAATTTTTGTATTAAAAATTTATCAACTATCATTTAAATGACCCTTTAAAAATTTAAACCAATAATTTTGTAGAATAAAATATTACAACCACAACTTTTAAAACTCAATATTTTTAAACATAAATTTTTACTGTTGCATTATATATTTTAAAAATATTTTTCGACTAACAATTGTTTTGAGTTTAAAAAAAATTAACTTTATAAATTTCTGTTAAAACATAATTTAAGTGCTAAACTTTAATCTCTAAACTTTTATCTAATAAATGCTAAAACGGCGTGCCATACATTTTAGGGACACCTTGTATATTTTTAAGTAATAAAGTCTCCATTTATGGTTTTTATTATTCTAAAATTATTATTCTAAAATGTGTTTATAAATTAAGTCTTAATTTTGGGGTAATGTAAATTTGTACTTTTAAATTTATTTTTGGTGTTCTAAATTGTTCTTTGACATTTTTAAGTAGGTACCATTCTGATAAATTTAGGTTTGAAAAGTGTTGGTGTTTTACTTACCGTTTTACCAGCTTTAGTAACGTATTTGCCATTACTTTCCATATCACCTTGTTGAAAGTAGGCAGCAAATCTATGTAAATATTGGTCATAAGGTAGGAGGGCATGGGTTTCAGCTCCAAAGAAATTGGAATACCAGATGCCCAAAAGGGCTAAAATTACAGGAGCCTAAAACAGTTTAAAGAACATTAAACTAGCAACAACAAACAATTTTGTTATTTCAGAAATGTTATATTTCTGTCAGCGTTTTTGAACAAATTATTTAAAAAATTTATTAATGTTATTGATTTTTTAAATTGTATATTTTCATCAAATAAAATTATACAATTGTTTCAAATAGGTAGGTACTCTTCCAAACTTGACCTAAAATTTGTTAAAACTAGCAAATAGCAGCTTTTTTTAATATTTTATCCCCAAAAAAATTAGCGAGTTTTAACAAATTGAGATTCAATTTTGAAGAGTGCATCTGAGAATGTTTATTTTGATAAAATTTTGTTAAAATTTGATTAATTATAGTTTTTTTATATAATTTGTTCAAACATTGCGGACTCTTCTTACGTTTTTCTCCAAAGGAGCAGTCTGGAAATGGTTGTCCATGAAGTGAGCGCCCTCTAGCAGCATAGCGAAGTTGTCGAAGCCGATAGAGAGGCAAATGCTGAGTCCGATGGCGGACCACAGGGAGTAACGTCCTCCCACCCAATCCCAGAAACCGAACATGTTCGCGGGATCGATGCCAAACTCGGTCACCTTTTCGGCGTTTGTGCTGAGGGCGACAAAGTGTTTGGCAACTGCGGCGGGCTAAGCAAAGAAAATGTCGAGGGCATCAAACCAGAGGCGTATTAATTAAAATTTTACACAATATCAAAACGTTTGACTTATCTAAGTAACGCGTGTCTGACTACCAGAGCTGGGCACAAGTATTAAAAAGAGTTTTCGTAAAATTTAAAGTACGAGTAAGTACAATTGTATAGAGAGGTTACGGTTACGAGTAGTAATCGTGAAAACACGAGTAAAGAGTATAATTAGTTAATATAATTGACAATTCCTGTCAATTTAAACCTTTTAAAAACTGTCAAAAATACGATTTGCTGACGGATAAAAATAAAGGAATAGGAAAAAAAAAAGAGTTACTCAAACTGCCCTTAAATGGTTCAACGAACAAATTAGGAACCAACAGAATTTACTTCTCTGGCTCAAGAACACTATATATCAATAAGAAATAATATAAGATAATAAATCTTTCTCTGTGTAAATCCTGTGATATTTTTAAATTATTTTATATCTACTTGTAAATAATTTATATTTGTTATTTGTTATTAAAAAAAAAACTAACTGCTACTAAAGTACCTGATATGGAATTCTTTTAAGGTTTAATAAATAAATAAAAAAAAATGCAAAATTGGCGAATATTTTTCTATTTACCTTCTTCATAGTAACAGATATATTATTGTGGCTGTGTTCCGTAATTTACTGCCATTACTGTCAGTAATTTTACTGTCAGTAATTTTACTGTCAGTAGCGGAAAAGGACCGTTCTGTAATTCTTTTAAGGTTTAATAAATAAATAAAAAAAATGCAAAATTGGCGAATATTTTTCTATTTACCTTCTTCATAGTAACAGATATATTATTGTGGCTGTGTTCCGTAATTTACTGCCATTACTGTCAGTAATTTTACTGTCCGTAGCGGAAAAGGACCGTTCTGTAATTTATTCAGTACTGACGCACAGTGAAATTGGAACGCGCCTCAGTAGCAGCAGAAAGTGACAATGGTTACGCAAGGTTATGATTTGTGATTTACTGACAATTGACAAACTTTACTTTCGGCACATCAGAGAACATAAATAAAAAATACCTAAATATAACAGTTATAAGAAATATACTGTTTGGTTTATGGCAGAGAAATATGGAAAATTGAATGTTATCGTCGTCCGCGTCGAAAAATAGGAAATATAAAATTTCACTGACACCACAACAATAAGCCAAATACCAAAAATTACTCTTAAATTCGTCCGCTGAATACAAATATATAACATTTTCTAGGTACTACCTATAGGTAGTACTATAGTAGGTAGTTTCATATTCTGGGTCTTCGTATGCGTACTCCCCGCCGACCTGCCTTCGTCACTGCTGCTTGTACTTTCAAGTAATATTTTATCAATAAATATTGAAATAATTAGTTCTATAGGTATTTAACAAATACCATTATATGATATAATTTATATCCTTCACCACGGTCTTATATACAGGTCCTGCAACTTTAAGCTTCGAGGTGGCTTCCTTAACGTGCCAAGCCGCTAGGTGGCGCTAAGATCGAAGGGGTAAAGTCAATTAAACTACTACTTAGTTAAATGTGGAACTACTGCATAACCATAACCTAACTTTTTAAATTCTTTTTCTATGTTTTGTTTACATTTTCAAAAATTTAATATTTGTGAGTTTGTTTCGGATAATTTACGTTAACAAAATAGGACAACAAAGTCTATACTCTATGCACAAAGTCCTCGGCCGTCACATGCCCAGACCAAACATGTACATAAGTAAAACATGTTAATGTATAAAATACATACGTATATCATATATATGTTACGGCTAATGTGTAAACATGGATAGTTTATAAAGTAGCTGGGTAGTTTATAAATTAGCCAAACTGTCAGCTATTTTAATTGAAAAAGTATTTTTAACTAAATTAGCGGCTAGTTTGTAAACCAACCAAGGGTCTTGGCTAATTTACTTGAAATTATTAAGGAATAGCTGGATAATTTGTAAACTATCCAATTCAATTTGGCTAATATGAAAACCAAAATTTCTAGTAACACAACATAGCCAAGCTTTAGATAGTTTACAAACTAACCAACCAATATTCTGGCTAATTTATTAATAACCTATTTTTTTATTGTCTTGGCGGGGATGGGTTGATTGTTTATTTAAAATAATATATATTTCACCAACACGATGTGCTTAATTATAAATTAATCATACAAAATGTGAAGGTTTCAATAGTATGTTTTTTATTGCACATTGCCATGTTTTTAACTGCTCCTTATTTGTTGGCACTTTAAACATGGACCGCTTAATTTTAATGCCGGAACGATGGCTTTGCTGGTTACATTTTGGCACAACACAGGACTTCATGTCTATTAAAAAGCACAAATACAAATGTATAACAAGAACAAATATAACAAAAACAAATATAACAAGAACAAATATAACAAGAACAAATATAACAAGAAAAAATAGAACAATATAATATAACAATAACGAATATCACAATAACAATAAGTAAAAACTCCCTGTAACAAAACACACAAGCTTGTTTATAAAAATGTAGGTTATGTTTCTTAACACAGCTGTGAACATAAGTAGGTAGTTCATTTGACTTTTATCCCATAGACTTTAAGGACTTAGAGCCAGTTTTACAATCGTTAGATTAAGTTAGCTTATTTGGCGGATAACTTTCATAGAAACCTTCTATCCAAGAAAATTATCCACCAGAGAGCTTATTTAACGATTGTAAAACCCAAAGATAAAGAAGGTAAAAACGACCTTTAAACATCTATGGTTTACCACCCAACTCGATGCGCCATCTGGTGGGTGTCTCATTAGAGAGGTCACTTTTCCTATTGAAATTGGGCGAAGTTGCAGGACCTGTATATAAGACCGTGTCCTTCACTTTATTTGACAGCTATTTTTTGTTTAAAAGTTTGGTTATGTGTTTTACTGGAGCCACAGCCCCAGTTGTTTCAGTAAAATTAATCTGCCGTACATTTATAAAAGGGTAGTATTTACCACTGAGCTCAGTAACTGAAAGTGGATTTCGGAATGCGTTTTCAGTACCGACAGTACTGACAGTAAATTACGGAACATAGCCTGTATAGAGAAATGCCAAAGTGACACAAAAATGACTTAATTTATTTACTCGTGGAATTTTCTCAACAAATATCACTCGAGGTTCGATTGAGCAGGACATTTTTCGGACTATTACTTGGAGGTTTGTTAATTTGACTCCAAGAAGTTTGGGCGATACATTATATGACTTTCTGCCAAAGTTTGGAGAATTGAAAACATTTCTTTTTTTTTAAGTCTGTTTTAAACTATATATACAGGGTGTCCCAGAACTCGCGCCACAGAAAAAAAGGGGGCGTGCCGATAGCAATGGAGATGCCAAATTTAAAAATAAAAAATTTCTAGGTAATAGTGTAATCGAATGAGAGCAAAAAAGCGGCAGCCAATACCGAGAGCTCTCGCCTAGGTTAAACGTAAGAGCTTTAAAAATTGCTAGGAGACGATAGAACATTGTTGTATTAAAAACATTTAAAAATCTTTTGGCCAACTGTATTTACTAAGTTGTCAAAAGCTTTTAAAAATGAGGTTATTAATCTATGACTTATACTTCAGAACGCCAATGTTTTAAAATAACGATTAGGAAAGGGCTAGGAAAAAACTCGCGTTGTCTCCCTGGCGTTGCGCCCACACTAAAGAAATAAATAATTATCATTTCAGTATAATCATCTAAGGAAAACATTATTTATAATAACTTAATTTATAACCTAATATAATATTAATGACAGGAGTTTGACAGCAGTGTCACAATGAATTGGATTCCAGTGGACCAAATATTTTACATATTTTTTATTATCAACAATGCAACCTAAGTATCCTAGCAATTTAAAGAATTCCCTATGGCCATCTATTGGGATTGGCTATCGTTTTTTATTCTTATCTCGTTTATCCTTTGCGTTAGACAATTTTAATTTTCAAATATGTGTTTCACGTTACTTTCGGCACGTTCCGGTTTTCTATGTGGCGCGAGTTCTGGGACACCCTGTATACAGTAGACTGGGCCAAAAAAATCGACTATTTTTTTTTGTAAAGTATATCGAAAATATTGTTTGGGGTGGCAAAAAAAAATTATTGTGAAAGTTTGAGTCCATAATATTAATATTAAGAGATTTTTTTTCCTGAGCTAATTTTTGTTTCAGAACTCCCAAACCATTGAGTTTAACAAAATTGACTCAAAAATATTTTTTTAAGGAAATTGAATGTTCTACAAAAAAGGTCAAAATGAATTTTTTCGTAACTTGAACCGTTTCCTTCAAATCATGTCTTAAAAATTGGCATAGTTTTACAATTTGATCTTTTAACTTTAAAATTTTGTAATTCATGTAAAAATAAGTATGACAAAAAACTCGCTCAGGAAAAAAAAATCTAAAATTGCAATGATAGACCTTTTAATATTAATATTATGGACTCACTTTTACAATAATTTTTTTTGTCACCCCAAACAATATTTTTGATTTTCTTTCAAAAAAAATAGTCGATTTTTTTGGCCCAGTCTAATATACAGTGTGACCCATTTGTTTGTGACTCACCCCTGTAAAATCTTTATTTATTGTGCGATTTTAACCGGATTTGTTTTAAAGTGTAGATCTTGTCAAAATGTATTTTTGGAGCAAAAAAGGCCATATTTTTACAAAATACAAGGCCTACTATGTCAGTTTTTAAGAGTAATTTTTAAGAATTCATATTAGCCATTTTTTTTAACAAAATCTAAGCACGGCACTGGATTCACCACCCTTCAAAACGACCCTATACCAAATTTTATTGAAAAATTTTAAATAGAAAAATGCACAATAATAACTACAAAAATTTATTCTGTCAAGTCATCCATGAAAAAAAACATTGAAATAAAATGAAACTAATAGTAACATGGTACCTGAGCAACAAAAGAGGATCATGTTTATGGCTTTTATTATTACAGTATATTTTTTTGGATATCTCCAAAAACTTTTTTTGCATTTTTAAAATATTAGTTAGTTTAAAACCTTAATTTTGCCATTATAACAAATTGACAATTTATATTTTATCTTATTTAATTAATTAATTAAAATAACAAAATTATAATTTTATATATGGATGTCTCAAATAAAAAAATAGTTATATTAATACAGCACCGTGTTTGTTTTTTTGCATCTAGGTAGAAAATTCTTACTGAATTATAATAATAGGAATAATTATTATAATTATGTATTATATAATTATAATCAGATTTGAAAATTCACTTTTTTCTTGATATCAGTGAACAGATATTTGGAAATTTTCAGAACAATTGACTTTTGCATTTTTTCGCATAACCATTTGAATAAAATGAAAATAAATGCAAAAGTCAATTTTTCAGAAAATTTCAGTTTTTCCAATTTTTTCCCCGGAAAAAACCGGCTCAATTTCTCAGGAAGTTTTAAAACCCTAGTTTCAGGTCAAAAGATATTGGCAAAGTCAAAAAACGTATACTTACGTCTTTGGCGTAACCCAAGAACCAGTCTTTGGCGGATTTGGCGTTGGTGCAGGTTTCTTGAGTGGTGAAAGTTTTCGACGCGATGATGAAAAGCACAGTTTCGGCATCGACTTTCTTGAGAACTTCGGCCATGTGGGTGCCGTCGATGTTGGAGACGAAATGCAACTTAAGGCCCTTGTTGAAGGGTTTCAGGGCTTCGGTGACCATCAGGGGGCCCAAGTCGGAGCCGCCGATGCCGATATTCACGACATCTGTGATTTGTTTTCCAGAGTATCTAAAAAAAACAAAATGACGAATGGACGTTTTTTAAAAATATTTATTTAGAATTTCATAAAGTTACTTATGCATTAAGAACGGTACAAAACATATAGAAAAAAACGTAATAACTATGTAATTAATAGAATAAAGTGAAAATTAAAATAACTAAAGAATAAATTAAAAAATATACGAAATTGTTATTGTTTCTAAAAACTTTTCTTCCATTCTATTTAACAAAAAACAAAAAAACACTTTTTGGGTTTTTAGTAATAATAATTGTTTATAAATTAATATCACAAACATTTTGGATATCAGATAAAGAAATACATTAAATACCTTTAAACCTAATAAAAAACAAATAAAATAATAATTATAAGTAAATAACAATATTAGTCTAAATAATCATAATTACCTATCTAAATAAAAAGCATTATCCTAATTGTTTATTGTTAAAAAAAAATTTAATAAACATTTAAAATATTTGAATTTAAGTAAATATTTTAAAAGATTGATTAATAAAATTAAAATATAAAAAATAAAAATAGAAAATACAATTAAATTTTGAAATAAAAATGTCTAGGTAAAAATTAAAATTATTCTTTAAATTATTTGTTATTATTATTATGCAATTGCTTTGGCAATATAATTTATTAATATGCAAAAATCAATCAGTCTACTTTTCAAGAAATTTAGGGTTTAAAATAATCTTTATCTACTCCTACATTGAAGAGCAGACACTTTATGGCGTTTTAGTCACGGGCTGAAGTTAACAACAGTGGCTTTTGGGAATTTTAGTCACGGGCTGAAGTTAGCTTTATTATAAATTGCGAAGAAGTGAGGTTAAATTTTTCAAATGTCAAATATTTTTAAATTAAAATTGGCTTTAAATTCTTGTTTCTGTTCGTCGCAGATAACGTATAGTATGCAACTCGTTTTATAAACCTCTTTAGACGCTCGTTTTTATTAAACACTCGCTCGCAAGCTTCGCTCGTGCCTAATAAAACTCGCAACTAAAATGGCGTATATAAAACTTGATACATAATATACCTACTATTAAAATGTTATGCAAGCTGCTGAGCCAACAATTAAAATCCACCCAAAAAAGCTGTAAAGGTGTTTTATAAAAAATATTAATTTTTTTTAAATATTTTTAAATATATCTTAACCTTTTTAAATACGGTTTTGACATTGACATTGTGACTTTGTTTTATATAATCAAGATTGTGTTTCTTATACATGTATGCATATATGTATATTATAACTAAAGTGACCAGATTCTGTCAAAAAAAAAAATAGGGACATTTTGGATATCCAATATCATATGAATTTACCTTAATTACAAAATTGACACAATGATACAATGCAAATTGTAAATTTGACGTTATTTTTGTAATTAAGGTTAATTTACACAAAATGTCCCGTTATTTTTTGGTCACTTTAATTATAACCCATAATAGGTTCTTTATTTAAATACATACTTATTTATTTGAATTATTTTATATAAGTTAACTATTATTTTTTTATTGATAAAGAACCAATTTGAATAAAATAATAAAGGTTATCTATCTGTCAGTTTAAGGCCAATTTCGTCTTATACTAAATACATATTATCGAGCATACCTATTATCATAATTATTAATAATTATAGTATTATGTATTTTTTGTTTCAAATTAAGAACTTTATACATAAAAAATACAAATAAATTATTAATTTTGTCATAAGACGAAATTAACGTTAAACAGATGGATAAACATAATTATTTGTATTCAAATGTCAAAATGGGAATTTTTGAGCATAGGAAAAACAATTTTAATATTTTTCTATAGACTTTTTTCGTCCTACTGAAAAGTTACACACGACATTTTGTAGTATCCACGACGTGTCGCGACAATAAGTGTATAAGAAAATATATTAAGTTAATTTTAGTAAATTAATATAATAAATAATATAACTGTTGTATCACAGGTCTTAAAACTTATGAATTCATTTATATGGCTTATTATAAACTATTATATTTTTAAATTTATTTTCAGTCATGTTTAAATGCCTTTAGGTACCTAGGTTCTTAAAAATATTATTTTTAATAACACTGATATATAATATAATACTGGCAATTTAAAAATCAAATTATAAAAGTAATGAAGAACAATTTAAAATTTGTTTCAAAGCTTATAAACATAATAAAATTAAAACAATAATAATAATTATAGATATAATTAAAGCATAAGAAAATATTCATAAATATCTAAATTCACCAAACAATTTTCATATTACAAATACCATTAGCACAAAAGTTTTTATAGGTACCTTTATTTAAATTCAATTCAATATAAATATTTTAAAAATAGTTGAATTTTTTATAAGCAAAATTCTCCTTTTAAACCCTTATAAATTCATGATGTTGACATGTATTGTAGCATTGTAGCACAAAAATCAATTTAATCAGACTTTCCCACAGATGTAAAAATTGATTTTCTTTATTAAAACTTCTACCATTTCTAAATTTAGATACATTTGTGACAGTTTTGAGCATTACATTAGTTCAAGGCCCAATTGATTTTATTTTCTGATAAAGAATTATTGATTATAAACCACAATTTATGTAATGTAATAATTATTAATGAATGTCCTCTAAAAAAATGTTACATAAAAAAGTTCCTTTTTCATTTATCTCAAATTGATTTATAAAGCTTAAATATTTTTTTCTTTAAATTGATTATATACACTTAAAAGTTGCATTAACTATCAATACTGCTTATAAGTGTTTATTTCCTAGAAATGCAAATCGGATTATTGAAGAGTTTAAAATATTAATCAATAAACAATAATGATTAAGTATTGATTGAATCAAAGGTATTTTAATCCTTTTATGGATATTTTATCTGTTACACTTAAAAATTGCTCAACTACATATATTTGTTACTCACCCTCTCCATTGTCCACAGAGAATTAAATTGGTGAACTGTTTCATATGTTCCAAAACGGCATTCACATCAGGCATAACATCTTTACAATCAACCATAACGGGTTTGTTTGAGCGATTACGTAAAGCTGTATGTAACACAGCCCTGTCTTCAGTTATGTTTATTTTTTCCCCACTGAACATGGCTGTTCTAGCCTCTTCAACACCCCTGGCTTTACATAAATCCAACAATAACTCCAAACACTGTTTCTCCAGACGGTTTTTGGAGTAATCCACAAGAATTGGGCCGTCATTTGGCGTGTCTAGGGTCAAACTACGAAAAAATATGTCTTTATTAATCGTTTTTTAATGTAATTATTAATATCGTATGTATCTGTGTTAAATTTTATGTTAAAAAGTGACGTTTAATGAGAAAAACGATAATATATCTGTAAATTTTTTATGGTTGGCGTTGATTTAATGTTATTATTATCGTATGTGTTTAATTTTATGTTAAAAAGTAATGAGAAAAAAAATTCTGTTTCTGTAGTTTTTTATGGTTGGCGTTGATTTAATGCCATTTTGTTAGTGGGCCTAGTTTGCAAAAAACATTCAAAATTCAAAAATAAAACATGCAAGGTCAAACAAAGGTTATACGGCGAGTAACCGGTCGATTTTAAAATTAACTTACCTGAACTGATTGAAACGGCCGCAGTCTTTTGCAAATAGATCTTTGATGTTAAGGTCTTTGCCAGTTGCTTCGAAGTATTCCTGCAATTTTTTCCATGCAGGCTCGCAGGTGAGTTGCGGTTTTGCTGCTGCCATCGTATACTACGTGAATGAGGATGAAAGTGACGCGTACGAGTGGCGAGAAACGTCAGGCTGGACGGGGAACTTCTTGAGCAACGCGCCGCTATTTGACTTTTATTGTCACTGCGCTTCTTCACATGATAAATTTTAAAAGTAAATTTGTTTGACGAAGTGACAAGTTGACATTAAAATTAAATGACAGTTTTTGTTTTTTGGTTATTTTTGAATTAAAATGACGTTTCAGTGGATTAAAGATCGAAGTCTTCGATTCGAAGACGTCTTTGGTTAGGGGTAGTCTACGGTTGGTTTTAAATTTAGATGACATCACAATTGGGTGGATTGTGGACCCTGATTGTGGATGACATAATGTTTAGATTATGTGCAATCCTGGTTGCATAATATGCAACCAGGATTGCACAATGTAATAATCTAAACATTATAATGTCATACAAACCATCTATAAATTTATGAAAATAAAGATAGTAAATATATAAAGAATGGATTTCTATAGAACATATATACACTAATGGACAAATGTAGAGAAACTTTTAAATTATCCTCATATTTTCTTTAATAAACGAATTAAATGAGCGCAACCCTCACTGTATACATAATATTATGAATAGACATCCTGTATAAAAAAATTATTTACCTGCGACTGTTACTCTTATTTTTTTCGACATTCTTTCATTTTTTGCTGGACAGAAGTAGAGAAACTTTTTTTATATATCAAATATTTCATATGAATTCAGTTATTAATCGATCTTCAAAGAAGTATTTTGCAAAGTATTAATACATAAAATGCCTCGAGGAGTTTATTTGTCAGAAGATTTAAAAAAGAAAATTATTGAAGCTTACGAAAGTGGAATAAAGCAAGTGGTCATTTCAAGTAACTTTTATCTGAATAAAAGTGTAATTTCTAAAACAATTAAAAACTATAGAGCTCGCCATTCTTTAAAATCCATTAAAAAACCGGGAAGACCACGAAAAACTACTAGGCGTATGGACAAAAGATTCAAAAGGTTGGCCAAGCGTAATCCTACCTGGACAAGTAATGAAATTTTAAAGAATATTCCTGAAGCAACGGTTAGTTATAAAACTGTACAACGAAGATTACGAGAGTTTGGACTATTTAGCAGAAGATCAGCTAAGAAACCATTAATTAGTGTAAAGAACCAGAGAGCCCGACTCGAATTTGCCAGAACCCATTTAAACTGGACTTACAATGATTGGAAAAAAGGACTGTTTACGGACGAATCAAAGTTTAACTTGTTTGGATCTGATGGTCGGGCTTGGGTACATCGTCCTGTGGGTCAGAGATTTAACCCAGCATTCACTAAACCAACGGTTAAGCATGGAGGTGGATCTGTTATGGTGTGGGGCTGCTTTTCAGGATATGGTATGGGCCCCCTACACGTAATTGAAGGTATAATGGATCGTTTTGTGTATCTGGATATACTAAAAAATGTTATGTTGCCATTTGCCGAGGAAAATTTACCATTAACATGGATCTTCCAACAGGATAATGATCCGAAGCACAAGGCCGGGATCGTAAATGAATGGTTTACCAGAGAAAAAATAAAGGTTATGGAGTTTCCACCTCAAAGTCCGGATTTAAATCCCATTGAGAACTTCTGGGAGGAACTGTACAGGCATGTTCACAAAAAAGAAATTCATAACAAGCAAGAATTGATCGAAAGACTAAAAAAATGCTGGAGAAATATGGAAAATCAAACAATTCAAAAATTATTAGGATCAATGCCTAAAAGATGCCAGGAAGTAATAACCAACAATGGGTTTTCTACACATTATTAATTGTTTTAATTATATTCAACTTATAATAATTTTATAATTATTTTTAAGAAAGTTTCTCTACATTTGTCCACTTAAAAAAAATAAAAATGTATAAAACTTGTATGGTGTACTTATTTAAACTGTTTAATTAACAGACATAACAACCTAAATTTATGTATATCAAATATTATATAAATAATTTTATTCACTTTATAATTAAAACATATTATAAATTTTAAAAAGTTTCTCTATATTTGTCCATTAGTGTAAATCTTTGTATCTACTAGTAGGAGCTCCTACATGTATTACATTAGTATTATAATTGAATGAAAATTGGGAAAAAGAGAGGTTAAAACTCTTTGACAGATGTCACATTGGAAAAAGTGTGGTTAAAAAAAATAAACTTATTTAGATTATAATACTGCATAGAAACTGAATAAAACAGCAATAAAAAAATAAATCAATAGGCAGTGCCTATTAGGCACCTAAATTAATTTTTTTTTATTATTACTTTTTTTAAAATTTTCTCATTCAAAATGTCGTTTTTATTAGAAATAGGAATAAAATAACAAAAGTAAGTGAAACTTTTACTTGCAAATAATCATGTTTACATACATCTTAGGTATATGCAGTGTTGCCAACTCGAAAATAACAAATAACGCTACAATATCAAAATTCCGCTACGCTCCGCTACAGCCGAATCTATCCTAATTCCGCTACACCCGCTCTATTTTGGCTTAAAGTTTGGAATCCAAACTTTGGATACAATTTTTTTTTAATGCAAATAAAGACAAGAAATGTTAATCAAAATACTTTCTTCAAGTACCTAATAAATATAAAAAACAGGTAACAAAAAATCCCTATATAAAACCAAAACAAAAATATTCTAACGCTGGAAGTCCCGCCCGCCCGTAAAAGATAAACAATACGCAAGCCTCGGTAGCATTTATAAATCCTACGGCGGCTATATATAGCATTTTACGGGAGGGCGGGAGAAAGGACGAAAGGAAATCTATAAATAAAGCTAAGCACAAAAGATTTTAACCCTTCATTAGTCTCACTGTTTTCTGAAACGCCATTAGTCGATTCGGTGTATGAGACCGAAAGTTAAAAATTACGTTTATTAAATATCTTGTGTGTGTATTGTGTGTAATTTTTAAGAAAAACACTATTTTAATATTTTTAAATGTAATGTTTTTAATAAACAAACAGAACAAACTATCAATATAAGAAAAAAAATTAGTGTTTTAAATGTTTTACTAAAACGTATTTAAAAAAAACTAAATTCCGCTACGTTTTGCCATCATTTTGTTCCACCGCCGCTACGCCGCTTTTGGGGGTAAATCCCGCTATGCGTAGCGGAATTCCGCTACGGTTGGCAACACTGGGTATATGTTAAGTTCGTTTTTTATTCAGAATTTGACACATTTGATTATGTTGGTATTGTATGTTAATACACAGATTATACCATAGAAATAACACTCCACTAACAGGAGTGTTATTTCTATGGATTATACAACTTAATATACCTTGGTATTTTTAATATCTAAAATTTGTACGCTGGAAATGCAAATATGCCTCTTTTGGGCAGTAAATTCATCCCCATATTTCATCAAAGGTAAGGTTTTTGTATTTTAGGAACTTTTAACCTCCAAATTTTTGACAAATTCCTAATAACTTATTAGTGTCAATTTTTTGTTTTCTTATTATTAGTAATAAGAAAACGAAAAATTGACACCAAAAATTAAAAAAATAAAATATTTTGAGAATTTTTTAACAAGTCTTTGCAATATTTGTTTTTGATTATAATAAAAAAAACAATTTTACCTATTTAAAAGATTTATTATCAAAATAATGTTAATAAAATTATAATAAAGAACTTATTTAGTAGCAATTTCATTGGATTTTTGCAATTTTTCATCCTGGTACTTATAATGTAGTTCCATGCAATCAGTGTTATCAATGTGTACCCATCCAGTGTTTTTCATGTGGTATACCCTGACAATACCTCCAGAGTAAGCATCTCTGTGTGTGGCATGGTAAATTGACCTACGCCCTAAATCGTAAGCTTCCTCATCTGTCAAATCCCATTTGTAACCTGAATCGAGCACACCAAAAGCGTAAATGGAACCTGAACCAACACTGAACACTTTTCCAGGGGTTCTAGTTCCTTCTGAGTCAATGTAGTACAGTTGGGGTCCCTAAATTTTGAGGATAGATTTATTATTAACATGCATTTTTTGTAAACTTACCCTTTTGTCCCATCCTGCCAACATCATACCCATTGATAAACCCATGCCCTTGTAATTGTATACCATGTTGGACATTAACTTTGAGGCTGCGGCTACAGAAATTCTTTCTCTGTTACGAAGTTCATACATTCTGCATTGTTTTGCTAGGACTCTGTCCCAGTATACACAATCGGCAGCACCTCCAGCCAATGTTCCTAAAAAACACAAAATCTATCTATAAATTAAGTAACATTTTGTGCAACTAGATTTGCAAATATTAAAAAATATCAAATATCAAAAATTAATCTAGATACATTTGTCTGGTTGTTTTGAAAATGATCTCTATATTTGTCTGATAAACTGAAACTCAACCAGAGAATAAAAGACTGACCATGTTTTTAACCATGATATTATAAAATCCCATTTCTATTGAAAATATTGATAGCTTTGCCGACTGTAAACCTTAACAACAATGAATATAACAAACCTAATAAGAAATCATTGATTTCTACAATTTTTTTCATGGTCTGAGATCCAATAAATTGACCCCCAGTAGCCCTAGAATCTACAGCCAAAACAACACCCCCCTGGTACATAAAACCCAACGTTGTGGTACCATGATCAAATTGAATTTTGATCTCACGTCCAAATTCATCTTTAGAAACACTGGCGAAATTTTTGGCAGGCTAAAAACACAACATTAGCCCCAATATGACAAATATTTACACTTACGTTTGAAAATGGGGGTACACCAAGTTCCAAATTGTTAGTAAAATTGCCACAGAACGTGTTTAAATCGCCGCGATATTCAGAATTGATTTTGTCGTCAAAATCTGACATACCACACAGCTCTGATAAACTCATTTTTACGTATTTTCTTCACAAATTACCACAAAAACTGCAAATCAAATGACAGTGCGGAATTCAAGAATAATGCCGAAATGTCAAATTACACTGCTACCAACCTAAAATTTTGGTCACTTCAAGATTTACACAATAGTCTGGCTACTGTTTAATAGATGGCGCAGCTAGTTTTACTCTGTTGATAAGCAATTACAATACTTTGCGTACATCTGGGTTGCCTAAATGCAGTACTTATGTTCTGTGCTTTTATCTAATGGGAATTTGTTTAAAAATTTGACAATCTCGTGAATTTAAAAAATTATAAAACAAGGCCCAAAATAACTTTGATGGTATTATTGTAACATAAAGATGAGTTCTTTAAACAGTTTATCGAAATATCTAGGAGCACCGATAGCGAAACAGCAGTTAATAAATATTAACCTTAAAAGTAAATATGTTAGGTTAGAATGTAGCCTTTATATTTCATATCTTTGTATTGTAGGATTTTTAAGCAGTGTATCTGAAGAATGTAAAAGACAAAGTGATTTGTTTGCCGCTGAAAAACAAAGACAACGCGAAAATGTCGGTAGAATTGAGAAAATTGATGTTCACACCGAGGGACCTCCAGAAGCCAGTTTAATCATGAACAAGAATGTTTCTACGCCTTATGACTGCGCCAAACGTATGTAACATACAACAAAAATTTAGCTTAAATTTACATTCCAAGCACTGTTATATCTAGCTTAAGTTAACATTCTTAAAACAGTTTTATTTAGCTTAAATTAACATTCTTAAGACAGTAATATAAACATTCTTAAGAAGGTTATATCTAGCTTGAATTGAAATTAAATTTGGCTTATTACAGTTATATCTACATAACTTACATACTTTATATTTTTATGGTTGGCATTCCTAAGGGCTGATTTATCAATCTTTGCTTAAGTTTCACTTAGTCTATCTGACAGTTAAAATCCATATCAATCGTTGTGAGAACAATGGTATCCACTGAAATTATCTACCAGATAACTAACTGCAAATTTGATAAACTGGCCCTAAGACAGCTATATTTATCATATTTTTAAAATCTATTTAAAGTTAATATTCTTATAAGTAACTTAAATCTAGCTTAAGTTCAACTTAATTAACTTCAACTTAATATTTTTAAGACCTATCCTATTTAGATCTTGCATTCTTAAAACAGTTATAACTATGTAAAAATGCCATATAGGTAGATACACAAAATAAAAATCTATATAGTTCTATCTGGTTCAATATAGGAATTTGAAACAGGCATTGCACTATTGAACCAGATAGAATTCCATATATGGAAAACCATATAGAAAAGTGATTTCTATATGGATTGCCATATAGGTTCAGATTGAACCATATTGGAGCTCTATCTGGCCCAATATGGTTTGGGTATGCAAAAATTATTAACATATAGATCCATATTTAACCATATAGGGGAATCTATATCGTTTAATTTGCAATTTTCGTTTAAATACATATATATCCATTGTAAAATAGAATTCCATATTCAACCATATAGGGAATATGCTAACATGTTAGGGATTGTTAAGACATTTAAATCTAGCTATGGGTGTATTCAAGTTTAAATGTTAATTTTGTAGATTTGGGAGACAAATTTGTGGATAGGGCTGCTGTAGCACTATTAAATAACGAAACATTATGGCATATGCATAAACCTTTGCCTGATTCCTGCAAATTGGAATTTTTACATTATCAAATACCTAACCCTGCTGTTGTTAATAAGACATTTTGGAGGACATGCAGTTTTCTATTGGGAGCTGTGGTATCAAATGCATTTAAAGATGATGTCAATCTACAGTTACACAGTTTTCCCAGTCCAAATGGTAATAATAATAATAATAATATTGATTCTTTTTTATGTTTTTTGTTTCTAAAGTTGTGTAGTTTAAATTTCATTTAATATGCATATGGTAGGTAATTTATATTTTTATTTTAATTGTTGGTAACACTGACACAATTTCTACTGCAAGGCTAACTTTACTCTTGCGGAATTTTTTTAAAGTGAAAATAATAGTTTTGAAAGTCTTACTTTCTCTTAAAAACTCTGAATAAGTCTTATTAAGTTGTAAAAAGTCAGACTAATAGCAAGATTTGGTCTTCTGTCTTCTGGAAGAGTTAATAAGACTTAATAAGACTTTTAGCAGATAAATGGTAGGTATACTTATATATATATATATATATATATATATATATATATATATATATATATATATATATATAAAATAAATATCAGGAATTATTCAGAGATGTGGTATTTGGTTATTGCAAAAGCAAACACAAAGAACACAAAGAATAGTATATTATGTATCAAGTTTGATAAACGCCATTTTATACACGAATTTAATTTGCTTTCGAGCTTGCGAGCGAGTGCTTCAATTAATGAGTGTATAGAAAAGTTAATAAACGGGGTGCATAATATACTTTTTCTACGAAAAATACTTATTTTTATCTTAAAATGATTTGAATCAAAAATTTGTATAGAGCGCCATCTATGAAACAATAGGGGAATCTGTGTGTTACCGTCAAATGTCAAATTTTTATATTTTATAATCGAAATGTATTTCTTGAAAAGTAACAGTTTTTCCATAGTGAAAGTAAAGAAAATGTTTTATGAGCACTTTACAGTGGAGTCCGTGCCCGAATTTAAGTTATAGTTTACTGCCGGCGAAATTTAAAGGTCAGTACAATGTTCATATAAACTTTTCAAATATTGGCGTTGAGAAACTATTTAATACTTTTGTATTGAGATAATAAAATAATTTTCACATTTAGTATTATTTTATAAGAAAGGCACTTTATTTTAATGATTGTATGACATTTGACAACTGTCAACTAACTTAAAACTAACTTCAGCCTGTGACTAAAAACCTGTTGCTAACTTCTTTTTTATTATTTTGCTGAAAAGTGGTCATTTTTGACGATTTTGAAGCGCTGTATTTTCGTTACTGCTCGTTTGATTTGTAAAAAATTTTCAGGGTATACTAACAAAAATATGGTCTTTCACAACATATTTTTTATTTACTTAAAAATAAATTTCCCTATAAAAGTTTTTTTCGAGCATTTTTATTATTAAATAAAAGGGCTTTAAGAATGTTTTATCAAAAAACCCTTAAACACGTAAACTGAGATATAAAATTTTATAAAGATTGGTAAAGACGTTTTAGAGTTGGCCTTTTTTTACTTGTTATGCGTTAATTTGACGCGCAGTGTAGGTAATTATGCAATAAACTTGGCTTATAACAAAATAGCAAAAATGTTAATAAATACTTTTTTCTGTTTTATTTTACAATAACCAATTACAACCTCTCTGAATATTTCCGGATATTCATTTTTATTGCTGTAGCTATACCTAGGTACCTACCATTTCTCTTCTAAAAGTCTTCTGGAAGTCTCCCAACTATTGCTATTATTCAGACTTTTTTAGACTTAGTAAATATTATTCCAACTTAATAAGTCTTATTCAGAGTTTTTAAGAGAAAGTAAGACTTTCAAAACTCTTATTTTTCTTATTGAAACTTTTTCAGAGAAAAATTTTCACAAGGGTACATTTGCCATTTATTTCCTTAATCTATTTTCTACTATAAATTTAGTCAAATTATCAAAATATTTGTCGTTTAAAGTTATTTTACCTCAGAAATACAAATTACTAAAACAATACTGTTTTTAGTTAAATCTGGCAGTTTTGTGTATGATGTTCAGCTAGGCTTGGAAAACTGGAAACCAACAACTTCTGAACTGAAAGTATTGTCAATAGAAATGATCAAATTCTGCCAACAAGCCCATCCAATCGAATGTCTGGACGTAGACAAAGACTTTGCCTTCGAAATATTCAAATGCAACCCTCACAAAACCGAACAAATCCCCGATATAGCAGCACATAACGACAATAAGGTGACTTTATTCAAAGCCGGACACCACGTGGATATTTCTAGGGGCCCCATGGTCACAAACACGGATCACTTGGGCCGGATTACCGTTTGCAATGTTCTCAAGCTGGATACGGATATTAGTGGAGGGCCTATCTACAGGTTTCAAGGAGTTGCTTTGCCAAAGAGTATAGTTCTGAATCACTTCGCTTATGGTATTATCGAGGATAGAGGAAAGGTTTTGGTAAGTTTTTTTTTGTTTTTTTTTATTCTTGGTGATTTATTTTGGTTGTGTTTTCATAGAATTCGGGAAGGATACCTGGAAAACATGGTGATGTGAATGAGGATAACACTTTTGTTAGTCAAATGGCTGTTTAATATAGTTTTATTTATTTAATAGTATAAATATGTTTTAATTATTAATACCCTTTTATTCTTTTCAAATTTTGCTATTATTAAAATTTGGATGTCATTTATTTTACAGGAGATTATCTCATATTTTTAAAAATGCATAACTAAGGTTTAGGTTGCAAACCATTTAATTATAATGAAAAAATTGCACCTTAATTTTTCCAAACTACCTTAAAAAACTTAATTGAGTTTTCAAACTGCTAAAAACAAACTATAAACCCGGTTTTTCATGGTTTATGGTCCTCTTTAACCCCCTATATGACATTTCTTTGTTTAAACAAATTTTGTTGTACAGTGTAATTGGACAGATTATAATAAGTAGAATAACTTAATTTTATTAAGAGGTACCTTCCACTTTTTTAGACCATCTTAAATGTAATCTCTTAGGCATTTTTTTAAATATATACTTTTAAATTTTACAGTTCCTTCTTGGTATTTTTTTAAAAATTATTCGTACATTTTCAAGTCAAAAAGACAAAACATTAGTAAAAAAATAATTGTGAAGAATTTTAAAAGAAACAATAAATAAAAGATTTGCCATACTACTAAGAATTACACTCTTATTTTTAAAGTTTATACTTATATTAGTCCAGGAAACAAAGATTGTAGAAGGAAAACTCGATGGTAGTCGGGTTTTATTTTTTTTTATGTAGAGTCAGGGGTGCTGATAAGGAATCAAGAATATTCCCCAAAATTTTCTTTCCGCGTCCCCAAAATTTCATCCCCCGAAAGGGGAGTTTTTTGCTTTTTGGCTCATAACTCGCTAACCGTGCATTTTTTCAGAATTTGACCTCTAATACTTTTGATTATGTACTAAGACACACGTTAAACCCTATTGCGCACCTATATGATGTGCCCTTTTTCTATAGGCAGTGTGCAAAGTTGAGCATTGCTTTCAAAATCACTTTTTTGTTTTTTTATTATAGCCCAATTTTAAAAGTAATCGATCCCAAACCTTACGGTAATCAAACATAACCGAATGGACGATTTTTTGAGGTACTAGACTTTTTTCAAAAGTTACTGCTTTTCAATGTACAGGGGACGCGGAAAGAAAATTTTGAGTATTCTTGATTAATTATCAGCACCCCTGACTCTACATAAAAAAAATAAAACCCGACTACCATCGATTTTTCCTTTTAATGGGTACCTATTAGGGATGTCAATCCCGAAAGGTTTTCGTAATCCCGGGATTTTCGAGAATTGTACTACTAATCCCGGGATCCCGGGATTTGATGTTCCAAAAAAAAATTAAATAACATTCAAAAACCTTTATTGTAAAAAAGGAAAATTAACAAAAAAACTCTTAAACGAACTTAAAGGATTATACATTTTTAAAAAAATACCGCAAAAATAGGAGTGCGTCTAAAGTTTCATCTCCCAGCCTCGAACGTATTTTGTTACATAAAAATCCTCTCAGATTCGTGACCTAACCTCAATAGCTCGAAATCTGTTCAATATTTTTTCTAGTATCAGAAGAACTTTTTATTAATAGATCATAAACTACAACAAAATTCAGATATTTTCATGGTCCAAACTCCCATTAGTTTTGTGCGGGGTCCTTTACATTATTTTAGTATTAAAATTAAAATCGTGCATTACCTATCTTTTTCTTTATTAGCCTCTTGGCACGTTAGATCAATTTTAGACAATAACTAACGAATTCTTCTTTGAATAAAATATTCAATATAATATATATTATATAATACAACATCTAATGTTGTCGGCTTTCGCGTTAATTACTTTAATTTTGAAATAGCGTAAGTAATATGCATACAAAATCGGTATTAATCTCGGGATTAGGTAATCTTGTCCGGTATTTTCGAGACTGGTTTTTTCTTCCCGAAATCCCGGGGTCCCGGGATTGACATCCATAGTACCTATTAATTACAATGTATAAAAAGTTTTATTAAAAACTTATCAGAACTTATAGAGTACCTAACCAGAAATATTTCCACAAATCAGCAAAGATAATCTGGTTTATACACGTCAGATTCTTTTTTGTAATGTAAATCTTTCATTAGAACACTTGATCAAGATTACGATCTTAAGTTAAGATTCTTAACCAGTGCCGTAGGTAACTGCGTACAAAATTATATTAAGGTAGAAGAATTTTTGCAAAGCGCTCATAAGTGCTCATAAGCGCTCATAAATGCTTGAGCATTTATAAACGATAAAATATAAATTTTATTAAAAAAAATATTGAAAAAATACCCCAGTGGCACAAAGATATTGGCCCAATATTCGTAATTATATTGGGCCAATATATCTTTCGTCAGATTTTTTCTAGCATGGTCCAATATTGACATTATATAACCGATATTGGAAATCCTCATTGACTCATTGATTGTTTTACATTATATAAGTTGAGGGAGAAATTGAAAGAAAGAAAAGATAGCCACCTAAAGTGTATTCAAATCCAAGCTGGACTAAAAAAAAACGCCCAGACGCACTCGTTTATTGGCCGATTCTGATGGTGTGACTCGGATTGTGAGTTCTTATTGGTCGATTCGGAGGATTTTGTTTACATTTAGTCCAGCTTGGATTTGAATAGACTTTAGTACTTACTACGTAGTAGGATTTCGAAAAGTGACATGTTACGATCGTGTCGACAAACGTTTGTTTTCAAACGGGGGGGTGACAATGCCCACCCAAATGATAAGGGGGAGAGGGGGGTTACTTGATCTAAAATGTACCCTCCAAATTCTTTGAAAAAATCTACAAATAAGACAAGAATTTTATTGCTAATAAGACAAGAAATCGCATATTACCCTTGTTATTCTTACGGTAATATGCAAGAATGCGCTTTAATATTTTCACCTATTTGGTGCTAAACAATAAGGATGGTAGTCGGTTGCGCCACCCCCCAACTTAAAACCTTCCCTGCGCCACTAGTATAGACATATCCTGGAAACAAACGTGTGTCGTTACATATCACTTTTAGAAATCCGAAAGCATCGTTGACTATAGTTAATATATTGGCGTAAAATAATATGCCAATATAGGACCAACCTTGGAAAAACATTGGCAATTATATATTAAATTATCATTTTATGCCAATATTGGCCATAGATAAAATATTGGGCAAAGACGCGCCCCATATAGGACCAATATTTTGTGCTACTGGGGTTCTTTTAAGAATTCGCTCGAGCAAACAGATTCCCCGAATACACGATACACTTTTATCGCACCCTGTATATATTTATTAGGGTGATTCAAAAAATCAACCTTTTTTTTAAATTATGATATCTAAAAATTGGTAAATGATAGTTTTTTACTTTTTTTGTTAGGTACCTACCTACACTTGTACCTTCTTACTTAAAGTTTTTTCCTGTTGCATAAAACTACCTAGGTACCCAATTTTACACCTGTTACGGCACTGACTTACGATTATTATCTCAGGTAGAAGTTCGCACAAAGAGTATTGTGATTTGATTTAGCCGCCGCTGAAAACAAGTTTCGATACTAGGGACATCATTCGAGCATTACAAAGCGAAAATCGATAGCGTATATCAAAAGTTGTTTTCGCGCTGCACTTATCAGCTGTGTCATAGGTCTAGGGATGTTTTCAAATCAGCACCTTTTTAGATTACTGACCTCGTAATAGTTTATATTCAGTGATACGGCTGAAATTCACTCAGTCACTTCTTGACTTCCAAACAGTTTGTTGGTAAGAGTATTAGGAAATAATAATATGTGGACAATTAAATTGTCCCTTGTTTTGTTTTGCGGCCTTGCCGCGGCCGGTAAGTATAATAATTAATAAGATAAATTATGTTTTGATTATTTTTGTTTGTAAAACACAGTTCAGCCCCCAAAATGGAGTGAGACCTATTCGGTTAAGGGGACGATTTATATTCCGTACGCGGAATTGGAGGAGCCTTTCTCTGCTTGGTGAGTGTTTTGATTTTTATTTGTTTTAATTTTGGTATGGTTGAAAACAAAAATATTGGAAGTTCAAAGATTATCTTGTTTTATTTGCTATATTAAATATATAAATACAACGAAATACAAATTGTGTTGTCGGAATTAATTGTAAGAGTACATTTTTAGTGTAAATAAAAAAATATGTAAAAATTTGGGATTATAAATTAAAAATAATTTAAATAAAAATTAAAAAATACACAAAAAACAAGGCATATTTTGTTTTATATTATATATTTTATAATAGGTATTTATTTATTTAAATCATAAGCCATAATTTAAAGACTAAATATCTAATAATAATAATTATACTTACATGCTTTAAATTTTTTCTAATTTTGTAAGAATTTTTATTTTTCGGCTAAAAGTGTTTATTAAAATTTTACAATAAAATACAATTGTATTGCACAAGTTACTCTCTATTATATAATCTTTTTATTTTTATAGAAAATTAATTTTGTAAAATTTTTACTAGGTCATTTATTTTTTAGAATAAAAATATTTTAAATTATTATAATAATCATTTCTTAATCAATTAGTTAGTTTGGCTTTAAGTTAACTGGTAATTATTGGAAACAACTTGTTTATAACTTAATTTTATTTATTAACAATTTTTATTGTTATTTTATACAAAATAATTATTTAAATATATTTCATGTGCACACATTTATATCTACTTTTTTAGATCAGCTTTTATTTTTTTCTTTAATTTCTATAAAAATTCATAGTAAATTTAACTAGAAATTAATTTGTAAGATATTGTATTCTTTTTTTCAAATTTGATTAGATTAAGAAAGGTTTTTAACACAAAAAAGATTTCAGATTTAGTAATTTTAATTTGGGACAAATTAAAAAAAATGTTTGTTAATCTAAAAAACAATTTTGTTTTTTTTTTTAATTTTTTCACAATTTTTTAAATAAAAAAAAACTTTAGGATTCTTTGTTATGTAATGGTTTAAATATTCTAAAATTTGTGTTTTTGACACATGCGTTTTAAAGATTTTAATTAAAAACTTTGACTTTTAAATATGGAATGCTGTAAAATAATTGAGGTTATTTATCTGTCAGTTTAACGCCAATTTTGTCTTATTTTCTAAAAATAATACAATATGTTCCAAATTAGGACCTTTATACTTAAAATGACAGATACATAACCTCAATTATTTGACTGCCTTTCTTTAAGTTCCACTTTAAAATTTGAATAATATTTAAATGGGACTCTTTGATATGAAGCATCAATTAAATTTTTTAATTATTTTTTTGTTACATAATTTTTTAAATAGGTATGATAAATTAAATTGTTTATTTATCTACAAAAAGAGAATTTGTTTTTTTATATTATTTCACAATTTTTTAAATAAAAAACTTTAGGATTGTTTGCTATGGAATAATTAATACTGTAATATTTTTTCTATGATTTAACGGTTTAAATATTCTAAAAATTGTTTTTTCCTTATTTTGTTCTAATAAATTAATATTCTTCTGTTATTTTTGCAACATGCAAAGTCCCACTTTGACATTTAGATGAAATGCAGTTTGACGCTAATTTTGGCTTATTTTTATAAAAATAATACAATTGTTCTAAATTAGGACATTTATACTTAAAAAAATATATGTATGTATATTAGACTGAGCCAATAAAATCAACTTTTTTTTTTGAAAACTATATCGAAAATATGGTTTGGGGTGATACAAAAAAATTATTGTGAAAGTTTGAGTCCATAATATTAATATTAAGAGGTCTATTATCGCAATTTTAATTTTATTCCTCAGCAAGTTTTTGTCTCAGAACTCCCAAACCATTGAGTTTAACAAAATTGACTCGAAAATATTTTTTTAAGAAAATTAAATTCTCTACTAAAAAGGTTAATGTAAAATTTTCCGTCAGATGAACCATTTCCTTAAAATCATGCCTTAAAAATTGGTATAGTTTTACATTTTGATCTTTTAAATTGGAATTTTGTAATTCATGTAAAAATCAGTACCCATAAAAAACCGATAAATATTCTTATGGGAAATAAAATGCTTTACAAAAAAAGCCTCTCAACATTTTTGTCTAAATTCACTCAATGGTGTTATTCAAGGTTAAAATTTTGATGGAGTGAATTTAGCCAAAAATGATAAAAGACTTTTTTGTAGAGCATTTGATTTCCAATAGGAATATTTATCGGTTTTTTTCGGGTACTGATTTTTACATGAATTACAAAATTCCAAAGTTAAAAGATCAAATTGTAAAACTATATAAATTTTTAAGGCATGATTGTAAGAAAACGGTTCATCTGACGGGAAATTCCAATCAAACCTTTTTTGTTGAGCATTCAATTTTCTTCAAAAAATATTTTTAAGTCAAATTTGTTAAACTCAATGGTTTGGGAGTTCTGAGACAAAAACTCGCTCAGGAAAAAAAAATCTAAAATTGCGATGATAGACCTCTTAATTAATATTATGGACTCAAACTTTCACCATAATTTTTTTTGTCATCCCAAACAATATTTTCGATATACTTTACAAAAAAAATAGTCGATTTTTTTGGCCTAGTGTAGTGTATATAATATATTATTTTCGGAAATTATACGAAATAAGCGTTAAAGTGCCACATATATAACCTTAATTATTTGACTGCCTTTCTTTAAGTCCCACTTTGAAATTTGATTATTTAAATATTTAAGTGGAACTTTGAAATTTGATTATTTAAATATTTAAGTGGAACTTTTTAATGTAGGTCATAGCCCATAGTTTTATCAATTTTGTTTTTGAAATATTTTTTTTGCAAAATAATTTTTTAAATAGGTACGATGGACCGAATAAACAATCCCGCATCGACTACTACGGCAACATGGTTAAAACCTTGCAAATTCGCAACTTTAAAAACTACGGAACCAGCTTGAAAATAGCGCCAGTTACCAATGAGGAAGTAACCAACTCTAAAACTTGCTTGCAAGTTAACGGAACCGCCGAGGCTAGCATCGAACCACAAAGCATCTTGCCAGTGACTGAAGGATTTGAACTTATAGGTAAAACACAGCTTTTTAAAGCATTAAAAAGTGTTATAAACAATGTATTTTTATTTTCTTTATATTTTATGTTATTAACATTTTTCTGTATCATCAGAATTTCATTAACCTTTACGCCAAAGAAGTATCGCAGTAGCGATTTAAATTGGGTGTATTTCGAGAGGAAATCCTGGGTTGAGTTTTTATCGGTTTTCCAATAAACAGTGTTAATCCGAATTAAGAAATAAATTTCATACAGTCCCTGTAAATATAAATTGTATCTGTTAGATACAATAAATACACATTTTAGTAATGATTAACGCGAAAACCATTTCAATTCAGTAATAATCATAATAATCATCAAACTAATAAGTAGTCTAAATTTAAACATCATTTAGCATTAGTAAAAGCGTTTATTAAGAATTCTTTAAAGTCTCCACTCAACGGTAAAATACCATTATATTATGTATATTATATTGCCATGAATTCGTAGCTACATTTTGTTGTTTAAAATGCAGTTGTCGGCGTTTTTTAGAGAACTCAAATATAAAAATGGTTGATTTTAAGGTTATGTTTGTGCAAAAATTATTTTTTACTAATTTCTTAAAAATGTCCAATATAAATTTTATTAAGTAAAGTTATCATTAGTTAATTCTGTACCAACAAATGTACTTACCGAATTGGATCCTTTCGCAAAACATGAAAATCCAACGATTTGAATTTTATTTACAATTAAAAACACAATAATTCACCATGATCCCTTAGATAAAATACACACACTAACGTAACTATGTAAGCATTTAAGCGTTGAGTTTCTTAATCGATGATATAAAGAATAATCAATCGAAATCGAGTATTAAACCAGTTTTTTAGTTTTTTCCTTGCAACGTTAAACACAAATAACGTGCGCGATTCAGCTGTGCAATTGAACAAATTTTTTCTCTCTTGTGAAAAAAATAAATATTTATTTAAAAATGATGTACAATTCTTAAATTCACGCAATGCTTTTGAAGTCCACCAAATATTCTTTAGCATATAGTTTATTGAAAAATAAAGGTAATTTTAATTTTACGTTGAGTCAAAATAAATAACTTAATATTTTGCCTCAAGATTTTATTATTTGACTGCTTATTGAAGGTGAAGAGACAATCACTGGAATTCAAACTGAATTATGGCAAATGAATGAAACTATTGGACAAAAATTCAACAAATACTCTTTGTGGGTGTACTACAAAAACAATCCAGATGTAGAAGGTGAAAAAATTGCTGTTCCAGTGAGGTAAATAAAAAAATAAAAATATAATTGTTTTTTATTAATTTATTTTTTCATAGGTATGAAATGAGAGGATACAACACACTTCTAGGAAGTCATTATGATCACTATTATCTTGTCTACAATGAATTCAGTGATGATGAAATTCCCAAAGAAACCTTTGATGTTGATTCAAGTAAGTTAATATTTAAAATATATTTTAATTTTAACAATAAATACCACAATATTTATTTGATTACAATACATTATTATTTGATTAATAATCAGAATTTAATACTATTTTATTCCTGATTCATCAGATTAAACCACTTAATTAATTTTAATACTTGCGATTTTTTTCACCTACAAGTTGTAAAATGAAATAATTTTTATTTTATTATTTAAAGTGTTAAACATTGTAGTATCTCAAGTGGGCACTTATGTGCAGGAATTTTTCCTGCTAAATTAGGTTCTATTGAACTTTTAGTGATAAGAAATATTTAATAATTTTACTTACATAGAAAGATATATTTACATATTAGGTGCCATTTGACTTGATTTAAAATGAATTGTTTTTTTTTCAATTCACAATATAAATCATACATTTAAATTTCCTTATTTTATTAGATTTTGCTTTAAATATATTCAAATTTTCGTGATTCACTTTAATTTTTTGATTAATTTAAAATTTTACTTAAAATTATATTTGACAAATTGTTTTATTTACTTTTATAAAAAAACAAATTTCTGTTTTAGTACATTTGGAATTTTGTTTGCATATTATTGTTTATAAAGAGTTTTTTTAAATTCTATTTTTAATCAATTGTATGCCACATCTAAATGAATCTTAAGGATTTTTCCTCGATATTTATTTTATACATATATGGTTATATATTTTTTTATTTCAAGAGCTACAAGGTTGGTTAAATTAGAGAAATTTTGCACACAGGGCTATTAAAATGGCATTAAAAAATTGGGGAAAAAACTGAAAATCGTTATAACTTCATACACATTTATCTATATATTTCTCCATTTTGTTATTTTTTACTGCATTTTGAGATACCAACACCATCTTTTGTTTTTTCTATGCCGGGAAAGAATTTAACGATTTATCATACGTTTTGGAGGCCATTATTAAGATTGTGATCATAACCAAAAACAAAGTAAATAACATTTGATGAAAATGTAGATTAATGTGTATGTTTACATGTAAAACTTATTTCGTTTTAAAATTACCATGAATAACAAAGTTTGGATTTAAAAAGTTTTTAGTTTTTTTTTCAATTATTTTGAGAACCACTGGCTTTTTCAATTTATAAATATAAAAAATAAAAAAATACCCATATAAGTACCATACAAGTATAATATAATAGAAATATAATATACATTAGACTGGGCCATAAAAAAACGACTATTTTTTTTTTAAAAGTATATCGAAAATGTGGTTTGGGGCGACAAAAAAAATTATTGGGAAAGTTTGAGTCCATAATATTAATATTAAGAGGTCTATCATCGCAATTTTAATTTTTTTTCCCTCATCAAGTTTTTGTCTTAGAACTCCCAAACCATTGAGTTTAAAAAAATTTACTTGGAAATATTTTTTTAAGAAAATTAAATGCTCTACAAAAAAGGTTAAATGAAATTTTTCGTCAGATGAACCGTTTCCTTAAAATCATGCCCTAAACATTGGTATAGTTTTACATTTTGATCTTTTAACTTTGGAACTTTGAAATTCATGTAAAAATCAGTACCCATAAAAAACCGATAAATATTCTTATGTGAAATCAAATGCTTTACAAAAAAAGTATTCCAACATTTTTGGCTAAATTCACTCCATAAAAAGTTAAAGTTGAAGTCAAAACGAAATTCTTGTCAAAGTTGAATAACTTTTGATGGAGTGAATTTAGCCAAAAATGTTAGAAGACTTTTTTGTAGAGCATTTGATTTCCCTTTAGAATATTCATCGGTTTTTTTCTGGGTACTGATTTTTACATGAATTACAAAATTCCAAAGTTAAAAATCAAATTGTAAAACTATACCAATTTTTAAGGCATGATTGTAAGAAAACGGTTCATCTGACGGGAAATTCCAATCAAACCCTGTAGAGCATTCAATTTTCTTCAAAAAATATTCTTAAGTCAATTTTGTTAAACTTAATGGTTTGGGAGTTCTGAGACAAAAACTCGCTCAGGAAAAAAAAATCTAAAATTGCGATGATAGACCTCTTGATATTAATATTATGGACTCAAACTTTCACCATAATTTTTTTTTGTTACCCTAAACAATATGTTCGATATACTTTACAAAAAAAATAGTCGATTTTTTTGGCCCAGTCTTATACCTAGAAGGATACTTGGTACACCCTGTATAGGATTGTTGTTATTTTACGTACATATTTTTTCACAATTTATAAATTAAATGTAAGATCAAATTTATTTTAAGATAATTACAAGAAATATATTAATAATTCCATTATCAAAGATACCTGATACTTTTACCTATATGTACATTTTGCAGTTTCAATAAAAATATTTTTTTCTTAATTATAAAACCTGATATCTCAATAATTTTAACTGTAAACATCAGTATAACATATCATTGTTGATATAAACACATTCTATCTAGATTTTTTTAACTTCCTTAATAAATACATAGGTATCAGTAGATAAGAAGTACAATAATTAAAAAATATTTGTCAAGAGAAATTCCAGGAAGTTACTAAAAATTAGTTTTTTAAATAAATAATTTTATTGGAACACATTTAATAAAACGTATTTTTATAATTTTTTTAATTTTTAATTTTATTTTAAATTGGAGATTTGGAAATTTTTTGAAAATTATTCGACATGTATTTTTTGTTAATATGTGGAGATCCAAAAAATTATTTATTAGCCCAGCTATTAATGACTTTTCTTTATCTTTTAAGACTTGATATGTCAAAACTTTCCTGGCCCTGGAATCAAACACATCTACACCTTCAACCCGATGGCAGAATTCATCCACCCAACAAAAACCCACCACGTAGATTACGAATTCAAAAAGTTCATCAAAAAGCACGGCAAAAATTACGCCGACGGTAAAGAACACACACTCCGTATGGAAGCTTTCAGACAGAACATGCGTTTCATTACATCTCACAATAGACAGAACAAAAAATTCACGTTGGCTGTCAACCATTTGGCCGATAAATCGCCCAATGAGATCAAAGCTTTAAGGGGTAGGGTTTCCAGTGGCGTCACCTACAATGGAGGAAAGCCTTTCCCTTACAAGACGACTGAAAAAGTGCCAGAACAATGGGACTGGAGGCTGTATGGTGCTGTAACACCTGTTAAAGGTAATACATGAAAAGCTAATTTTTTTGACATCAATCCAGTTAAAGGTTTATGTTATTTTTTTTTCGTAATTTTTTAAATTGTGTAGGTAAATTGATATTCATTCATGTAATTAAAGTAAAATTAAAATTAATATTTATGAGAAATATTTTCTTAATTTATGTACAGGGTGATTCACCTAACTTATTTATCAGAAGTTTATGGAGAAATGAAAAATATATCAATTTGAAATTTTTATACCAATTATAAGGCAATGTAAACTATTTTTTAAATTATTTTCTATCTAGTTAAACCGGAAGTGATAAACTTAGGTTTTTCAAATGGGACCAAATAAATATTATTTGGTAATTCTACGTAAAACGCCAGAATTACTAAAATTTGATTATTTTTTAAATTTTTATCAGTTTTTGAGATATTTAATTTTTTTTTAATTTTGGCAGATGAATGGTCTTACTAATAATTGTAATGTTAAAAAGTAAATTTTTGGTTTACCTGTTAACTAAGAAGCACTCTATCTGCAGCATTCCCTATACCTAAAATGAATATTTATAGAGATATTACAAAAAATGTAAAAAAAAAACGCTTATTTTTTTATTTGTAATATCACTAGTGTCAATTGATTAATGTCTCTGACAATTGTGTTACAATGGGTGTTAATAATTACACTAATCAAGATATTCTAAACATGTTTTATACATATGACAAGTGAGCAAAAGTTTTAGAAATAACAATAAGAACTTTTTTTTAACGAGATGTATCCAAATTTAACCCCACTCAGAAAGTTAGACAAGCGTTTTCGGAATTGTCCCATGAAGAAATTAAACAATTACTTTAGTTTTGTTTTATTTGTTACATTTGTTTAATTTTTCAACTTAAAATAAATAATTTTTTTTAACGTTGTTAAATACGAAATAAAAACAATCCAACGCACAATACTGATTTTACACATTTAAAGTTCCAATTGTTCTTTATAAAACTTTTTCCCACTCGCCATATGTATAAAACATGTTTAGAATACAATTGTCAGAAACGTTGACATTGACATTACTTCCTAAATACTAAATAAAAGACAATCCAATTCACACTACTGATTTTATAAATAAAAAATACATTTACATTTTTGGTAATATCTCTGTAAATATTCATTTTAGGTATAGGGAATGCTGCAGCATTTCAATAGAAAACAATATTATGTGTCAAATGATTGTATTGTAAAAATTGTATGGTAGTTTGAAATACCAGACACCCTGTATAAAATTTTCAAATACTGTTAAAGACTTTGGATATAGTGCTCCTTAGTTAACAGTTAAACTATAAATTAACTTTTTAACATTACAATTAGTGGTAATACAGACATATTAGTAAGACCATCCATCTGTCAAAACTTTTGAAAATAATTAAATAATAATAATAATAATAATAAACGTTCCTTTATTGCTTCTATCAAAATGCTTTTAAAAATAATTAAATATTTTAAAAACTTAAAAATAAAAAAAAAAATCAAATTTTAGTATTTCTAGAATTTTACGTAGATTTTAAAAATGCGAACGCATTAATTAGTGTTTAATAAACACTGTTTATAAGGTTTCATTTGAAAAACCAAAGTGATAACGCAATGAAAATAATTTAAAAAATAGTTTACATTGCCTTACAATTGCTATACAAATTTCAAATCTATATATTTTTACGTTCTCCATAAACTTCTAATGAATAAGTTAGGGTAGGTATATATTTTGTTTTCATTTTAAGACTATTACATTTTTTGCTTTATTTTTGGTTTTTCTCTATATTTGATGTTTTCTTTATATCTAAGATCAATCTATCTGCGGATCATGCTGGTCCTTTGGCACCATTGGAACAATTGAAGGCGCCTACTTTTTGAAAAATGGCGGTAACCTCGTCAGATTGTCACAGCAAGCTTTGATTGACTGCTCTTGGGGGTAAGAAAATCGCCAAATCTTTTCCAACAGTTAAACTAACTTTATAAGTATAATTTTACAGTTTTGGTAACAATGGTTGTGATGGCGGTGAAGATTTCCGCGCCTATCAATACATTCAAAAACATGGCGGTATCCCAACTGAAGAATCCTATGGACCTTATCTTGGACAAGTAAGTTATATAATAATTTAATAAATTAATTTGATGATTTTTAGTCTTGAACATCTTTAAAAAATTCAAGTATTTTAGAAATTTTAAATTTCTTTTCTTTTAGGATGGTTACTGTCATGCTGATGACGCCAAAAAAGTTGCGCAAATCACTGGATGGGTGAACGTAACTGCTAACAACGAAAACGCACTTAGGTTGGCAATATTCAAACATGGCCCAGTCAGTGTTGCCATTGATGCTAGTGTGCGCACTTTTAGTTTTTACTCTAACGGAGTTTACTACGATGAAGCTTGGTAAGAAAAAATACAATTTTTAGTGATTTTTAAGCAAATATACAGCATGTTCACAAAATGAAAAAAAAATTAAAAAAGTCTTTTGATAATATCTTTTGAGTTTTTTAAGTTATAATTCTAATATGTCGTATACAGTTACAGAAAGTTAATCTCCAAAACATGCCAAAATTTCAAACCAATATCTGAACTTACACCAAAAATACAACCAATTTAAAACTATCCAGACCTTTTTCACGCACTACATGAACTATACCCAACATTTATTTTTCTTGCAAATAAAATTATTAGTAATTTTAAAGCAAATCTACAGTATGTTCATGAGTTGACAAATTTTTGAAAAAAGTTTTTTGTTAATTTTTTGTGTTTTTTAAGTCATAACTTTCTAATATGTGGTATACAGTTACATAAAGTTAATCTCAGACCAGGGTCGATAATTTTTGAAACCAAAAAAAATAACAGTAGGATGAAACCCATTGGAAAAGGAGAAGAATATAATAAAAATGAAAGGAAAAATAAATTACGGGCGATCTGACTTCGGGAAGTGGGAGGGGGGGGTTTTAAGGGTAAAAAATGGTTTATCTCGATTTCCGGCAAAACTACAAGTCCTATGGAAAAAAGTTAAATGGCAAAGTTGTAGGTAATAAAGGATCTACAACTTTTGTAATTACAATTTTTTTACATTACCTCAAAATTTATGAAAAAAATTTTCCACGAAATTTGGTGAAAACTTACCTTTTTATGTCCCAAATACACTGTAATTTATTTGATTTGAAATATTTATTATTTCGCCTTATTTTGACTTAATATCAAAAAGCACCCTAATTTTCAATCGAAAATTCTCGCGTCAAAATATCAGCTTTTTTCAAAAAGTCGGTGTGCTTTTTGTTCGTTGAAATCTCTACTTTCTGATGGTGTAAAATATACATTACTATGGTAAATGTTCTCAGAAAATGCAAAAAATATTATAATGAATAACGAAAAAAACTCGAATTCGAAAATTTATTTTAATCATTATGTACAATTTCATCAAAAAAATGGGATTGTTGCAATTTTTTTTAGTTAAAAAGTTTACTTATTAAATTCTAATAACATTTATGTCAGAAAATCTCATAAAATATAAAAATACATGTAAATCATACTATTGAATTTAGATACTTCATTCTGATTACGTTATTCATTATAATATTATTTGTATTTTCTGAGAACATTTACCATAGTAATGTATTTTTTTTTACACCATCAGAAAGTAGAGAGTTCATCGAACAAAAAGCACGCCGACTTTTTGAAAAAAGCTGATATTTTGACGCGAGAATTTTCGATTGAAAATTAGGGTGCTTTTTTGATATTAAGTCAAAATAAGGCGAAATAATAAATATTTCAAATCAAATAAATTACAGTGTATTTGGGACATAAAAAGGTAAGTTTTCACCAAATTTCGTGGAAAAAAATTTTTTTTTGAAAAAGATAAAAATAAAAAACCAAAAACTTGGTTTTTTGAATTTTTCACATAAATTTTGAGGTTATGTGAAAAAATTGTAAATACAAAAGTTGTAGATCTTTTTATTACCTACAACTTTGACATTTAACTTTTTTCCATAGGACTTGTAGTTTTGCCGGAAATCGAGATAAACCATTTTTTACCCTTAAAACCCCCCCCCTCTCACTTCCCGAACTCAGATCGCCCGTAATTTATTTTTCCTTTAATTTTTATTATATTCCCCTCCTTTTCCAATGGGTTTCATCCTACTGTAATTTTTTCTCTCTTTTTACCATTTTTAAAGGCTTCTGCACTGGTCTATAAAACATATTCAAATTTCAAACCAATATCTCAACTTACACCAAAAATACAACCAATTTAAAACTATCCCGACCTTTTCCACTTACTACATGAAATATACATGACATTATTTTTTTTGCAGTGGTAACAAAGAAGAAAACCTCGATCACGCCGTTTTGGCAGTAGGCTATGGTACCATGAGGGGTGAACATTATTGGTTGGTTAAAAACAGTTGGTCCAACCTATGGGGAAATGATGGTTACATTTTAATGTCGAGCAAAAATAACAATTGCGGTGTCATGACAACGCCAACCTACGTCACCATGTAGGTTTTTGGTGTGATTATGGCTTTAGGTTAATTTATAAAAGCAATATTAATAAATTTGTGACTGAGTTTTTAGGATTTATATAAATAATAAACACAATTAAAGTTATTACGTTTTTTAATTTTTCGTTTTAATTGAAAACATCTTTTTCTGATTTTATAGCAAATCTAAAGTGTTTTTGTTTTTTTAATATTTACAATGCAGTTAAACCCAAAACATACTAAAATTTCAAATTAATATCTCAACTGATACCAAAATATAATTAGTAGTATCTAACCCACATACTTCCAGGAAGTATGTGATCTAACCAAGGATGTTGTATCTAACATTTTATTTCCCAAAACCATATCTATTGGTAGTTCAAATGTCCCAAATTAGACAACATAACCTCAAAATTTTTCAAAATTAAATACCACAATGTTTATTTTTCGTTGTATTTTATTTACAAACTTAATTTTAATTAGTTTTAATGGTTATAAAAGTGAGGAGTATTGTTATGACAAAAACAGCCAATGTAAAGACAAGAAAATTAGGTAAAAATTTACGCTTATTTAATAATTATTTTTATTATTTAATAATTGTGTTATTACAAGTACAATTTTTTAGATATTTATTTTATGATGTAAATCCTCCAGAAGGTTTTAACTTGAGAAGAGATGTATACATGAGAATGGCTGTTTTAGCATATAAACTACATAATTTAAGACCCGATAATCTTAATAGCTTTAAATTAGTTTTACCTCCTTGGTCTCACCTAGTTCATTGGGATTTTAGTCAATTTCCTGAATATATCCCATGGTCTTACTATTTTGACCTAAGTAGCCTTAAGAATTTTGCACCTGTGATAGAAATGTATGATTTTTTTAATGGTAAATAATGTATGTTGTATATCAATATTTAGATTACAAAAATGATTTTTAGAGTATAAGAATAAATATAGTGTTATTATTGAAGAAACTTATATATTGCAACATTTCGAGGATATGTTTGAGTCAGGAAACTTCGAGGATAGGATGGAAGTTGAAAAATGTACCAAAGATTATAAGCCTTTATTTTTTCACTATAGTAATATTACTTCTAATAATGTTAAATGTTTGTCTTTTCATGGATCTTCCACAAATCTTATTAAATTGTTTAATGAATCAACTGCTAGGTAATTTAGGAAGAATTTGGATATTTTTTATGTCTGTACCTTTTAAATGATAATAATATTTTAGTACAATTTACATTGATCATGCTGAAGTGGCTCTTCATGAAATGTTTGGAAATAAAATTTACTGGGAAGCCAGAAGAAGCATGAGATTTAATAAAGAGTTAGTTAAAATTGCGAATGACTTCAGAAAAGACTTTTTAAACTCTACAGATTTAAGTGATTTAACTACAATACCTGTAGATTGGAGAGATGAAAAAGTAAATTTTGTCAAGTCAACTTTTTTTAATAAATATTCATTTTAATAATTTTTAGCCAAATAGAAATGCCAAAGGTGGCCCCTATTTATCTGTTCATATGAGAAGAAAAGACTTTGTAAAGAGTAGACCTCAAGAAACCCCAAGTTTAAAAAATGTTAGTGAGCAAATTAAAAAAACTTTAGATAAATTAAAATTAGATGCAGTTTTTATATCTACTGATGCCCCAGATAAAGGCAAGTACATTTTTATTTAAGTTAAAAATTAACGGGAATTTTCGATTCATCTTAAATCATCCGCAAAGTTCAACTTTTTTCTAAAGCGGAATGAAAGAAAGGCTCCAATTTTAAACTATAATTATAGTTTTTAAGAAAAGACCTACAAAGACAAGAACACTTGTCAACAATTAATTAATTAATAATTAATTATTGTCAAACATCAACATATCGATGGGTATTTGACAAAACATCGTAAACGACAATTTTGTTGAATTACTTTTTATTTTATCAAAGTGTCAGTTACGATAAGCTGCACATGTTAACATAATAGTTATCCCAATTTTGGAATTTAATATTGGTCAGTTTGAATATTTTTTTATTGTAAGCGCCTCTTTTTTATTTGTTACCGATTTATAATGTAAGCGCCTATATGTTTCCGACAAATAATCGTAAGCAACTCCGAGACATGGCGTTTGCGATTTAACACTGTGTCTCTTACGATAATATTGTGCTCCCGCCTTGATCTATCAAGGCGTTATTCCCGCTCTAAACAGTTTATTCGTGAGTATACCTGCATCGTGGTGATTGCTACCAAGTTTTAAAACAATATTTTATTTAATCAAAAGCTTATAATTCCTTTTTTTCATTGTATTATTAATAGTTATCCTAATTAGAATTGTTTTTACGTAGTGTGGTTCGTTAAATTTGAACTTAAAAGTGTTTTTTATAGTAATTGTATGTTGTTCCAGCGTCAAATAATTTAACTCAAATTTATAACGGTTAGATCATGGTACCATGGGTTAGATCATGGAGCCTACACAAGGAGTCCGAACATCATGTAAACAAGAATCTTCCTAAGATAAGAGGGCGCTGGTGTTCCGTTTATTCTGAAACAATTGTTTAATTTGTACCGAAACGCTAGCATCGGCAATCAGCGCTGGTGGTGAAAAAAGAAACTTAATTTGTACAATTTAGAGGGCAGGTTTTGTCAATTTTCGCTATTAAGTTTGGGCTCCTTGTGTAGGCTCCATGGGTTAGATACTGGTTTGTGAATAAAAATCGTTTTTTTTTAAGAAAGCTAATGTAGAATTTCATTTTCAAACATTGTTTGGCAAAATATCGTTGGTGATATTTTTATAAATTAAATTTTATGTAATTTTTTTAATTTAATAACAAAAGTAAATAAATAAATGGCGCTAACGATGTTTTGACAAAAGTAATCATCAAATCTATATCCCACAAAGCAACGTAAATGTAACTTAAGCGACAAGCCTCACCAGTTTTCAGATAAATAACTTTAAAAATAAAGCTCTCACACAAAAAAAATCTCTCCTGTAAAATTTTGGTTTTGTCGCTTACGATGTTTTGTCAAATGTTGTCGTATGTCGAGAAATCGGTTTTTGACATTCGACATTGATGACGCAATTTGAAACGTTCGCCGCGATTACTATAATTTATAATAGGTTATAATACGTTTGTTCCAACCGAGCATGCGGACTGTCGAATGAATCCCAGGGACATGCGCAATACCAAAATCGCATGCGCAATACCGAAATCGCATGCGTAATGCCAAAATCGCACGCGCAATACGAAAAAATGGTTGCGATTTTACTATAGGCTTGTTCCTACCGAGCATTTGTAAAATGGAAGCGCAATAGTAAAATCGCAACCATTTGACATTATAATGTCATATATTGTCATTGTATACGACAAAAAAACCAATATTATGCAATTATTGCATTATTATAGGAGTAGATAAATATATTTTATTATACATTTTGTATTTATTTAATATTAACACAAAGTTAATATTTGCTTAATGTTGCTTTTTGAGCTTGAATTATTCGATTGCCCAATAAAAAATTTATTATGTGTACGCAACTACGTGCAAAATAAAACAATTGATTGTCTCAATTGTTACTTTGTTGTGATTTTAATTAATGATCTGTAGAGGGAAATTTAAAAATCGCCATCCTGAAAAACTTTGGTTTTAGGTCACTTTTCTTCCATATCAAAAAATAAAAAAACCTTTTATTATAAAGTTTTTGTAAAACCACGTTAAAATTGATTAAACCAATCAAGTTTTATTTTACAAAGACTTTTAAAATCTATTTTAAACACAAAATGGATTTGGAAAAACTTTTTGAACATTTTGTTTTTTAAAATTTAATGTAAAAAGTAAATTGTTCTATTAAAAAAATCAAATACTTGTGAGAGATATAGATTAAAAAAAACTATACTTAAATAAAAATCAGAATTGTTTTACTATTTTAGAGTATAAAACCTTAGTCGACCTCATAGGTCCAAAATACAAGGTATTTAAATACAGTGGAGACAAATACGTAAAAGAAAAATTCAAAGATGGAGGGATAGCTATAATTGACCAAATTATTTGCTCCCATGCACGTTACTTTATTGGTACGCAAGAAAGCACTTTTTCTTTCAGAATACAGGAAGAAAGGGAAATCATGGGGTTTCCTGTTAAAACTACATTTAATTCTTTATGTAATAATGATGGTATTTGTCGAAAGCCGTCACAATGGAAAATTGTTTATTAGGTTAAAGTATGTTTAAATTTAAAAAATTAAATTAAATTTTTATATTTTAATAAAATCTTTTATAAATAATTCACTTATTACTTGCGACATAACTATCTAACATTTGATTATAAGCAGAGCTGGGAAAGTTACTTCTGAAAAGTATCTAGTTACTTTTCTAAGATACTTTAAATAAAATAACTTACTTACCTCTGGTAACTAAGTAGATACTTCGAGTTAAAAGTATTTTTAGTTACAAGATACTTTAAAAAGTATTTAGGATACTATCCGAAAGTGTATAATAGACTGGGCCAAAAAAAATCGACTATTTTTTTTTGGAAAGTATATCGAAAATATTGTTTGGGGTGACAAAAAAAAAATATGTTGAAAGTTTGAGTCCATAATATTAATATTGAGAGGTCTATCATCGCAATTTTAGATTTTTTTTTCGAGCGAGTTTTTGTCTCAGAACTCCCAAATCATTGAGTTTAACAAAATTGACTTAAGAATATTTTTTGAAGAAAATTGAATGCTCTACAAAAAAGGTTTGATTGTAATTTTACGTCAGATGAACCCTTTTCTTACAATCATGCCTTAAAAATTGGTATAGTTTTAGAATTGAATCTTTTAGCTTTGGAATTTTGTAATTCAAGTAAAAATCAGTACCCTGAAAAAAAAAACGATAAATATTCTTAGGGGAAATCAAATGGTCTACAAAAAAGTCTTTTATCACTAAATTATCCCCATCAAAAGTTATTCAAGGTTAAATTTGAAATCAAAACGAAATTTTAACCTTGAATAACTTTTGATTGAGTGAATTTAACCAAAAATGTTAAGAGGCTTTTTTTGTAAAGCATTTGAATATTTATCGTTTTTTATGGGTACTGATTTTTACATGAGTTACAAAATTCCAATTTAAAAGATCAAAATTTAAAACTATACCAATGTTTAAGGTATGATTTTAAGGAAACGGTTCATCTGACGAAAAATTTCACTTTTTTGTAGAACATTTAATTTTCTTAAAAAAATATTTTCAATTCAATTTTGTTAAACTCAATGGTTTGGGAGTTCTAAGCCTAAAACTTGCTGAGGAAAAAAAAATTAAAATTGTGATGATAGACCTCTTAATAATAATATTATGGACTCAAACTTTCACAATAATTTTTTTTTGTCACCCCAAACCATATTTGCGATATACTTTTCAAAAAAAAATAGTTGATTTTTTTGGCCCAGTCTAGTGTATAAGATAGTATCTTAAAGATACTATATGAAAGTATCTGAGATACTTTTGAGTAACTAAGATACTTTTAAGTAACTAAGATACTTTTGAGTAACTTAGTTACTTTTAAGTATGAATAAAAACTATTAAACTTAAAATTATGAAAATTTTGAAAAAGTTGAAGGTTATAATTTATTTTGAATCATTCTGGAATTCCCCCAATTTTGTTACTTTAAAAAATATCTTAGTTACTTTAAAAATTATTTTAGTTACTTTAAAGTATCTAATTAGTAACTTAAGTTACTTGATGTATCTTAGTTACTTTACCGAGTAATTTAGATACTTTTTTAGATACAAGTTACAAGGTACTTTCCCAAAGTAACTTGGTTAAAGATACTTTCTGTCCAATATAAAAAATATCTAAGATAAAGTAGGTATCTTAGATACTTTAAGTATCTAAGTTACTTTAAGTATCTTTTTTTCAAGATACTCCCAGTTCTGATTATAAGTTAAACATATTAAATTATTCAACTGTTAATCAATAATAAATTTTACAATTTTTTGATTGTTTTTTTGTATAAATTTGACCCAAAAAGTAAAGGTAAACATCAGTTCCAACATCATTGGTAAGTAATATTCATATTAAATATATTTGTATCCATAAAAAGTACTTTTTTAGTGGTACCCTATCAATCTGCAAAAATTAATTTCGCAGCTCTTTTTCTCGTCGTCGTATTGGCCCTGACTTTGACACTTGACTTCGCAGCGGCCCAATGTATTGCTGATTGTAACGGATGCCAACCTGACGGAAGCCAAGGAAACTGGTGCTCAGGATTCTGCTACAATTGAGTGTATGGGTAGCTGGATACTGCACCACCAGCTAAATACAACATCTAAATGACATTGTAAATTTTGACGATAATGCTTATGGGTGAATCTCACGAAATGTCCCCCGATGGTGTTACCCCGTGAAACTAAATGAGTTTGACCTACACTTTTATTGTGTTTTGATCTTTCATAATTAAGTAGATATTACAGCTCAGGTTCCAAAATTTTAATTGCAATTAATTATTTTTACAATGTTTTAAAAGTCTAAAACATCCTCCGTGACTGGTACTCTTTATAGGTTAACCTATATGTTTTAAAATATCTGAGGTAGTAAAAGTATACTAAAAATATCAGTTCAAAAGTAAATTAAACACATCCAAAGCAATCGAATCAAATATAAAATATTATTAAAAAGAAATAATTTTTATAACCATTTATGTAGGTGTTACAAAAATTGATTCTATCCTCCGTGAATCTGTTTTTGCTTTAAATTTTATGCAACGGATGGCACTTTAATCATTTTAAATAAGCAAAAACCTCTGTTTACGACATTATAGATGCATGTGATTCCTGAAGGTCAGTTAGAATTTATATGCAGATGAGAGTGTTGCTGTTTTATAATTCAAAAGTTAAAGTTCATTAATTTGCTATTTAAAAACCTATCCACCGGGAAGTGTAATATCTCAGTAAGTAGATTTTTTTTATAAATATTTTAAGTGTGTACAATTGTATTTTTAATAATATTAAGGTGTCAAAGGTACAATAACTTATTTTAAATATACAAAGGGATGTTAAAAAAAAACATACGAAATCCTAACCTCCGTGAAGCTATCTTCCGTGAAACTCTAATATTCAAAATGTATGATTTCTTAAAATTCTTGCATTAGTGCAGAACCACTTCCCTGCTTAAAATACCCCATAGAGACCTATATAAAATAATCTATCGGGCGCTACCGGATTCAATATGTGCATTTGTCCATAGTTTTTTCCGGATACGGCCCGATAGAAAATTTATAGGAAATTACCTATAGGCACACCATAACTTTTACATTTTTCCTATTGAGACCGATAGCAAATAACTCAATGAAGGTTATATAGGGATATCCCTATAGAACAACCATAAAACATTAGACAAAATTTTATTAAAACCTATGGGGTCCTATGGGAGAAAAACTAATTGCTACATTTATGTGTATTTTCCCAATTGAAACCAATAGCAAATAAATCAAGGGTGGATATCCCTATACAACCATAAATCCCAATTACGGGTCCTATACAAACCCATACACCCTATAGAAACACCATACATTCCGATACAAATATCTATCGGTTTGAACAGGGTCTCTATGGGATATTTTAAGCAGGGTTATGTTATGTTATTAGTGGCTGTTATGATATCGTCATATTCCTGCCAAAAGTCACTAACTGACATTTTGAAAAATGATAACAAATTGTATTTAACTATACAAATTTACCATATATTTAATATTTAAAAGCCACTAGATGCTTAGAATAATAAAAATGGTCGTTTTTGCATGGTTAAAAATCACTATAGTTTATAAACTGATGTAATAGATATATGTATTTGCTTATTTATTTTATCTTGAAGATCAATAATAAAATGTTAGTTAGTGACTTTTGGCAGGGATATGACGATATGTTATTACTAGACCTGGAGGCCCAAAAACCCCATTCTAGACTAACAGAGAAACGACCAAAAATAAAAAATAATCATTTTCACTTGTGGGACATTTCAATATATTCACCCTTATGTAGTAAAAGGACGATTCAAATTTATTATTTGTGTTATTTGGTATAAATGCTTTTGCACTATACTCGACAAGAGAAATGAAAACGCTTTAGTAAAATTAATTTATAATTTATTGTCAATAATTTACAATATTTACAATTTATGATAATATTTACATTTTCTTATTGTCTCTTCATGTTGTACAACTTAGATTTTCTCTCGTGACTCAACTGATGGTTATTAAAATGATCCTTTCGTAGAAATCCCTTACCACAAGTGGTACAATTGTAAGGTTTCACCTTCGTCTTATAGTGTACAAACATGTGCCGATTCAAGTCGGATTTGAAATTGTACTGTTTCGGGCAAATGTTGCACTTGTGCGGTTTGTTGCCTTTGTGTTTTTTCGCGTGTGTGTCTAGGATTTTTTGCGAGAAGAACTTCTTTCCGCATATCTTGCACTGGAATTGATTTTTATCGTTATGGTGGGCATTATTGTGTTGTGTAAAGTAGGCCTCTTTCGCAAACACCCTGTCGCAAAATTTACACTTGAGTTTTGGATCCACCTTTAAAAGAGGTTCTTGAGGAAGGCAAGTAGGCTTACCAGCGGTTAATGTAAGGGGATTTTGGTGAGGTTGAGGCTGATTATAATGGAAGTACGTTGGTCTTTCTTGGGGAATCAGACTGTCAGTAGGAACGTCCGGAAGATACTGGTTGAAGTTAAAATAATTGCCAGTATCTGTTGCATTTAGAGGTACAAAACTGTTTGTGGGAGGCAATTCTGGCATATTCTTTGGATAGTTGGAAACACCATAGTTATTATAAGAATAATTCTTTGATGGGTTTTCGTAATAGAAGTACGGATTATATCCAAATGGTGCCTGTCCTCTATCTTCGTATCCTAAGTTCGTGGAGTAATTATTTAAAAAATCTTCGATGATGTTTAGTTCTTCTTTAGAATTGGGAACACATTGTTCTGTAGTGTTTAATCGATTCTCCTGATTTAATATGTTAGGTGGGGTAGTGAAGTTAAATAAAGGATATTGGTATGCCATTTTTAGATTGTTTGATTTCAAATTATAACATTAATGTCATAAAATTACAACAGGCCTTATTTTAATAAATTATAATTAATCCTTAAGACACATTTTGAAGAATTATGTTGGGAAGAAGCAGTTTTATTGTTTAAATTAGTGATTTATAAGTTTAAAATGAGTTAAGAAACACATTCTAATTGATGCATAGTGTAGTCAGTTTTGTGGTTATCTGGCCTAACCAATCTAAAAAAAAATATTTAGACAACTTATAATAAATATAATTAAAAATTAAAATACCTCTTTGGTCTGTATAAACGTATTAACAAATTAAATAAACAAACACAATATTAAAAGAAAACAAACATTTACTTCTGATTATAAATACAATTAAAATGTAAGGAATAAAAAGTAAACTTGTTAAAATAATAAAAAACGTTAATAAACAATTACATAGTATATTCCACCAAGGCAGTTGTGGATTTAAGAAAAATGACCCAGGCGGCAAAGTTTTAAATATAACCAAAATTCATTGTTAAGGAAATTATAACATTTCAGCTGCTATAAAGCCTTTCTGTTGGGGGGGCAGACGGCAACAGCGCATTTTCCAAATTAATTATAAAATCGTCACTCTGCGACAGTAAAATTATGTCAAAAAAATTGATACCTTCGCTAGCCAACTTTTTTTATTAAGCGTTTAAAAAAATCATTCCTATAAAAAAAATTAGAATCAAATGCAATGGTAAGTAAAAATAAAAATGCTTCACCTTTATTATTTTATAATAGGTACAAATTTTATGAGAGAAAATCCTTAACAATTCAAATATAAGTTTAAATACGAAATTAAAAATTTTGTTTAGAATAAATAATTCTAAGTTCTATAGTCTAACGTTAGAAATTAGACTTTTTTATGAATATATTCATAACCAAAACGCAGGGTACTCTTGAAGCATTTTATTTGATAGTATAAAATGTAATACTACTCAATAGTTTTCTTTTGCCCTAAAACTTGAAAATTCAATCTGATTGATCCATGTTTTTGAGATTTTTGTAAAAACAAATTAAATTTATTTAAGTTATAATACATTTTTTAAACATATTTTTTTCGCAACCCTTAACGTTAAAAAAAATACAGAGTTAGGAGTAGGGAGTTATTTCATTTTTAAGGCCGCAAATGAGGGTATACCAAAATTGGTATCATAACAAAATTGGCGATTAATTTTTCTTAAAATGTAAGACCGATTTTCCTTTTCGTTTTTGTTTGGTGGATTAAAAAACAAAATAACTCCTGCAATTTTAAGTATTAAAAAAAATCGTAAAGAAAATTTCGTCTTAGATTTTCGCAAGGAATCGACCCCTTTTGTTTGGTCCGGTGATTTTGGGAGACCATCTGTATCAAGCAACTATAGTTTATTAATTTATTCATATTTTATTTCAGTGTAGCATTTGAAATGCTTTTAATTAAAAAAATACATATGTTTATACTAAATGTAACAAAAACCTCAATGAACTCGCTACACTTTACTGAATGTGCAGAAAATTTAAATTTAAAAAATGTTTTAAAACCTAATAATATAAAACCCATTAACCAGACTTTTTAGTTAACTTGTGGCATAATTATTTTATTTGGATAATTAGCAATTTGAACAGTTTAAAATTGGATAATGAGTTGCAGGCTTATCTTTTTTTAAACAAAGTTTATTTTTAATTTGGTAGTTTACTGATAAATATATATTATATATGGTTAATTAATATTAGGTCCCAAGTACCAAAACACTATTTTTTTTATTTGTAAACATGTATTTTAAACTTATTGTTATATTTGCGTTCCTTTATCCTATTAAAGTTCAAGGAAGTTTTAGTAACTCATGTTCGGATTGGTTAAGTTATTTATTTCCACCATTGTCCCCTAGTTGTTTTTACAACCCTGATGTCTTCGCCAACACGGTAAATTTTACACCTTATAAATTACATATCTCCTTTTTACGCAATAAATTGTAGATTGAGATTATTGAACGGCATCTCGGAAAAGGAAGCTATGAAAATTATACCGTGACCACCGAAGATGGTTATATATTAACTTTATTTAGAATTTTGCAAAATAATCCTAAAGGAGTTGTTATCAAAGATAATACACACCACAATCCACACAACAAGGTCTGTTCTTCCTCGATAAAATGCGAACGAAAATCAGGACTGTTATGCGCACCACGTGAACAGTTTAATGGCCACCATCTTTGATTTATTTGCCGCTGTTAATTTAAAAATAAAAAGTTGTTTAAGTTTTAATGTAAACGCAAATGTTTGTTTTAAACAAAAGCTTTGAAAAAAATATGTTAATTGGGGAATTTAATTAATAAATTATTAAAGATATCTTTATAAAAAGGTATTTTGAGCAAGTAAATATATATAGTTGTTTCAAGTTTTAACGTATACGTTTATAAACAGAAATGTGTTAATTAAAATAAACACAAGTAAACTATTACTTGTGTAAATTAAACATTATTTTACAATATGGTAATCAATAATTATTTTAATAATTAATAATAATTATTATAACTTTTAATACATTTTCTTAAAAATTGATTATTGGCAATATTAAAATCTTTAAAATTATCAATGATGAAAGTATTTTAGCAAGTAAAAATGGATGTACATGACCATAGCTAGTCGATGATTTTTTTAGAAATTAAAAGTTAAGATAAAGTAATATAAATCAAAATAATTTAATTGCAAATTGATAATTTTTTAGTAAATAAATTTTTGAAAGTACGGAAATTATTAATGGTGAAGGTAGGATTTCTAGTAAGTAGATATATAAATAAAACAAAAAAATATAATATATATTTTTAATAAAAAATAATCAAAATAAATATGAATAAACTTAAACATAAATAGTATTTTTTAAATACACTTAAATTTTTACATATAATTTAACAAAATAAATATATTTCTTCATGCTTATAAAATAATACAATTTAGCATATTTAAATTGATAAAAAAATAATAATAAAAACCTAGGTAACATATTTAATCCCTAATTAGGGTTAACTAGTCAACTACTAACACAAAATTTAATAAAATACGTTTTAATAACAATTTCATATAAAATCGAATATTTAAAACTTAATTTTCTACACTATAATAGTTTCCACCTTTTTCTTTGGTTTCCACTGGTTAAAAGGTATTGAATTTTACATACATCACAGTTTTGGTAAAATTGATTAATTATTTATTAGTACATTTTTGTTTTTTTATTTTATTTTAAAAACAGCATTCTCAGTAAGGCCTTGGTAGGCTTTAGGTGGTGACAAACCATATAAAACTTTGTGTGGATGTCTTACCAAATATTTTGGCTATAGCACAAATTCAATCTAAGTAATAATATAACATTAATAAGTAATAATATAACATCAATAATTATGTTTTGCACACATTGTAGTGGAACTTACGAGACTTTGGTTTTTCCATATTAACCATTGAATTATCAGCAGCCTCAATCCATTCTTTGGCTTTTCTTTCTCAGTAAGGCCTCGGTAAGCTTTAGGTGGTGACAAACCATATAAAACTTCATGTGGATGCCTTACCAAATATTTTGGCTCAAAATGTATAGCACAAATTCGATCTAAGTAAATAATATACATTAATAATTATGTTTTGCACACATTGTAGTGGAACTTACGAGACTTTGGTTTTTCCATATTAACCATTGAATTATCAGCAGCCTCAATCCATTCTTTGGCTTTTATAGAGTTTATTTCAAAATAGGCACTAATTAGTGTTTATAAACAAGTACACTAGTACAGTCAACTGCCAATGACAAAATCAACACAAACAGGAGCGCACTCAACTGATTCACAATGTGAATTTCACACTGGTAACGTCAATAAAACCAAACAGGAACACACAGGAGCAAACTCAACTTATGTCAATAAAATCCAATAAACCAACAACGTTTAAAACGATTATTAATCTGTATAAACAGAGCACAAATCCAAAGCACAAAGATTGTAAACAACAAAAATGGCCGCCATTAAACTTTTTGCAGTGGGGTTGCCTACCTCCGTGATTTTTAGTATGCGCGAAACGAGGAAGAACAGACCTTGTTGTGTGGATTGTGATACACACCATAGATTGGAAACTGCACTAGCGCTAGCGGCAAAAGGCTAAAGTAAATTAACGCCATCTAGGTCTACAATACCCTTAGCAATGCCAAAAAGTGAAGTAGATTTCTGTAACATATTGGCGGCAAATTTGAATGTTGATGCTTAGTAGGGTGCCTTTGTATATTGTATTTACTGCTGTATTTTAAATAAAACAAGTATGAATATAAGATTTATTTATTGTAGTAATAATCTAATATAAAATAAAATACATACATCTTATGTACATATTAAATACATAATGGGTATACATGAATATGTTTTTGTTTGGGGAGTGTAAACCTAAAAAATATTAGTCTTAATTCTTTAATAATAAGAGAATATTGCAAAATTTGGTAATTTAGTCCAGGCTACTTATACATATATAGGAATTTGTACAAGGCTTTTGAGTGTGGACTTATGGCAAGTTCTAACCAACCGTGAAAAATCCATCTTGCCAACTCTTGGTTTTGAAACAACCATAAGTTGCCTGGGCTTGGCTTGAACTAAATTACCATTAAACAAGCAATCCTAAATAATTCATAATTAACAAACAGTATTTTTACGATAGAGCGATACTGCCGAGCTTAGCCAAAAAGACGCAACTCCACATTTTTACTTTATAAATTATAGCGCTTTATTTTTTTTCATAAGATACGTTCAATTTAATTAGAAATTTTTGGGAGATATAGTACTTAAAATGTATGTATAGTTAAAATGCGTCTTTTTTGCTAAGAGAATAATTTAATAATATTGGAGAGTCTTTTTGGCTTAGGACGGCAGGATAGTCAATACTTACAAATTGGTTACATTTCCGCACCCAACAACAATACATTTCACAACCATTAACACGTTTTATCACTTTTAAGGCGCAAAAATGTATTTAATAATTCAAAAATTATGATTGACATCAATAATTATGATTGACATTGACATTTGCAAATAGCGTTTGTACAGATGTCTGCAATTAACAAATAGATATAGTTCAGGTATTGTAGCTCTAGATGGCAGTGGTGGGAGAGTTTCCAATCTATGGGGTGTATTATCTTTGGTTGTTATGTTGCAACATCCTGTTACCGCTGATGGGGTGGCATGGGTTCAAGACAGCGACAAGAGATCTATGGGTAAAATCAAATATCTGTTTTTTCTACTCCCACCTTTAAAACGCCCATTATTATACATTCACATCCACTTAATACGCGTAACTTAACTTAACGTACGTGATAGACATAAGTTTAAATGCATTGAAACCAATACAGCTGTTTACATTCGTAGAAAACTTATCACACGTAACTTAACGTATCCAAAAGTTGGGTGCGACTCAACTTAAGGGAATACGTTTCTTACGTGAGCCAATCACATGCCCAGTAAAACGATATAGCGCTATCTTGTTGTTTCACTTTTATAGATAGATAGGCAACCCAGTCTACATTCATGTCTACATTGCGTGTGCTTGTATATTGCGTTCTTTGCGTGTATTAAGTTAATGTAAACAGACAACTTAACAGACGTAGGTTTCTTAAGTTAAGTTAAGTTACGCATATTAAGTGGATGTGAATGAGCTTTAAGTGTCCATTTAAATACACATTGACAAGTTGTGGCTTTATGGCTCTTTAGTCACGGGCTGAAGTTAGCAACAGGTTTTTAGTCACGGGCTGAAGTTAGTTTTAAGTTAGTTGACAGTTGTCAAATGTCATACAATTGTTAAAATAAAGTGCCTTTCTTGTAAAATAATACTAAATGTGAAAATTATTTTATTATTTCAATACAAAAATACAAACGTATTAAATAGTTTCTTAAAGCTAATATTTGAAAAGATTTTACGAAAGGTATAGGTACTATAGTAGTTCGTTTCAACTAGATTTAACTTATAAAGTGTTAAAAATTTTGCGTACAGTGCCCATAAAACATTCTCTTCTCTTTTACTTCTTCTTTATTAATTTTTAGTCTATTTTCAAGGCATAAATTTTGATTTACACAGAAAAAAAATATATGAATTTATAGAATTCGTGATCCAAAATTAATCAAAACGTTATTATATTATTATAATGTACCTACCCAAAATGTTTCTGGAAATTTTGTAAATCCTGTAGAACTTTTGAAAATTTTATCTACCCTATTGTAAATGACCAATAGAATCCAATAAAAAATAAGTAATTGGTTTGAAATGTGTTTTGGCGCTATAAATCACCAATTCATTCCAGTTGAATTCCTATTGGTAATTTCCAATGAAGTCAGCGGCTAAATCCAATAGAAATGCACATGGAATGAATTGGTAATTCATAGCGCCAAACCCATTCCAACCAATTAAAACCAATTAATTTTTTAAAATTTGGATTAGAAAATCCCAGAAAGATAACCGGGTAAAAACCAGCATTTATTTTTCACAGAAGAGACAAAAAATTTATTGTTACTGAGTAGATTTATTTCTTTATTATTTTTTTTTGTTATATAGGTAGGTAATACATTTTTTTAAACATATTTTTTGCGCAACCCTTAATGTTAAAGAAAATACAGAGTTAACTAATTAGGAGTTGGGAGTTATTTAATTTTTAAGGCCGCAAATGAGGGTATACCGAAATTGGTAGCATCACAAAATTGGCGATTAATTTTTCTTAAAATATTTTAAGAAAAATTAATCGCCAATTTTGTGATGCTACCAATCCATATTATATATGTAATATGGATTTTCCTTTTTGTTTGGTGGATTAAGAAAAAAATTTGTCATAAGAACTCCTGCAATTTTAAGTATTTTTTAAAGAATGGTAAAGGAAATTTCGTCTTAGATTTTCGCAAGGAATCGACCCCTTTTGTTTGGTCCGGTGATTTTGGGACACCTTCTGTATCAAGCAAAGAATTAAAACTTTTTTTAGTTTATCTATTATTATTTATTTTTATCTATTTTTTGTTGATTTGATTTGCCAGTGCATTAAAAATGTTTTTTTCTACTCCCACCTTTAAAACGCCCGTACATGTTTCCATGACACCAAGTGACCTTTTAAATACACATTGACAAGTTGTGGCTTTATGGCGCTTTAGTCACGGGCTAAAGTTAGCAACAGGTTTTTAGTCACGGGCTGAAGTTAGTTTTAAGTTAGTTGACAGTTGCCTTTCTTGTAAAATAATACTAAATGTGAAAATTATTTTATTATCTCAATACAAAAATACAAAAGTTTTAAATAGTTTCTCAACTCCAATATTTGAAAAGTTTATATGAACATTGTACTGACCTTTTAATTTCGCCGGCAGTAAACTAGTCATAGCTATAACTTAAATTCGGACACGGACTCCACTGTAAAGTGCTCATAAAACATTTTCTTTACTTTCACTGTGAAAAACTGTCAATTTTCAAGAAATACATTTCGATTTATAACCTTTATAATCTGTGTTTATAAAATAAAAAAAATTGACATTTGACGGTGACACACAGATTCCCGTATTGTTTCATAGATGGCGCTCTATACAAATTTTTGATTTAAATCATTTTAAGATAATCATAAGTATTTGTCGTAGAAAAAGTATAGTATGCACCTCGTTTATAAACTTTTATATACACTCATTAATTTAAGAACTCGCTCGCAAGCTCGCTCGTGCCTAAATTAAATTCGTGTATAAAATGGCGTTTATAAAACTTGATACATAATATAATATTATCTACTCCTACATTGACGAGCTATGACTTTATGGCGTTCTAGTCACGGGCTGAAGTTAGCAATGGTGGCTTTTGGGCATTTTAGTCATAGGCTTAAGTTAGATTTATTATAAATTGGGGAAAAGTGAGGTTAAATCCGTTGACATTTGACAGATGTTGGCTTTAAATTCTTCTTTGTGTTCGTTGTAGATAAAGTATTGTATGCAACTCGTTCTATAAACTTCTCTAGACACTTGTTTTTATTAAATACTCGCTCGCAAGCTTCGCTCGTGACTAATAAAACTAAAATGGCGTTTATAAAACTTAATACATAATTTACTATTATGCAAAAGTTGTAATATTTCTGTGGGTAAAAGGCATAAGGGGATAAGTCAAAAAAATCAATTTTTCGGTAGAGACTTAAACGTGTTCGCATTAATTCAGGAAATATATTTATGGTAAGCGAGTATACCCTTTTAAATATATTTCCTGAATTAAGGCGAACACGTTTAAGTCTCTACCGAAAAGTTGCTTTTTTTACTTATCCCCTTATGCCTTTTACCCACAGATTTGAGGTGTAGAAAATAAATTGATAATTATTTTTTAGTTAGTTTATTAGTTCTTATTAGTTTATATTTTATTTCAGTGTGGCATTTAAAATGCTTTTAATTAAAAAAATATATATGTTTATACTAAGTAAATGTAACAAAACCTCAATTAACTCTCTACACTTTACTGAATTTTGCAGTAAATTTTAAATTTAAAAAAATGTTTTAAAACCTAATAATATAAAACCCATTAACCAGACTTTTTAGTTAACTTGTTGCGTATTTATTTTATATGGATAATTAGCAATTTTAACAGTTTAAAATTGGATAATGAGTTGCAGGCTTATCTTTTTTTAAAGAAAGTATATTTTTAATTTGGTAGTTTACTGATAAATATATATTATATATGGTTAATTAATATTAGGTCCCAAGTACCAAAACACTATTTTTATTCAATTGTGAACATGTATTTTAAACTTATTGTTATATTTGCGTTCCTTTATCCTATTAAAGTTCAAGGAAGTTTTAGTAACTCATGTTCGGATTGGTTAAGTTATTTATTTCCACCATTGTCCCCTAGTTGTTTTTACAACCCTGATGTCTTCGCCAACACGGTAAATTTTACACCTTATAAATTACATATCTCCTTTTTACGCAATAAATTGTAGATTGAGATTATTGAACGGCATCTCGGAAAAGGAAGCTATGAAAATTATACCGTGACCACCGAAGATGGTTATATATTAACATTATTTAGAATTTTACAAAATAATCCTAAAGGAGTTGTTATGTTGCAACATCCTGTTACCTCTGATGGGGTGGTATGGGTTCAAGACAGCAAGAAGAGATCTATGGGTAAAATCAAATAATTGTTTTTTCTACGGCCACCTTTAAAACGCCCATTATCAAACATGTTTCCATGACACTAAGTGACCATTTAAATACACATTGGCTTTATGGCGCTTTAGTCACGGGCTGAAGTTAGTTTTAAGTTAGTTGACAGTTGTCAAATGTCATACAATTGTTAAAATAAAGTGCCTTTCTTGTAAAATAATAGTAAACCCTGATAGCAAAATTTGATTCTAAGAATCTTCTAAGAAGATATGACCCGGAATAATGGAATATTCTTAGGACCTTCCCTTATTGCTAAGGCCCAGTTGTATAAAAGTCCGATTAACAACAGATTAATAAATTACGGATTAATCAATAATAGCTGGTTAAAGAAAATTTTGTTGTGCAACACTCGGTTATGTTTTAATTAGTTAATTTTCAAATTTAGGGGAATTCACTAAAAAATCACCAAATTTTCGTATTTGTCATGTCATAATTTTCGTAATTGTCAAATTAACCATGTCCTCCTCAAATTAATATTAATAATTTTTGTTGTTTAGGAAGATTTTAGTAAGTATATTGGTATTTATTTATTTATTGCATACATTAATGTGCAATTGTAAGTAGCTTTAATTACATTTCTTCTTGCAGGTGTGTTTTGTGTTTTTGGGTAAAGGTTTTAATATTTTGTACAAAATAAATGGCTTTAGCATAGGCTTGTTGGTCAAAAATGAAAGATTGTGGTAATAGGGTCTAACTTTAGTGGAAAAAAACCTTGGCTATTGCTTTGAATAGGTAGTAAAAAATATAAAAACATTGTAGAATGCACAATGAACGCGTTACCAAAAATTCAATCATTTGCCTAAAAGAAAGCGCTTATTTTGTATTAGTTCTTAAATAAATTATGGCTGATATTTCTTAATTCAAAAAGTTATAATTTTTTTGAATGACGAAATCTGTTTCTGTATTCTTCTATATTTAAATCTGTAAAATATTCAGGTCTAGCACGAAAGTTTCGGTTTTCTAGAAAATATAACAATTTCTACTAATTATAAAAAAATCTTCATCATCCGTTAAATGTTCTACCATTTTAATGCTAACCACAGATAAAAACTAACAAAAAAATAATGAAAATTTTTAAACGTTGACATTTATAAGGTTAACCCGTCGTTAACCACACAAAATTCACCGATTTGTTAATTGTACGTTAATCACTTAATTAAATTTGAATCAATGTTTATACAACTTAAAAGTTAGCTTAATGATTACTTAATTATTATCAAGAGTTAACCAGCTGTTTACCAACTGTTATACAACCGGGCCTAAGAATGTTCTTAGGGACTTTTAAAACATTCAATAGATACCCTTTTAATGATGCAATTAGATTCTTAGAAGCTTCTTAAAACCTTCCTAAAAAGCATTCTAAGAACATATTAGGAATACGTTTTTGGAATGTTCTTAGAAGGTTACTTATGGAGCTTCTAGGAAGCTTTTGAGAATATTTCCAAATATGTCAGATACCCACGTTCTAATATGTTGGATTCTACATTCGTAAAATTCTTGAGGAGGCGACAAATACGCCTCACTGTCATAATATGACAGTGAAATGTATTTGTAGTCCCCTTAAAAAATTTTGCGACATATTAATATATATTTAGTTAAAAATATTAAATAAACAATTTGACCTTTAAACCATAAGTTGTATGACATTATTTCATAAAAAGTAAAATTGGAAAATTTTGTGGGATAAGTCAGATTAGATTGAAGTTGAAGATAGTTAGGATTATTATACATCAAAATGTTAATTCAGATATAAAAAATCGGTATACAAATTAATAAATATTTATTTTTAACATAAAATAAAATATAAAAAAAACAAAATATTTCCTTATAAAATAATTCTTCATAAAAGAAAAAACCAAATAGTTCTTCATAAAAAAAAACATTTTTCATTGTATTTAAGTTAGATAGAAGATTTTATGTAAAAGCCGGATAAGCCGGATTAATAAACAATTACATAGTATATTCCACCAAGGCAGTGGCAGATTTAAGAAAAATGACCCAGGCGGCAAAGTTTTAAATATAACCATAATTCATTGTTAGGGAAATTATAACATTTCAGTTTGGGGCCTAAAGCCTTTCTGTTGGGGGGCAACAGCGCATTTGCCGCCCATTAAGTATTTTTCCAAATTAATTAAAACACCGTCACTCTGCGACAGTAAAATAATGTCCAAAAAATTGATACCTTCTCTAGCCAATAGGAACAACTTTTTTTATTACGCGTTTAAAAAAAACATTTTTCTTAAAATCTGCTTGTTTTAAACTGTTTAAATATAAAAAAATAGAATCAAATGCAATGGTAGTAAAAATAAAAATGCTTCAACATTATTATTTTATATACAAATTTTATAAGAGAGCTTTTGAGAATATTTCCAAATATGTCAGATACCCACGTTCTAATATGTTGGATTCTACATTCGTAAAATTCTTGAGGAGGCGACAAATACGCCTCACTGTCATAATATGACAGTGAAATGTATTTGTAGTCCCCTTAAAAAATTTTGCGACATATTAATATATATTTAGTTAAAAATATTAAATAAAAAATTTGACCTTTAAACCATAAGTTGTATGACATTATTTCATAAAAAGTAAGTAAAAAGTAAATTTTGTGGGATAAGTCAGATTAGATTGAAGTTGAAGATAGTTAGGATTATTATACATCAAAATGTTAATTCAGATATAAAAAATCGGTATACAAATTAATAAATATTTATTTTTAACATAAAATAAAATATAAAAAAAAACAAAATATTTCCTTATAAAATAATTCTTCATAAAAGAAAAAACAAAATAGTTCTTCATAAAAAAAACATTTTTCATTGTATTTAAGTTAGATAGAAGATTTTATGTAAAAGCCGGATAATTTAGATACCTAAAGTAAAAGTATTTTTGTTATCGAATATTGTTTTAATTTGACAAATAACTATAAAAAAATATTTTGGGTTGTGTTTTTTACTTAGTATTTAATACTAAGTATAGGTACCTTTATACGTAGATTATGGTATATTTTACTATTATAAAGGTACCTAACTGAACTGAATATGCTTAACAGAATGTTCCAGGAATATTCCTAAATGAACTTTCTATAGCAATTACTTTCTCAACATTCTAAGCATATGTTTAGAGTGGATTAATTTTTACCACTAAACTTTGCACCTTTTAAGAACCTGCCCATAGGCCAGTGAGAATATTCTTAGGATCATGCTATATTTCTTATGTTTTTTAGAAGAAATATAGTATGATCCTAAGAATATTCTCACTGAAAGGTTTAAAAAACATTCTTAGAACATGACTAGAAGAAATATAGCATGATCCTAAGAATATTCTCACTGGAAGGTTTAAAAAACATTCTTAGAACATGACTAGAAGAAATATAGCATGATCCTAAGAATATTCCCACTGGAAGGTTTAAAAAACATTCTTAGAATAAACTGTGCTATCAGGGAATGTGAAAATTATTTTATTATCTCAATACAAAAATATAAACGTATTAAATAGTTTCTTGAAGCCAATATTTGAAAAGATTTTATAAAAGTTTGTATTGACCTTTTGATTTCGCCGTATAGATACTAGATTTAACTTATAAAGTGTTAAAAATTTTGCGTACAGTGCCCATAAAACATTTTCTTCTCTTTTACTTGGAAAAACTTCTTCTTTATTAATTGTTAGTCTATTTTTAAGGCATAATTTTTGATTTACACAGAAAAATTTTAGATTTTAACGCCGGTAGATTCTCACTAGCATTTTATATTATGAGGTTATGTTACATTATGAATTTATAGAATTCGTGATCCAAAATTATTATATTATTATAATGTACCTATTCGAAATGTTTCTGGAAATTTTGTAAATCCTGTAGAACTTTTAAAAATTTTATCTACTCCAATAAGTATATACTTATAAGAACCATGAACCAGGGTGATTTTCAAAAATTAGTTAATAAAATCTGACATCTGTCAGGTGGTTACCCTCACTTTTTATCAATTTTAAATATTATTACCTGTAAGTAGCCGCCTTCTCCCAATTTAAAACTCGATTGGTTTAAATTACATTGAATATTAATTAATATTTCGAAATCGGCCAATAACAGCAATGATGCATAATAACGTGAATAATAAGTTCATTATTCGCACTGTTAGGCAGGAAATTTATTATAAAGTTTATAATACGTGCAAAAGAGTGTCGCTGTATATTCTTGTTGGATAAATTATAGTTATTTACGATATAAGTGGGATAAAAGCTTTGTTAACGTACGCATGGGAAATTTGCCCAACGAGTGCGTAGCACGAGTTGGGCAATCGCAAAAGTACGTTAATAAAGCGTTATCACACGTATATTGTACAAATTTTTATCTACGCCTCTAAATGAAAAAATAAACGGTAATTATTTTTGTCTAAGACTTAATTTAGGGTTATTTTGACATTTTGACTTTTTTATTTGATTGGTTAAAAACAGAGAAAAACGCGTGCGTTAATGAACTTCTTATCTCACTCAAAATGAGTGGGATAAGAAGTTCTTATCTCACTGGCGTAGATAATAGTTATTTACGATATAAGTGGGATAAGAGCTTTATTAACGTACGCATGCGAAAGTACGTTAATAAAGCGTTATCACACGTATATTGTACAAATTTTTATCTACGCCTCTACATGAAAAAATAAACGGTAATTATTTTTGTCTAAGACTTAATTTAGGGTTATTTTGACATTTTGACATTTTGACTTTTTTATTTGATTGGTTAAAAGCAGAGAAAAACGCGTGCGTTAATGAACTTATCTCACTCAAAATGAGTGGGATAAGAAGTTCTTATCTCACTGGCGTAGATAAATATTATTATGCAATCACTGAAAGTGACAAATACCTAACCTCAATTATATATCATTCTCAGTCGGTCCGCGTGCGAAATTCAAACGTTGCGCGCAGTTTTTAGCGCCGGCAGCTTAAGTCCAAAGTGCTTGTCTCGGCCTACCGTTTATAAATTTTGTTTTTGATGAAAAACTAATTCTTTTGATTTTTGTGAAATTCTTAAGTAATAGTATTACTATTAACACTTTTTTTTTCTTATATATGGAACAGCTTTTAACCTGCACGATATGGGCTATGAAGTTTGGTTACCCAACCACAGGGGAACGTATTATTCCGAAAAACATGTTAACTTAAGCATTAATGGTTTGAAATATTGGCAATTCGGGTAAGTTAATATTTTTTCATGACACGCGCAGTGAAAATTAGACTTTCGCTGCCTGTTGAGCATTGCGAAAATGGTGGATTTTTGGGGAAAGCAGACTACTTAACTTTCGCATTTACAGTTGTCGCTGTTATTGCGAAAGTTAACTTCTTAATTGTCATCAGGTTGGTACGATTGAATTTTTGTTAATGCGACTGCAACTTCACCATGCTCCGCTCAAGGATGTATAAAAACGCCTAAATATTACCGATTTTTTTCTCGCTTTCTCCCAAAAGGCAGCGAAAATCAAATTTTCGTTGCGCTTGTCATGAAAAATAGTGTACCTATATCGTGGAGAAAGGCTGCGATTTCTGCACGTCTTTCTCAATGTAATGTACCTATAATTGTTAATATCGATTTTTAAAACTCTTTTTTAGTTTCCACGAAATAGCCGTTTACGACTATCCAGCGTTTGCCGAAAAAATATCTGAAGTTTCCAAAAGCACCGATATAATTTTTGTCGGGCATTCTATGTCCTCGACTTCAGGGGTGGTTTATCAATCTATGCAACCTGAGCACGCTAAAAAATATTTCAAAGGGATGATTTTGATGAGCCCTGTAGTATTTTTACATAATTTAAGGGGGATTGCTACGCTTATAGCACCAATTTTTCCTCTATTCAGTGTAAGATAGCTAGATAGAAAAAAAATCTATTGCACATATTTTAGTAATTTAGTAATTTTACTAAATAGTAGAGATCGGACTTTTAGACTCGTAAATGGCTCATAAAAAGGCACCCAAAAAACAATATTTAAAAATAAATGCGCTTATCTACTCCTATTGCATAATATTTTTATTTTCGTGTAGAATTATAAACATTATAATTTCTTCTAACAACGGGAATAATGAACTCATTATTTACGTTGCTAGGCATTAGTGATTGGCCTATTTTAATACTCACTGTGATTTGAACCAATCGGGCTTTAAATTGGGGGAGGCGACTATAATAATATTTCTTATTATTATTATTTATTTATTTTTGTAAATATTCTATTACTTATTGGAGTAGATGTAGTACAGTATTGCACTCGAGATTAGGCGCATAGTTTGAAGCAAAGCTTTGCATTTAGGTATTTTAGGCAAGGGTACTACAATCCGGTCTCTACTAAATAGTAGTAGTATGCATGGTATAAGGTTTCTTATACCATGATACGATGTGTTAACCCACATACTATTTTTGTTAACAAAATATACAAATTTCTAATAGTTTTTTCTGTCTCCCTGTAAAAAATCACAGTTTCTCTCTTACACCTTTTACATTTTTAGGACGTGGCATATTTTTTTGGAGTTGGAGGTTTGTTTAATAAAGGTTCTATATCAGAAATACTCGCCAGGTCTGCGACGTACGCTCCAATAAAGCAACTTCTTATAATGATACAAAGTTTGGGTTCTGGACCAGGACAATTTGATCCAGTAAGCTTTAATAAACTTTTAACTTGAACATTTGAAAGTTTACAGTTTCGAGTCAATTTTGCCGACTCAAATAAAATAGGGGTTGACGGTATATTTGACGCACTATTTAACGCGTTAAAGCAATTGTTTTCGTCATTAAACAGGAGGGTATATCGGAAGAAGTGTTTTTTCAATAATAGGACATTAGAAATGCATAATTACGTCATCGTAAGTAACCATTGTGTAACCTTATTTTTATGTCCTGGTGTCCCTATTGTAAATGACCAATAGAATCCAATAAAAAATAAGTAATAGGTTTGAATTGGTTTGAAATGTGTTTTGGCGCTATGAATCACCAATTCATTCCAGTTGAATTCCTATTGGTAATTTCCAATGAAGTCAGCTACTTGTTGTTTTTTCTTTATGATGGCGTCTCAACCTCGTTGATTTTGCGCAGCTACACGAGAGCCTTCTTGCGATATTTGTATTGTATTGTGAATAACCAATAAGCAGATTTTTCGAATCTTACACTGGGAATGCCCAATTGAATTCAATTGGAAATTACCTATAGGTAGCTTTATCCAATCTAAACCAATAAAAACCATTAGAATCCTAATTGGACTTTTCCATCATGGAAAATACCAGCGGCATTACCTCCACTACTCAGGCAAACAAACACCATAAAAACAGGCAAAAGTATAAAACATTTTAATTACAATTACGTGACAAAATGTACGGATTGTCGAGGCTCACATTTAATCCTACCGACAATAAAATAATCCCACAACCAAACTTCACAATACCATAAACATTTCCTTATCCTTCGAAGAATTTCTAGCCTAATTAATATCCAAAATCCCAGCAATTTGGAAAGACCTTGCATTAGCTCCAAATTTCAGGTCGACGTACAAGAGCACGTAACGGCCGAACTACCTGTATCTAAAATATAAAACCTAGTCCTATCCTAAACTAATCACTCAGAATTCAGAACTCAGTAACTCAGTCATTTCAATTCAGTGAACCCAGTTCCACCATCCGGTCGACATCATTCAGTTAAGTTCCAAACTATCGGGCCTCGACATCCAACTTAAACGCTGTTGTAAGTTACACCACTATTTTCATTGTAAATAAATAACGTACTACGATCAACACACGTGTTTAACTTCACACGCAAAATACCTCACTACAACCCCCGCAAATTGGTGACCCCGACGTGATCGTGAATATTTGTGACTTTTTATTTTGTGCATAAACGTGCAGGGCGCGTAGTGAAAACAATATCACTCTTCTGAAATATATCAAAGTTTTTGTGTGTGACAAAATGGTGCTAGGCCGTGACGACGAGGAACGCGAGCGAGCTGAACTATTGCGCGAACGCGAACAGCTCCGAACAGAACAAGAAGAGTTGCGGCAACAACAAGAAGCATTCGCGAAAGAACGCGGTACGGCCCCCCAGGTGCAATCGTTAGCCCCCAGTGTCGACCGCGTTGCCGTTCGATTGCCGCCCTTCGTGCCGAGCGACCCGGAGCTTTGGTTCAGCATGGTAGAGCGCAGCTTTTACGCAGCCAAGGTCATGACCGACTCCACCAAGTTTGGCTACGTTCTCGGCGTCCTCGACCCGAAATATGCCACTGAAGTCCGCGACATCATTGTTAATCCACCGGACAGAGACGCGTATCAGACCCTCAAAACAGAGTTAATTAAACGTCTCAGTGCCACCCAAGATCAAAACACCAAGCGGTTGCTAGAACGCGAGGAGATAGGCGACCGTAAACCGTCACAATTCCTCCGCCACCTTCGCAACCTCGGCGGCACGGCAGTATCGGAAAACGTTATCCGTACCCTATGGATGAGCCGACTTCCGACGGAGACCCAAGCCATCTTAGCGACCTGGAAGTTTGTGATAGCCGACGTCGCCAAGCCCATCATTGGCGCGGATTTCCTTTCGCACTACGGATTGCTCGTCGACATACGGCACGAACGTCTCTCCGATCAGCTTACCAACCTCGAGGCACGCGGACAGACAACCGACAGCGACATTAGCAGTATCAGGACGGTACCATTGCCGGATGGCAAATATCAGGAACTGTTACTTCAATTCCCGGACATCACGAGACCCGACGGACGAGTTACCGATCCAAAGCACTCAACCCAACATCATATCCGCACCACGCCAGGGCCACCAGCGTTCAGCAGACCTCGACGGCTCGCGCCTGACCGGTTAGCCATAGCGAAACGCGAATTCGCTGATATGATACAATTGGGTATAGCACGACCATCCGAGAGCTGTTGGGCATCACCACTACACATCGTGCCCAAAAAGGGTAACGCCGTGCGATTGACGGGTGATTACCGCGCGTTGAACGCCCGGACCATTCCAGATCGCTACCCCATCCGTCATATTCAAGACTTTGCGCAGACACTCTGGGGAAAATCAGTTTTTTCGGTACTCGACCTCGTACGGGCCTACAATCAGATCCCGATGGCGCCAGAGGATATTGCCAAAACTGCCATCACCACTCCCTTCGGCCTCTTCGAATTTTTGTACATGTCATTCGGCCTACGCAATGCCGGCCAGACCTTTCAGCGCTTTATCGACGAAGTGCTCCAAGGACTGGACTTCTGTTACGCGTACCTAGACGACATACTCGTAGCTTCATCATCGGAGGAGGAACACCGCGAACACCTGCATATCCTGTTCGAACGACTGCGTAAATATGGCGTCATCATCAATCCTGCCAAATGCATCTTCGGAGCAGCCGAGGTGTCTTTTCTAGGCTACTCTGTTTCGAGTAAAGGCACCCGACCACTGCCGGACCGAGTCCAGGCAATCACCGAGTATCCAGCTGAGCAACTCCGACGCTTCTTGGGTACAGTGAATTTCTACCGGAGATTCATACCCAAGGCCGCGGAAACTCAGACACCTCTACACGACCCCCTTCAAGGCAATATCAAGGGGAAGGCAACACTTCAATGGAAACCGGCAGCAAGCAGGCTTTCACAGCCTGTAAGGACGCTATTTCCACTGCCACACTGCTGACTCATCCTAAACCTGATGCGCCACTTGCACTCATATGTGACGCTTCAGACACCGGCGTCGGAGCGACGCTACAGCAGAGGATAGGAGAAAATTGGCAACCACTGGCCTTCTTCTCGAAGAAACTTAGCCCGGCCGAAACCAAATACAGCGCCTTCGACCGAGAGCTGCTAGCTATCTACCTGGCCATCAAACATTTCAGGCACATGGTGGAAGCTAGGCAGTTCACTATATACACCGATCACAAACCAATCACTTTTGCATTCCGGTTACAGAAGGCTGACAAAAGTTCTCCGCGACAAGCCCGACACCTAGACTTCATCAGCCAGTTCTCCACAGACATCCAGCATATCTCCGGCAAAGACAACATCGTAGCCGATGCTCTGTCACGTGTAGAAGAGATTGGCACTACATTGGACTTTCCAGCGCTGGCTGTAGCCCAGGAGAACGACCCCGAACTGAAGGAATTTTTGCAACAAGAATCAGCCCTACGAATCCAACGAGTACCAGTACCAGGGGCTGACCTAACCATCCTGTGCGACGTCTCCACGCCCAATGCTCGACCCATCTTACCAAGAGCATTCAGACGAGCAGCTTTCAACGCTGTACACCAACTCTCGCATCCTGGAATTAAGGCCACAGTCAAGCTCGTAACCCAGCGCTACGTATGGCCATCGGTGAAAAGGGATTGCCGAGAATGGGCTCGTGCGTGTATACAATGTCAACAAGCCAAGGTAACACGGCACGTAGCATCAGCCGTCGGAGAATTCTCTAACCCAAGAGCCAGGTTCGAGCACGTGCACATCGCCATCGTCGGAAGGCTGTCGATACTGCCTCACTTGTATCGACAGGTTCACCCGCTGGCCGGAAGCATTCCCACTGCAGGATCAAGAAGCTTCCACAGTGGCCAGAGCGTTCTACGAAGGATGGATCTGTCGATTTGGAGCACCACTTCGCATCACCACCGATCAAGGGCGTCAATTCGAGTCTAACCTTTTTAAGCAGCTGAATCGCTTGACAGGTACGACTTACCTAAGGACCACCGCTTACCATCCAGCCGCAAACGGCATGGTCGAACGTCTCCACCGACAACTTAAGGCAGCAATCAAATGTCACGAAAACCACCAGTGGACGCGAGTACTGTCAACGGTACTCCTGGGCATCCGCGCCGCCTGTAAGGAGGATATACAAGCTTCAGCTGCGGAACTAGTATATGGAGCAGCAATGAGACTCCCTGGGGAGTTCCTGGTGCCCCGTATCAACAGCCACACCACTGATGCCGCCGATTTCGTCCAAGAATTGCGAGAACACTTCCAGAATGTACGACCAACCAGCGGCTCTCGACATGGCGAACGCAAAACGTTCGTATTCAAAGACTTGGCCACCACCAATCAAGTCTTCGTGCGACACAACGCGGCCAGGGGACCACTACAAATGTCTTACGATGGTCCGTACCGGGTCGTACGTCGTGGATCCAAGACTTTCACCATCGCTATCAACGGCCGAGAAGTCACCGTCTCAATAGACCGATTGAAACCGGCATACATCACGACAGACGAGCTTCCCGAAAAACCCCAAAGTCCATCCGACACCTGGCCAGAAGACGAGATGCCAAGACGCGAGGCGCCGGAGGACACCATCGGCCCACCACCCACTCAGACGCCTGGACCGTCCACCTCGAGGAACGTCACACGTTACGGAAGACGTGTCCGATTTCCCGAGCACCTCCAGGCAGGACTCAATTAATTCAATTTTTTTTCTCCTTCGTCAAAAACTGGTAGGGGGGTACTGTAGCGGCATTACCTCCACTACTCAGGCAAACAAACACCATAAAAACAGGCAAAAGTATAAAACATTTTAATTACAATTACGTGACAAAATGTACGGATTGTCGAGGCTCACATTTAATCCTACCAACAATAAAATAATCCCACAACCAAATTTCACAATACCATAAACATTTCCTTATCCTTCGAAGAATTTCTAGCCTAATTAATATCCAAAATCCCAGCAATTTGGAAAGCCCTTGCATTAGCTCCAAATTTCAGGTCGACGTACAAGAGCACGTAACGGCCGAACTACCTGTATCTAAAATATAAAACCTAGTCCTATCCTAAACTAATCACTCAGAATTCAGAACTCAGTAACTCAGTCATTTCAATTCAGTGAACCCAGTTCCACCATCCGGTCGACATCATTCAGTTAAGTTCCAAACTATCGGGCCTCGACATCCAACTTAAACGCTGTTGTAAGTTACACCACTATTTTCATTGTAAATAAATAAATAACGTACTACGATCAACACACGTGTTTAACTTCACACGCAAAATACCTCACTACAACCCCCGCAGAATTCAATTGGAAATTACCTATAGGTAGCTTTATCCAATCGAAACCAATAAAAACCATTAGAATCCTACTTGGACTTTTCCATCATGGAAGTAGTAGTAAAAACCAATTTCTGTTTTATATCGCTCCCAATTAAATCCAGTAAGTCCAATAGACCCATTGATACTAACCAATACTTTAATTGGTTTCTACAGGAATTAAACGGTCATTTACAACAACAAGGGGTTATAAGAGTATATAGAGTTTTAAGAGTATATACCATGGTAGAATGTGGGGCACTGGATGTAGAAAAGATAAACCTTAATATTGTTTAGTGGGCGCCAGAAGCTTATGCAAAATAAAATGACTAATGTATATATTACCTAAACTTTAAATATACACATTATATACAACTACTTAAATAAACACTACCGAAGCTTTGGTTAATAAACTCAGGACCCTAGATTCAAGGAACATAATATTATGTAATTCACAAATATTTCAAAGGTTTTTTAAAATTTGCAATAAACAATATAATAGTATATTCTGTAACAAGTTTGGAATACAGCATATTCTGCTCGAGTGAAGAGTTTGTCACACGAGCCGAAGGCGAGTTTGACGGTTTCACGAGAGCGGAATATGCAATTCCAAACGTGTTTCAGACTATACTTTTTCTACGTTTCCAAAAAATACCATAGAAAAATAATTTAATTGGAAGAAAGTGAGGTTGGATCAGTCTAAAATTTGTTAGATATTAGAAACAGAGATGTCGCCACGAGTGTTTATTCTGTCATCAGATGATAGAATATTTCATTCTGTAACACTTTAAGGAATATATGTCCTTCCATAGATAAAAGTGATATTAGAAGGGTCAAATTTGGTAATAGGAGTAGAAAAACAACTTTTTACTTGAGAAGGCACGAGTAATGAATACCATTAAATATTAATTAATATTTACAGAAATTGTCTACGTTCTTTTTTTCCCATTTTCCAAGAGGTATTAGTTTTAATACTGTAAATCACTACTCCCAAATATATAACGCCGGTGGTGAATTTAGAATGTATGATTATGGGAGCAAAGAAAATTTTAAACGATACAAGTCAAAAACTCCACCATCGTATCCTTTGGAAAATATCCGTGTTCCTATTCATTTGGTTGCTAGCCAAAATGATTACTTGGCCACTGTAGAAGTAAGTAATTTTTTATATTGCTATTGATATTTTAACATTTTTTTTTGTTTTAAGGATAATGATATTCTTTTAAGTCGACTTTCTGAACCTGGACAAATGTATGGAAAGTTTTATACAACTGGACTTAATCACATTGATTTTTTTTATGGAAAGCACCGCTATGAATTGGCTATTAACCATGTTTTGGAGTTTATAGACAAAATGTAAATGTTTAATAAATAATTATGACATCGCATTTTTTGTATTGTTTAATATCTATGACTGCTATTACTATTTAGTTAATTAAATCCACTTATACTGTCAAGGGATCTTAATCCATGCAATTAGTGGCTCTTAAAAAATCTCGTAAACTTGGAAATAATTTTTACGGTTACGCGATAATACGGTTTCCGAGATAAGCTAAATTTTTAGAGCCAAAAAAACAACAAATTTTGATACAGTTTTTGGCTTATAAGTCGTCACCCTAATATAACAAGGTTGTATGTTAAAAAACCGAAAAATTTAAGTCTCTGTGTCTACAGGATTATACGTGGCCTACGCTTCACATACCACTTAAAAATAATTCTATAGGATGTATATTCTATGTATACATATATATATAGAGTTATTTTCAAGTTGTATGTCAAGGGTGGATTACATAAAACCTTGTAGAAGCATAAACTCAAATTTTTCGGTTTTTTAACATACAACCTTGTTATATTAGGGTGACGAAGTTATAACTCATACAATATGCAATAAAGACTCTTTTATACACTTGTATGTTAAAAGTAATTTACTAGTATAACATTATTGTTTATTTTCTAGCTATAGGTACTTGACAGTTTGATAATGAGTATGAGTATAAGAGACGTATAACCAGCCCCATTGCCTCATCACTCCCGGACGCGTACAGGCCTATGTTTACTTACGCCGATTTTTGTTCGCCCCCAGCATCTGCACGGCTTCACCCGTGTTTGCTGGGTGCGAATGTCCATTGCGTTCCGTACTGTCCTCTATTTGGGTCTCGAGAGCGACATGCGAATAGTTTTAATAGCCATTCTCGGGTTCGCCGAGCCGATGCTATACGCTCAGTAGGGTATAGAGGAGGAGGGACGGGAGGGATAGACGTTTGTTGGTTTTTGGGGGACAATTACGCCGACTTAAAACTAAGTACGACGCGGAATACCCCTATAGGTCTATAGACCAGTCGATTAGTATTACTCCAAACATTTGGGATTACTATTTGGAGTTGGGGAGTTGTTATTTCGCTGCAGGGGTGTAGTTTCCTAGTCGAGGTTTTCGTCTTGTTCGTTATTGTCATTGTCCGTGTCCTGGTCAGATAGTTCCTGCACTTGGTAAAATGTGTTGTTTTTTTTATTTTTTTTATTGCTGCTTAGTTGCTCCCAACTGGTCTTGTTAATTTGTGAGAAGTGCATGTTTTGTGTATTTTTTTTATTTTTAGTGTAAAGTCTAATGTGTTTACATAATCCATGGAGTTTGATTAGAGTGCTTTTTTTTACTTTGTTTATGTTTTCTTAATTTATGGGTGTTATTTATGTTCTAAGTGTCAAATATTTATTTGGTCTCGATTTTGTAAGTCTTGGATTGTTTTGTTGACAGCCTTATTGCCCTGCTCAGCTTTGGTGTATGGCCGCGATAGGCTGGTTGGGAAGATTGTTTTTTTTTGTTAGTATTGACTTTCTAATGTATTTATTGATACCGATATTTATTGTTTTTTTTGTAGGGATTAGGCAATGTGCCTTGTCTTGTTTAATTTGCAAATTATTTGTTAGGTCATGCAGATGAGTTGAGGATACTTATCAATTTTTTGCAGGTGGCCTATTCCTCCCTTGTTTGACCTCTTTTGTTTGGCCAGTGAAAATCGTCCTGTTGACAGGTGGTGCGACCGCTCAGACGCTGACACTTGTCACTTAACACTTAACTTTTTTGACCGTTTCACTATATTAGTTTGCACTTGTCACTTTACTCTTCCTTATCACTTAGCACTTAACTCATCTTGACCGTAGAGTACTCTGTACTCACTGTAATTGTTACACTATAATTGTTTGCACTATGAGGGATTATTTGTTGGTTATGGTTTTCACGTTTTACGTTTTAAGCTCTGACTCAGCTAACAAGCGTCCTACCCACTCAAGTGCTGGGACGAGACTGAGGTACTTGACAGTTTGATAATTTTATATAAAATAAACTTTGAGCGTTAATTAACATATTTAAGTTTTTATCCCAACAATGTACGAATAGTACTTTTTTGTGCTACAAATAGTGACTGAATACACTTACATTGACCGCAGAATAAAATGCCAAATTTTATTAAGGATTGGTAATTTGCCAAATAAACAGTTTTAACAACACTAACATCTAGGTATATGTTATAAACACAGATTATAAAGGTTATAAATCGAAATGTATTGTTTATAACAGTTTTTTATAGTGAAAGTAAAAAAAAAATGTTTTATGAGCACTTCACATCCAGAGTCAACTTGTTTGATGGGTTCAAATGGTCTTTTTACAGACTAGTAGGTAAAAACTTTACCGATTGGTCTAAATTATTCTTACAACCTATAGGCCTGCCCCAGAAATACATTTTGAACAACACAGACTGACTGCTATAGTGACGAAAGTTAAAGTTATGGGATTTTTTAGCGACAAAAATTAAATCCACACTAGTATTCGGTGAAAAAAATGTATTTTTATAAATGGTAGTAGAAAAAATATTTTTAATTTTAAATAAAATTTTATTTTTTTACAATTTTAATACAATCACATTTTTCTTAACAGATCCAAAACATGATCATACGCTAAACTATATCTATCCTTTCCTACAAAAAAATCTACATGATTTAGTCCACTTATAACAGTTCTGCCATAAATTTTAGCCACATCGGGAAGTGCATTCCAAAGAGTGTCAGAATCCTAAAAAAATCGTATTATTTCTTATTGTTATCTATGTATACATTTTTTATATAAATCATTGTGTATCTTTTGGGAGCACTAAATTTTCTACTAAAAATGTTAATTAGTTTTTCGTAGTAAAATACTTTTTAAATTACGCGTTTTTCAGGCCTGAAAACTAAACCATTGATAATTATATAAAATGTGGATGATTTAACGAGTGTTAGATTTTTTAGATATTTAGTGGGACCTAAAACAATTCAGGCGCATCCATGCAAACGCCGATACATCCAAGTTTGCTCGGTCGATCTGTGAAGTAAAATTAACACAAAATCAGTTAAATTCTACTTAAAATAGAGGCAACATTAAAGGGCTCAGCAATTTGGTGCAAAATAGGTAACTTCTGAAGAGTTGGAATGGCACCGATAAATTTTACCGTGGATAAAATTAAAATCTCGCCTCATTGGACAGTGACCGCGGAGAAAGAGATACAATTTCTCCACAGTTTAAGACAGAGACCCGTTTTCAATAAAAAACGTAGGTTTAGGAAATGTACAAATTCTTTAATATAATTAGAAAAATATAATTATGCATTGTGTATCAATATAATATTTACCTGTGATGTAGCGAATAAATCATTTTTACTAGTAATTAAATGAATCGGAATTTGTATATTTTGTAAAGGATATCTTGGTGGTTTTGTCGAATTATATCTTCTTAAATTTTCTTTTTTTCCATAGTCCCACATTAGAAAGTCCCAACTGAAATAGGCTTGACAAAAGTGATACGCCACTTTTAAACTAAGACCTCTTGGAATTAAAGAAAATACCAAATTGAAGAGTTTCTAAAAATTGTTTTATTTAATTTTAATATTGTTGTATTTTGTTTAAAATAAGCCAATTCAGGGCCGGATTGAAAATGTGGGGCCCCAGGGCCGGTTGATTTGAAATAATTCTATAAAATACGATCAAACGGAAAGCTAATTGAATCGGTGAGATCAAGAACAGTACAAGTCCAAAATTTAAATTGCTTAAATTGTTTGTTGTTATTTTATAAAATATTTTTTTTAGTTTTAAATGCATTTTTTTGAGAATATTTAACTATTTTATAAAATATAATAACCATATTTTTTCAGCAGTTGAAACATTCTCACAAAAATGCATTTTAAACTATAAAAATAATTTTATAAAATAATTTGTCAAAATTTTAAATTTATTCTTGAACACACGGATTCAATTATAATTTCTCACATTTAAATCTAGAATAAAGTTCAAATAAGCAGACACTAAACTATGACTTAATCAATAGGTTGTCGTAATTGCTTTGTAGGGGCCCCTGCCCTGGAGAAAATAAAGCGTGCATGAAAAGTGTGCAATAAGTGTGTATTTGGAGTGCAAGTCTTTATAACAATGTGCATACACGCTACTTTGTGGTAATTTCACACTTTTTGAAATAATTAAGTTTTTTCACTCTTTATGTACATTGACATCACGCTTTTTGTTTGTCATATGTCACGCTTATATTACATTATATTTTAGCACATTGTTTGCACAGTGTTAGTACATTATTTAAAGACATTTTGCAAAGCTTCAGTGGTTCTTACGCATACACACTGTTAGCACGCTTTAATATTTCTCATTTATGACGCTTATATAAGTATAACAGTTTAAGCACATTTTAGATATATCTCGCTTGAGTTGGGGTACAACATTTATTTAAAAGGTGAGGTAGATTCCACCTTATGTATCGCTTCTCGGCCTATTGCTAAGATCAAAGCAATCCCCTTCGTGGAGTTGACAGTGCAGGTATTTTTCTTAATAAAATACATTATGTAGGAGCTACATTGTGGGTATTTTTTTTTAAATTTTTTGAAAAAAATATTTATTTGATTAATATTATTATAAGGATATTTAAATTTCAATTATGTGTAAATTTAAAACACTTTATAGGTCACCAAAAAGAATCTGTTTTTGTAATAGGCACACAGGTGGCAAGAAACAGTGTGCAAACAATGTGAAAAATCAAAAGGAGTTCCCTTTAGAACATTGTCCAGTGATTAATCAAATTTTTAAACTTTTGGTTTTGCACATTGTTTCATGTTCCATTTCCCACCCTCCGCACATCATTTTTTTAAAAGATTGCACATTGTTCTCAAATAATTTTGCACACTTTTTGCACATTTCATTTTCGCCAGGGTGGGCCGCGTCCTCGCCAGTCAAACCCTTAATCCGGCTCTAAGCCAGGCTAATACTAAGTTTGAAGTTTGCATTTACTAATAAAAAACGTTAATTAAGCAGACAAAACTTAGTAATAAGTTAAACAACTTTAAACAAAATACTTTTA